CTAATTTCTCATAAAGGGAGTTTGTTTCTTCGGTTATTTGACACAATTCTCGTGTGTATCTTTCGCGTGTGTGAATCTCAATTGCGACGAAAATTCGTTCGCCGTTTCTATTTATAGTTTTTTGTTTTTTTTTGTTAACAACCAAATCGGCTCAACGGGGCTTGGTAGCCGTTGCGAATTTTTCTGAGAAATGCGTGGGCGATTTTTTTTTATTTTTTAGCCAATAGGATTTCTTGAAACAATTAAATTAGGGATGAATTTGAGAAAGATTTTTTTTACGTCGGCTGAGCCTACTTTTGCACAAAATTTGACTGTTTTGTTATGGAAATTTCTTGATACTTATTTTATATTTAACAACCAATGAAATTCAAGAAATGAGGTTACTAAGCAATTATGATTCTTTAAAAGGCCAAATAGAGGAGAACAAGTGCTCCAGCTCTAGAAAGGACTCGGCCGTTTCAATGATGTATTTTTTGGTTTTCCTGAGTTGTCTTCAAAATAAAGATTATCAGCCAAAACCTTTCATTTTTTTTCTAAAATCCGGATAATAATCGTGAAAATATTTGGAATAATGAATTACAATTGCAAACAGAATTATTCACTCGCTTCCATAATCTGTCTAATAAATGTAAATATCTGTTGTGTCACCGTTTTTTTTTTTTTTTTTTCTTTTTTCAACTTAAAGGGACGCAACTCTAACTCTCAATGTCTTATTTCAAATGAAAAAAAAATACTGTCTCAAATTACAGTGTTTCAAAATAAAATTTTCCATGTTTTCAACTTTACCTTAGAGGCCGTGGCCCAACATATAATACCATTTTGGAATCAGACCGACTCCATGAGCAAATTAAAGACATTCCGGGTCGGATCCGGACCTACATTCCTGAAATCTTTGATTTCCAAGTTTTCATTCCTGCAATTGTTTTCAGCTATTTTTTTACGTGATTTTTGCGACGAATTTTTTTGTACAATAACAATTTTTATAACTTGGAAATAAATTTGGGAATAATCGAAATTAATTGAAAAATCCAGCGAAAGTCAAATATGGAATCAACTATTTATGGTAAATTCAGTAAGTACATGCAAATATTCGTATTTCCTTAAAAATATTCGAGATGTGGGAGCAATATAATTCTGTCCACAACTGTATATATCGATCATAATACTGGCAAATTCTTTATTGATTTTAGAAATTTGAAATCCAAATTCTACCATTGGATGATGGCGGTCCAGTTTTGGAAACAAATCTTGGTTTGCAGTTTTTGGAAACCAGTGATTATGGCGTAAGTTTTTATTTTCGTACACATACATACACAGTACATACACTTACGACTGAAATAGAAAGGTAGGTTGGAAAATTTATTCAAAACCTTATTTCCAGAACAGTGACAGAAGGTTGGAATAAACGGGCAAGTTGGAAAAGTGGAAAAATAAACGGAGTGTCTGTTTATTTTTCCAACGTGGGTAGGTTGGAAAAAAATAAAAAGGTAAATAATCGGGCACGCTCGCCAATTCCGAAGGCGACAGCACTTTCGTTTACTGAAATTTCAATTACCCTCGGAAATAAACAATTTCTCAGTTTTATTTAGTAATGGTCCCAAAATGCAAAAGTATTGATGCTGGAAATTCAGATATGCCAAAAAGGGGAAAGTTAACGAGATTTTTAATCATTTCGCCGGGCCTTGTACAGGGTGAAACTTACTGTAAAAAATATAAAAATAGATAAATCCTATTACTTCACTTACATAAATTGTCAAATCCTCTAACGAAAAATTGAACAAAAAAATAAACAAGAGACTTGAAAAAGCTAACTGAGTATTTGGTATACTTTACAACCGTGTTTGAAACAAGAAGAAACCTAGGAAAGTCTTTTAAAAAAATAAACATTTAAAGCTATCATGCTGGTTACCTTTATTCCTTGGACCGAATCTTGTGTCATATACCGACGCCAACTATTAATTTCAGGTTGGCGCATCCGTCTACAAAAGAGGTAGATTAACTCTGTTTAAATAAGAACAGGCTGAAATTTTAATTTTTCGAAATTTCATATAAATAAGTGGGGGTAACAGATGTAAAAAAAAATGAAAAAAAATCATTTCATTCATTCATAAGTCCTGAAAATTTCATTAAAATCCGACAATTATTTGATTTCTGCGAGAATTTCCAAAACATTGTTTTTAACGGCAAAAAGACACTAAAAATCCCTATGCTCATCTTTGCCTTACCGCTGAGACAAGCAAAACAAGATTTTTAACCAAAATTTCGAACACGCTAGAAAGGATTACAAAATTTAATAAAATAATTAAAAAATACTTTGGTATGTCCTCTTTATAACATAAATATTTTGACGATAAAACATTGTTTTTATCAATTTGGGGGCCTTTTTTCATCATGACAGGCACTTTAAAAAAATTGGAGGTACGTATATAAAATATCTATATTATATTAACTGTATTGTATAAATGTTCTATTTTTTTTATTTTTACATTTTAATTTTTTTTTACTATTCTGACTCCTCATACAATAAAATAGTATATTATTTAATACTATTGAATAAAGATTTATTTTAATTGTTTATTTAGTGTCAGGTTATCAGTACTGGTAAAATTCGATCAGATAAATTGTATTACAATTGTAAAATTCGAGTGCCCAACGCTAAAGAACAGTGATGCACTACAGTTCAACTTTAACTTTGTATGGCCTAAATATTATTAAAGAAGCGATATCAAAATTCTTGCATATAATTCTAATTTAAATAACGTTGCACTTTTATTTTTTTTATTTTGTTTTAATATGATATTATTTTACGTTACTCATGTTAACATTCGACACCACTTCAAATAAGAGGTTAGGAAGGAAACTTCCATCAATACTAGAGAGACACTGACAGCTCCATGATTTTTTTTTTTTTTTTTTTTTTTTGAATTATTTGAATTGGTCAGTGAATGCTAAATTTTTCCTTGTGGTGAAACAGCTAATATTACCATTGCCGTTTTACCTGCTATAATTATATTTTTACAAAGTTTGAGCAATTTTTAAATAAAATAGAAAAATCTACAATTTTGGAACAAATAAACTTAAAAATTCATAGTCAAGGAAATTATTCATTTACAAAAAAATACCTATTTTCTTTTATTTGGCATCATTGTGGGATTACAGTGTCGTTAAGCTTCACGAAATGGATTATTCGCTGATAATACAGGCGAGTGCGAAACGGAGATTACGAAGTATTGTTGAGTTTATTTCCATAAAATTTAAATGATCTTTTTTATCATTCGATTTATTCATTTATTTAAAATGAATTTTCTTAATACATTTTTTCCAGGCATTCAATGTCATCAGTGAAAAAGAACTGAAGTCGACCGATCCAGATACGGACAACAAGAATTTGCTTTACGTGATAACGACGCCACCGAAAGAGGGACGGCTTCAAAATAACGATAATCCAAAATCGTTCGTCTCTTCCTTTACACAAGGTCTCTTTTATTAAGATTATGCAATAAGAATTAAGAATTAATATTTATTATTTAGTAATTTAATTTCATTTACGTTCATATCTAGTATTTCATTTCATTTACGTCTAACTATCCAGTGTTCAGTATTTTCACTTCATTCCATAGAGGTTAATGACTACCTTTTTCTCTCCATACATAAGCCATACCTAAATTTATTGTCCATTCTGCTTTTCGATGATCTTCCAAACTTACTTTTAGAGGACAGTTATTTTGACCTTTATATCCTTTGTCACAAATGCAAGAAATGTAGTACACTCGGTTCTTGGTTATATTCTCCGCGGGTTATTCTTGATTCGGTAGAGATTTCTTCGTAGCTGCTTCTGAATATTGTCCTGGTGTTGTATGGACCTCAGATCTTCTGAATTTTTTCCCATAAGCAACTTTCTTTGATATCTACTATTCAAACGTTATTTTTTAGTGGATACTCGGATTTGATTAGGCGTTCCATTTTATTGTAAAAAAGAAAACAGTTCATCAGAACAATTGCCACGAAAATAGTTGTAGAAAATACCGAGGATATATATATATATATATATATATATATATATATATATATATATATATATATATAATGAAATGGACAAAGTCCGACAATTATCTTAAGACATTTTTATGTTTATACATTCTTTTTATAGATACAAATATTTAAGAAAATGCTCTGTTTATAATAAACAGTACAGTGTAACCCGGATATAAGAGAGTTGTCGGGACCGGAGAAGTCTCTTATATCCGGGTTTGGTCTATTTTGTTTAGATATGGGCTCTAATTTGGGACCAGAGAAAATCTCTTATATCCGGGTTTCTCTTATACACTGTATTAAACAACATTTACCGGCCTGAATGTCCGAGAAATTTTCACAGAGGACGAATATTTTCTGCGAAATATATATATATATATATATAATGGGTTCGACGTTAAGTTTTTTGATAAGACCGTGTAAAAATGTTTTGTGTATCTATTGATAGAGATCTACGTATGTAATTAAAATAAATTTACCACGAAATTCTTATTTTAGATATATTACTAGATATTCATCTATGTATCTACAAAACATAGTTTTAACACACACACACACATATATATATATATATATATATATATATATATATATATATCCCAGTATATTAATATGACGTAATTTTTCTTGTTTCTCTTTCCATTCAAGAAAACTATTTATTATTTCAGAGAACATCAATCAAGGCAAAATCCTTTATCTTCTGACTGGGAATAGTAGTGTTGGTGAAGACCACTTTGTGTTTGATTTAAGAAACAGACGATCAAATACTGTGCCTTACAACATCTTTCATATTTCCTGGTCAGTCGTCAGCTTTGAACAATCTGTTTTTAATATCAGTGAGACAGCTCACCTCGTCAGGATTCCACTTGTCAGGTCTGGAAACTTGAAACAGGTAAGATTCTGTTTAATTTAATAATGCGCGCACACCTCCCCTTCCAAACACACACACACATATATATATATATATATATATATATATATATATATACACACACACACACACATATAATTATTTATTTAAAAAAAAATTTATAACATAAATAAGTTATAAAATCACTACAAAAATAGCCATTTTGTTTCAACACCCTCGGTGTCTTATCAAGTGATGATGTTGAGTGTAAAATAAATGGTTTTAAAAGTTTCAAATTAACAATCCTTCATAAGGGGAAAACGTTGTTACAAAAGCTAGATTGACCAATCAAAATACAAGTATAGGAAAATTCAAAAAGCTTGACAATGAAGTCATGTTATAATATCTATTCAGATGTTTAAAATATGGGTAGTATTAAAAAAGAATTTATTCCAACCAATAATTACTAAATTATATGATTAAATTTAATATTAAAATTAAAAACTGCTAATTTCAAAATCAAAACTTAATCGCTATTAAGTTTACAACTATAAAATCATATACTTGGGTACATATATATATATATATATGTGTGTGAAAAGTGTATATAAATAAATATATATATGTATAATTATTTATATATTATATGCGCGGTACTTATTAGAAAGGAGGAGTTTGTCTGACGATCGCTAAAGCGTGAAACCCAGGGTCACAAACTCACATCTATCCAACCAAATATATATATATATATATATATATATATATATATATATATATATATAAAAGAAAAAAAATGTTATTTTTAAAAGTCAAGATTAGATTCATTTGACGTTTTCTTTAAATGAAAATAGTTATTTTTTTCGAATTTACAATTGAATTTTGACAAGGAATACATAAATTCTTTCTATACAAGCATGATGAAAATATGCTTTTTAAAAACTGTTGTATAAATTAAATATTTACACTTATATTGAAAACGCAATTTTTTAGTAATAAAATAAAATTGGAAAAATAAGCAGAGAGACTAATTTGGCAATTGAATAACCCTTTAACGGCTGAAATGTCGTTAAATCAACTTCATCGATTAAAATTAACAATAACATTCGTTTAATATCATCTAAAAGTGGTTTAACAGAAGACAAACATATCGCAGTTAACAAAAAAGTAACTCCGCTGATTCTTCTATGGTTGTTTTATCTCCTGATATTTTGCCGAGCTGCAAAAAAGAAAAAAAAATGACCTTCTAAAATGAAGGTGATCCGATCTTTTGGGTAGATGAATTTCGATGTTGCTTAAGCGTGCTAGTAATTTTTAAAATAACTTGACACCAAACAAGGAAATGGTACCAATAAGATACAACGGTGGGAGGCGGGCTACTGACAGTGAAACAAATAACAAGATTTAATGAGACAAAAAATAACGATTGTTATCGCATTTTTGAAGATCATAGTTGTCAAGAAAGCAGGAAGCCTGATGAGTCCCACAAACGAGAAGTGCGAGAGAAGAAACTATTAGCATAACTAACATTTTCAGCAGTGAAATTATAAGATCTAACTGCCAATCGAGTACTGCGCTTAAATCCGTGGCCAAGTATCAAAGAAGAAAGCTCACCAGTAGTGGGAAAATAATTGAAGCCGAGATGCCAGGTCAGTGCCGATGACGTTGACGATTCTTCTTTGGACTTTGTAAAAATCTCTAGACACATTGCAGAAACATCAGACGAGGTATGGTAGCAATATTCGATACACAAACGAATAGTAGGCTTACAAATGTACAAGATAGATTCTGGTGAGAACAATTGCCTAACATGTCACAGTGAATCAACTTTCCTAGCAGCAGATTTAGCAATTGATTCAATATAATCGTTCCACTTCATGTCAGTGGAAAACGTGAAACCAGAAAAGCACAGTGAGTTGCTCTTCTGGAGCCACGCTGATGGAAGGTAAAAAAACAAAACAACTTTATGATTAATAGAGAGCAGTTTCATTTTAGAGATGTTAAAATTAACAAGCCACTCTTTGCCCCAGCTAACAATAGATCGTAGGTTATTTTCAAGATCAGCTTCCAGTTTGATTTATATCAAACCTATCAGATATAACATCAAGACAAGAGTAAATAGTTTTGTCGCCCGCGTAGATAACGAGTCGGGAACGGATGACATCAGGAAGATCATTAATGAAAACAATGAATAGAGTGGGTCCAAGAATAGAGTTCTGAGGGGCTCCCGCATTAAAGCAAAATGATCTAGAGGAATGGCCATTCAAGATAACTTTCATTACGCTCATTCATTTTTCTAGTTCTACGAATTGAAGACAGTTGGCAATGTCCAAGAATCTCTCTCAACATTTATCTCTGAACTTTAGAGTATCGCCAGACACTAGCAAAATTAAAGCATCCTAACAATATAGCGGGTGTATATTTTTTTCCTTTTAATTTTTTTTAATTTTCTCTCAATTTCAGCATTCTGTTGTAACTTGCGTCACGAGACCAGGAAGTGCCACTTCAGTGCAGTCGGCTTCTCACCAAGGAACTTACGATTTTGTCCAACACTCAAACCAGGTGAGTCATAGTTTCCCCTTTTTTAATTTTCGTTTTAATTTATTTTTTTTCGCTTTTTCTGAGGATTTTTTAAAAGGCTTATCAAAAGGTTTATGTGATGTTCTGATTTTTATCAGTTTTAAGATAAACCTTTAAAAATGCAACAGTCCGTAAGCATTTTCAGTAACATGACACTTTCACACATCATTTACTATTAATCAACATTCAATGAGTGAAATCTACATCTAATTCAATGTATTATGGAGTAATGGATAGCGGCTTGGACTGAGGAATCGGAGAGCCGAGTTCGAATTCCAGTAGAATTCATTACATTCACTTACGTCCCAATACCCTTGAGAAAGGTATGAATCCTCTCCCCACCCCCAGCAAGACAGACCGGGTTCTATAGCCTTGGATGGCAACTGGTCTACCGCAGGAAAAAATCTGCCTCGTCAGTCATGTATCGAAAAATACATGATCGCCTGAGCGTGTATCACGCATGACACATAACTGACTTATATGTAACTCGTTAAATGACCCGTGCAGTTGTTCATATGTCATTTAAATCAACATAGCGACCCAAAAATTTAAACTTGCGACAATAGAAGCAGAATCAGCCAATAGAATATGTACATGTTTTGAAGAACAGGAAGTTAGCATATTGATTATTGACGTAGTGAAACTTTTAGTGTTAAAACAATGTTAACACTTCTGTTGAAGATATAAATCAAGTCCTAATTTTTTCTTTATTGTCTAAGTTGGTGTTTGAAGTCAGATTTCGTAATTAACCTTTTCAAGACAGATTTCTTAATTGAGCTCTGGCAGTCAACGTGTTAATGACAGTACTATCCAAAAGTACTTCAGCGGGATTTTTGATAGATATTGTAAAGGATGATCGTTAAGAATTCGTGATTACCAACTAAGGACATGTATTGAAACGAATCCGCTTCAGATGCTCGTATTACGTTTCGACACAAGTGATTAATTAGTTAGTTGGTAGATTTTGTTTAGCGGCATATCAATATCTCTATGAATTATTTAATGCTAAAATCTAAATATTTTGAAAGCAATTTTATGGCTTCGGCAAATATATTTCGAACGCAATTGTATGCCTTCAACAATATATAAAATTGGTCCTTTATATAAAAATGTATTTGCTGGTATTTTTACTTGAAAAATGTATTTTTATACTTCCATAATGTTTTTTTTTATGTGGGAGGATAACTATTTGCCCATATCTGGGACCCTAACAGGTGCTACCACCCCAGGTTACAGTAGATCTTGGAACAACAGCAATTAAGAAAGGGTTTTATACTCCTCAAAACCTCCAATCACCCGATCAGAGACCTTGCTGCTGTATGTAGTATATCGTCATACCAAATTTTGTTTTGTTTAGCGGCATATCAATCTTGATAGGTTAATGCCGACAAAATTGTTAGGATAAGTTCGTATGTATTCTTTGTAAGATATTAGTTTCATATCAGGTTTCATTGACGTATTTTTGTCGAGAGTCAAATGTATTGCTGGTAATTTAAAAAAAAATGTATTGCTGATATTTTTACAATAAAAATCTATTTTTTATACTTTCATCGTGTTTTGACCTCAGTTTGGAGGCTACCTACTTATTTAGTGCTCGACTGTTTAACTGTCGAACTCTCTGCCTTGAGCGGAGAGGAACCCGGACGAGGCTTTACCGAAAGCCAAAGTTTCGTCCGAGGAGGTAGACAGACCCTGAACCCGTTTATACGGGTTCTAAGAATATATTTGGCCGAGCCTACGAGCTCGGAAAACTCACGGTAAACTCGGCCTTGTGCCACATACATCCCTCGTGGGCGGGGGATGGGGCTGTTAAATATTAACTATTTAACCATAGCTAGGATCCTAACACGTGCTACCACTCCGGGTCAGGGTGCACCTGGAAACAACAGCAATTAAGAGGTGGTTCCATGCCACTCATAACCTCCCGATCAGCGACCTTTCTGCTAGACGTAGTTTATCGTCATACCACGACTTATAAGTGACTAAACTATATTTCCACACGTACAGAAATATGGTTACACAGAAGGATGCTGAGAATATGTGATAACATGTGAGTAACGACAAAGTTTTAGAGAAAATGGAAACAAAAAGGATACTTATACTAAACATCAAGAAGAGATAATAGAAATGTCGGGCACACATAATGAGGAAAGAGGGCTTGGAAAATTTGATACTCACAGAACAGATTGAAGGCAAGAGGGACAGAAAAAAACAACGCATAACCTATCCTAGCGAGCTTGAGTAAATGGATGGCGGAGCAAGGTTTAAGAGAAATAACAAAAAACAAAAAATTATCAAGACTTACAAAGGACAGGAAATTGTGGAGAGTCATGATCACCAACGTCCTGAAAGGATACGGCATAAAAAAGAAACCCATTAGTGTTTCTTAAAAATAGTAAAGTAGGTGAATTGCCATCAAGCATGATTACCTCCATCGATTGTTAAGAACTCTATGGTTTGCAATCATCATTTCTTAAGTAAGCAGGGCAGATGAGAAATAAAGATTAAACCTCCAATAAAAAGCAAGACAAATAAGATGAAAGAAATACTAGTGAAAATGAATAATAATTGGCAATATTTCATCTAAGAAATTTGAATCCTATTAATACTACTAGTAATAAAACATATTTAAGTAACCCATCAGTGTTTCTTAAATATAGCAAAGCAATCTGAAGCAACTCCACCTGCGATGACATGGAGCCGTCTCTTCTACTTTAATAGTTTCATGTCCCGCACTTCTCGTCTGTGGGACTTCCTTCCTCTTACTTGCTTCCAACTATTCAAATGAAATGTCAGTCGACATCTCCAGATGCCTTGACCTATTCCCCGTCCTTCTCATCTTTTCCTTTTTCCCACCTCTTTACTCTTGCTCCCATTCTCTGTAACCCCTTGCGTGCTAGTGGCACTTCCGCCTTGCTTGTGGTGAAAAGCTTAAAAAAAAAGTAAAAATGTAAAATTAAGCAAAAAAAGTTTATAAAAATACGTTATTTAATACTATATCCAAGAATTTTACCAATTACATTGAAATGTCTTTCTTTTCCGTTTAATAAAACCAAACATAAAAATTTAAGCAACTATGCGGCCGAGGTACGAACGGGGAGACCTCATTAGAACAACTGACATGAAAATATTTATAGAAAAGACAGAGGGAATTCACGCTCCAGACCAGATATGGCAGCGACATTCACTGCAAGGACGAATGGCAGATTTATAAATGTGCAAAATGGATTTTGGCGAGAAAAGTTGTCTAGGCCGATACAGTGAAACAACTGTAGAAAACGTGAGGCCAAGAAGGAGTTAGAATCAACCATGCTGATGGAGGGCAAAAATGGTTCTCTATAATAATTAAACGATAGCAATTTCATTTGGGAGCGTTAAAATTTACAAGTCGTTTCTTGCCCCAGTTAATAATTGATTGACAGCTTTCTGTTTAGACAGGAGTAAATTGTTGTTATCAGCATCAACACTTAGTTGGGAACTGATGACTTCGGGAATGTTGTTGAATATAAGAAACAATATAGGTCCAAGGACCTATCCCTGGGCGACACCTCGCATTAATATAAAACAATGTAGAAGTGTGGCCGTTCAACACTGACTTCATTAATCACTTTGTTAAGTACGATTGGACTGAGTCAAATATCCGGCCAGGGGCATTATAGTGGAGTTTATGAAGAAAGCTAACATGTCAAACTCTGCTAAATACCTTCGAGATATCTAAAGCCACAGCCCGAGCCGTTCTCTTCTGAAGCCACAGCCCGAGCCGTTCTCATCTAAAGCCCGATAGACAACTTTAGTAATAGCAGTTAACGTGGCTGGTCTCAAGAAACGAATGCCATATTGTTTATCTGAAAGGAGGACGTGTAAAGTTAAAATGTATATAGATTCCTGACCGTGGCATTTTTTTTTTTTTTTTTCGTATAAGTGACCAATACCAAACAAATACCGTAGTATTTCTTTTACACTTGGTTTTCTTGATCTTGGTCAGGCCGAGTACGAACGACAAATATATATATGGACAGTTTATGCAGAAAAATCTATCTGGCGATTTTGTTTGTTTAGTATTATAGAGTACTGGCTATCCTAATGAAATAATTTTATTTTTTTTATCAGATCCATTTTTATGAATGGCAAGATGAGAAGGAATGCATCGTTACAATTAACGACGACTCGATCTTTGAAGGCGAAGAGACATTCTATGTTGAACTGCGAACCTCGGCTTATACCCTCATTGGTCAAACTTCCGAAGTTGCCGTGACAATTTACGATCATGAAGACGGTAGGTGTACCTTAACGTCTCGCTATTTGAAAACAAAATGTTAAATGTTGAACAAAAAATTGATTTCTGAGATCCTACAACGCACGCATTCATTAAAAAAAAGATATGTATTTCTAATAGCAGAACAGAAAAATATCAGCGGTGCTTCAGCAAATAATGAAATTATTTCTTTCTTTTTACTTTTTTTTTGTTAGCGCTACGATACCAATTCAGTCATTCATTTAAAATATCTATGCAGAAGTCTGTTGCGGACGCTGTATCAGATTATTAGAGATCTTTATTCAAATGCTACATAACATATCCATTGACTTTTCCACGTTGTTGGTCAGAAAGCAGCTCGGTACATTTTCACTGTTCCAGGGTCAGTTGTCAAAAGAAGCAGTTTTTAAATTGTTCGCCAAAGTGGAAACAAGACAGGGCTGTCATTCGCTGGTCTAGTGACCAATCAGAGGATTCGTTACATGCTGGTTACAACAATGCTGGGAAAGAGACCTCTGAATTGGTCAATTTCCTTATTTTCATAAAAGGGACCGTTACAAGTCGAAAGCGATCGTTAGTAAGTTTGTATCAAATGCCATTACTTATAAGTCTGCTTTTTACTGAATGTTTAACTTATACGACTTTGTTAATCTGGCAAAAGGTCAAATGTTATAAACGGTTTTCTTATAAAGAAACTTTCGGCATTCGTTAATCGGACAGCTCATGCTACCATCGGTTGAAATTTATAAATTTCTGTGTTGATGACACAACTATTTATTTCTGTCTTAATGGTAAGTCAGGTCGGTTCGATAAGGTCAGATTAGCAGCTGATTTAAAAAATGACCTACAATCTGTTAATCGGGGCAAGAAATGTTTTCGTAATTTTAACGCCCCCCCAAAAAAAAAACAAACTGTTCTCTTTTAATCGTCTAATAGTAGAACCTTTATTTTTGCCTCATGTTAACCCTCAGGAGAGTAACGCCTTGCGACTTCTCAGGCTAACGTTTTATGTTGACATGAAGTGGGAATGTTATCTTGAATCATTTACTAGTTCCGTTGCTTGGAAAGATGGTTTACTGGGTCGTGTCAGACATTTTTTTTCTCGCCAGAATCTATCTTACACATTTATAAGCCTACCATTGTCCATCCATTGCTCTCTGACATTTGTTCTGGTCTGTCTATATATTTACAGAGATTCTTAGAGATTCTTGATAAAATACAAAGAAGAATCCGCCATTTTTCCCTATTTTGAATTAACAATTTGATTGTTTTTATACTTTTTGAAGATAAATAGTTTTTACACATATTTTCCTTTTTAGAACCCGTCATTGAATTTACTGAAGAGACGTTTCATATAAACGAAACTGATGGTTACCTCCGGGCCGGTCTGAGAAGAAAAGGTAATGAATTTCCATACATTAAGTAATTTCTTTTAAAATGTTTTGAAATAATGTATTGCCATTATTAATTTTTCGCTAGTATTTCTTTCATCTCATTTCTCTTGCTTTTTATTGGAGGTTTATTCTTTATTTCTTATCTGCCTTGCTTACGTAAATATGCTTTATTACTAGTAGTATTAATAGGATTCGAATGTCTTAAATGAAGCATTGTTAATTATTATTAAATTTTTATTAGTATTTCTTTCATCATATTTCTCTTGCTCTTTTTTGGAGGCTTATTCTTTATTTCTCATCTGCTCTGCTTACTTCAATATGCTTTATTACTTGTAGTATTTATAACACTCAAATTTGTTAAATGACGCATTAACACACTATTTACATTATTCCTCATCTTTGTCGCCATATTTATTACAACGTTTCGGCCGTTGTATGATCCGGCCTTCTTCAGGTGGTTGGAACTGATAACTGACATCTATAAGACATGGCACGTGGAACTAGAACGGTCTACCCCAGTGAGCGAAATAAAGGGTTCAGTTCGACATTCCAAACACCTGAAGAAACGTTGTAATAAATATGGCGACAAAGCTGAGGACGGTAGTCCGAATAATGTAAATGGTGTACATAATACCTCATCTCAGAAATATAGACAGATTCTGACGCATTATCATTTTTTTTTAGCTTTTTAAAACGTATTTTTGTTGCCTATGTCAATAAAAATATTAGTAATTATTAGCAATTAATAATAATGCAGCCTTTATATGTTATACTTACAACATAGGATGTTATTATAATACATTGTAACTTTCGAAGTAACATTTTTTCTGTAGTGGACCGGGGGGGAGAGATGAAAAGAAAACACGTGCGTTTATATTTCCTGCTAGACGGTCAAGAAAAATGGCGGACTCTAGTTGTGTCCAACCGGAGTTGAAAGAAGATAAACAAGACTATATATATATATATATATATATATGTATTAAACAAAACAATTTTACAATGGACATAGACAATAATATTTGTATGTGTGTGTGAACATTTGTGTTTGTCCTTTGGTGAGTGTTCGTACGTACGTGTATGTGTGTATAATGTTCATGGCGTTTCCCATAAATAGGAAGACACGAATCTTCTAAGAGAACTTACATTGTAGTCGCTGAAATGAAGAGGATTTACCTCACCTCCACGCGAGGTGGGATGCGGCACAAAGCCTGAAGGAAAGAGAGATCGAGGCAAGAAGTCGCCTAGTATTTATAGTATGGGGAGAAAGATCCTTAGTGACAATTAGGGAATTAAGGAGGAGCTAACTCCGACATTTCCTTCTTTTTTGTTATTGATAGTTCAAAACTTTACTTCAGGTCCTTTTTGTTTTTTTTATCACATTTAAAACAGCTATGAAGATGCCACTTCAAAAGGTCTATTGTATAATGACCGACTGCCTTTTGATATTTAACTTTGTATGGAATAAAGCGAAATAGAGAGGATGGGAAAATGAGGTCGCATCAGTCCTCCAAGAGGAAGAGAAATCTTGTCTGCTTTGAAAACAGAAGTTGAAATTCTCGCTTTTACCTGTGCTTGAACTTGAAAACAGCAGTTGGAATCGTCGCTTTAATCTGGGCTTGAACACTAACTTTCGACATTAGTCTGAAATTGACACGGTGGCTGAAATAATTGTCTATCTGAAATATATCCACTAAGCCTATCTTTTGGCAGAAGGATAAAAAAAAGAGGCAAAAAAGATTGTGTTGCGCCAGTCTTACCCGCCTGTTTTATAAATCAGAACATCGATAGTTAGTGCCGGCGAGAAATTAATTTTTTTTGTTTATTTTTTTTAATTTAAAATTTTTTTTTTGTTTTTTTTGTTTTTTGGGTTTTTTTGTGTTTTTTTTTTTTTTTTTTTTTGTGGGATTTTTTTTTTTTTTTTTTTGTGGGATTTTTTTTTGTTTTTTGGATTTTTTTTTTTTTTTTTTGGGGTTTTTTTTGTTGGTTTTTTGTGGTTTTTTTTTGTTGTTTTTTGTGGGGTTTTTGTTTTTTTGTTTTTGTTTTTGTGGGGTTCTTGTTTTGTTTGTTTTTTTGTGTTTTTTTTTTTTTTTTTTTTTTTTTTTTTTTGTTTTTTGTTTTTTTAAATTCAGCATTCTGAATCTTTGCTTATACATGTATTTGAACGCCGACCTTTATAGGTCATCACTACTCTCGTCTTTGTATGACCGATAACAAACTATAACAATTTTTGGAAGAGTAAAGCCGAATTGTTGTTATACTTATTTTACTAACAACACATTGGTTGATCGTGAGAAGAATTACATGCATTTTTTCTCTATTTTTAAACATTCAGGCGATTTTAGCCAAGCCGTCTCTGTGATTTGTTCAACAAATTCTATGACAGCCGTTGGAAGCACTGGGATAGAATTACAGCCAGGAGCTGATTTTATTGGTCGAGAAGAGACTAACTCTTATCGCGTTGTCTTTCCTCAAGATGTAAGACAAACAACGTGTCTAGTTAAGGTAAGTGATCTTATTAGGCAATTATGCCCGAGACGTAGTATTTTGAAATCTTTCCACTGATAATATTCCATAGATTCCGGATGTTCTTATTTGTAACATTTTAATAAATGGCTGAAGTTTTCATTTCGTAACTTTTTTTTTGAAGGTATTATTTTTACCCTATTTTAGAATAGTCTGACACAAGGCTTTTAATATGAGTACATATGTGCTTGGGTACATAATACAGGGTTATTCAAAAAGAAAGAGCAGATTTTGAAAATCTGATAAAAACAAATAATAAAAAAGACAGAAACATATTCAACATATTACTACATAGAAAAAGATTCAAAATTATTAAAATAAATGAAAGTTTTGTTCAATCTTGTTTAAATGCTTCTTTTTGTTTGTTTTTTTTTTTTTCAGATTTTATATAAATTTAAATTATTATAATTTGTGTAAATTCTTAAAATGTCCACACCACAAGAAAAGTCATTTTGTGTATTGCAATTTGCGAAGTATAACCTTAATTAATAAACTTTGAACCTTTTATGATCTAGCAATGCATTTTTGTATCATAGGATTTCTTTTTATTAAATTTGTCCTGGGTTTCTCGTTGTTCACCGGCAACTCCTCAGGCTCCAACGCTGCATCACGGACTAAATGAACGATGGACATTTATTTTTTTAGGGTTCTTTTCCTCGCTTTATTTCGGAGGGTTAGATACAGTAATAATAGCATCATTTCTTGGATAAAACGATAAGGAGGTAGAGGACGGATTTTCAACAGGTCAGTCGGTCAGCAACATACCATCCCCAAGTGTTGGCTTGTCTGCTGAAGACACGCCAAGGAGCATCATCATCGACTGTCGTATTTGACAAAGACACAAGGAGATTCATCTTGGTCCAGAGGTTTGAAACGCGTGGCACTGCTCGCTCATAACTGGCCAGCCTCGATTGTTGCTACTAACTTTCACTCTTTTTTCTCGTTGACCACTCCAGATTATAATGCCAGAACTATGATCTCACGCCAGTAACGATACTCTCTGGTTTGACTAGCACCATGGGAAGCCAAAGCAGTACAATAGAGGCATTAGCCAAATGCCCGGCAGTAGCATCCTAACGGTGCTAGGTATCGCCAAACGTTGGTTCTGCCGAAGGGAGCAGTGCTGATCAAACTGCTTGATGCAGACAGTGCTTAGCAGCTGCATTTCACCAGCTTTCTGTCTCTACCATAACCGCGGTACGGGTATCTTAGGATTTTTCAAAGTCTCACCCCCAACTTAGCGGAGGGTGGTTTACTTTTCCATTGCTGACCTGGGATCAAAAGATCGGTCTCACATCACTGCTCTAATCTGGGAGCAGAGAGTGATGTCTTCAGTTCTTTATTGTTGCAGCAGTACTCACCGTCTTGGCGCATTATTTCTCTCATATTAAAACTTAAACAAAAACAATCCATCACTGTCAGGATTCCACGCCCATCGGATACAAATCACCCCCATTCAATTCGGGTCGTCAAAGTTCTGACCAAAGGTCGCCTAATAAAAATACCAAGAACCACTCAAGGTAGAAAGTTACTGAATAAGGTGTGTGAGATATATATATATATATATATATATATATATATATATATATATATATATGAATGAGAGGAGGTTGGTTCGTTGATTTTGTTTAGCGGCGTATCAAAATTTGTGTTATTTAATGCCAAAATCTACATATTTGGAAAATAATTTTATGGCTGTAATCAAAGGTACGAACATAGAAACACACACACACACACATATATATATATATATATATATATATATATATATTGATGTCGGAGTAAATAGATCGTCATCAAATGTTACTTTAGTACAATAATAGAAACAAAACAATAAATAAGAAAAGAATTAAAAGTATAAAATTATCATTAAATATATGAGAATATTTGAGAGGTTGGATATTCTGAACCAATTTTTACTATTGGTTCAGATTTTAATATAAGTGTAATAATTATTTATATATTATTGTACTAATTATTTTCGAACAACAGATGTCCAGCCAGATCCACCCATTTTACCTTACCGGAAAGTACTGAAAGTAAATAAACAGACTAGGACTCTCTACTACATCAACTGGGCGAACTTGGTGCCTATACAATTCGTTAGAAGTTTCCAGAATACTCTTTAAACCAATTCTGGGTAATCGATGACATGGTGCATGCTGGAAATAGCAGCTCGTCGTTTTGGCCCACGGATTCTAGGAATTGGTGCAAATGATCATAAAACAGCGTAACATTGAGTTACCGGTTAATGACGCATTTAGGCGGACCGGTGGACTCAATCCATGCCACGTGAATATATGTCAGACGTTTAACAAACCCCCACAAGTATGCACAGTATCTTGTTGACAATAGGTGCCCAGGCCTCATAGAGTCTCACCACATACCCTAAGCCCGTAACAACTGAAACTATCACTCATCAGACCACTAAAAACGTTGAATTTCCCAGGGTCCAATAGTGTTTCATCTGGGTCTGTTACTTCACTATCTCTGGTGTCGTGGTTTTAACGGGAGCACCCCAGCGTGTCTTCTACTCTCATATGGAAGCTAAATGGCTTGATAGATATGCGTCTGGTACCTACTGTAGTGAATGCGACTATGATTTTAAGCTAGTTTTCGTTACTGCAAGCAATTCTAAGCAGGACCTGTATCCGCCCTCTGCGCTGTTTACGGTGGACGGTAATGTTTTCCATCAGGTATTCCCGGTACACGCGTCAAATGAAGGGTTTGAAATTTTCCTACAGTTTAAGTAATAGAATGTTCAATCGTCTGGCATCAACTATATCATGTCCCGTTCGAATTCTAATAATTCACATCGCCTTGCCATGACTAGTCTCGCTAGTGTTATCACTGACTCAACATATTTTAAAGGATAGCTGATATAGGTCTGGGCATTTCTATCAAGTTACGGTGGCGCCACCTACCATTGACTTTACATACTGCTGATCCATGACTTTTGCCACGTCAGTGTATTTGGTATTTCAGCTTCGAATTTCTGGATTTTCTTGGCTTTGAATCTGCTCGAGCGATATGCGATCTCGTATATCAACTGTTAAATCGGTCGGTACTCGCGGTGAGAACCTATTTTTTTTTTGTTGGTATTCTTTTAGCCTACAACTTAAACCCAACTTAAAATTATTGCCCCATTTATTCAAAGTACAACTAAGAAACCAAATTCATTTATCTTCCTTTTAAATAGACGATCGTGACTCTGCCCAGATTCCTTTTCTCTATTATCCGGGGATTATCATGGATTCTTGGGGGGGAATAGTGTTTATTTTTATTTATTTATTTTTTGCTGCTTTCTTCACAGTTTGGAATTCAGCTTACTGATTGCTAACTAAGGTTAGAGAGCGCAGTCTACCCTGCTATTTTCCGTCGCAGATGTTCGGGTAAACTACATTTATTGGTTCCAGACCTTCACAGCTACGATCGCTAGATCACATACAAGACGTCAAGTCATCTTCATTCCATTCATATTCCATTGGTGAGGAGGAAGTTCCTCTCAGTTTGCACGGTTGCACTCTGCAACCTCTTTCCTAAAGACGCAACACTGAAACCTTATAGCTACCCTATCGTAAATTTTCAGATGAGCTTCGATATTTAGTCCCACTAGTTTACACATTCCAACCGTAAAAAGAAAATTCCACTAAGAGAGACTTTTCCCACTACTACGTGGAACAAACTCCCGCGTGGCTGCTTTCCTAAACCTCTTCTAGTCGAGGATCAATCGCTATCTTCATTATCCTCATAATCTTACTGCTGAAAGGTCGCTTCCCAGATCACTACAATCTAAACCTCTTCAGGGGGTCAACCGTTATCTATCCTACATATCATCATAATATGCACCTCTTGCTTCCCCTCTGTATGCGCTTACAATAACATTATTTACTAAATCTTTACCTTGAGTGGCTCTTGTGGCTTGAACAGTAGTTAAAAAATAGCTTGTGGTGGGAAGAAGAGACGAATTAGCATTAGCCTAAAAATGAACACAAAAGACTAGTCCAGAATTTGAACACTGCTCGCTGAATTCATTTTCTTCTTCGCACTTCCTTATCCCTTAGCAAACTTTTAAGACTGGTTATTCAGTGTCTGTCAGCTAATTGTAAAATCTATATATATCTTTATTTTTCTATTTGTTCTTTCGAAAAGTGTAACGTGGATTCGGACTCAAGAGGTTAGATTCGGTTGTGTCTTCGCAGCGTAGAGCCTTAAAGCAATGTTGGCATGCATTTGATGAAATTCATTATTATTTGTTATTTTTTTGTTTTGCAGATTATAGATGACACCATTTATGAAGCTGCAGAGCATTTTCAACTGGTATTATCGGATCCCTCGTCAGGCGCACGACTGGGCTTAGTCAATAAAGCTGTCGCTATAATAGATGGACCTAATGATGGTAAGTTCAGTTTTTGTTCAAGACAAGACTTAAAAAAGTAATTTCACGCCATGTAAGGCAATAAAACCACTAAAACACAAGGGGTCACTGAGTATGAAAGAATAAGAAAAAAAAAAACATTATCAAGGAGCAAGAACAATAGAAGAATAATCTAGACAACACTAGATAACGATTGACATTACATTTAAATTTTTGAAGATCAAAGTTGGCTGGAAAACATGAAGCCGGAAGAAAGTTCCACAAGCGAGAAATACTATAAATGAAAATGTTAGCATAGAACTTACGATTACATGTAGCCAATTCAACTGTGAATTGATGAGACCTAGTCGCCAATCTAGTACTGCGCTTAAATTTATAAAGTCTACGTGTCATATCGAAGAGATCATCCGAATAGTCACAATGAAAGTAATTATAGAAAAGGCACAGGAAAGCTACATTACGACGGTGATAAAGTGACTGAAGCCGAGATGCCAGGTCAAGACCAATAACATTATGGATTCTTCTTTGGATTTTATCAAGAAACACTGAACCATATGTGACAGCAATATTCAAAGCATGAACGAATGGTAGAATTTAACCCATTAGCTAAAATAACCTATTTAATTGCATATTAGACCCCCTATTTGGACTATTATGGAGTTATTGCAGTATTATGGATTTAACTTATGCATATGTACCGCTAGTCGGTGGCGTTTGGGTAAACATTAACCTATGAGATATGTTGAGGAATATTTTTGATAGACTTTCGTTGATAGGGACGAATTAAACTTTCCTCAAACAGGGAGTAAGAATGAATAAACAATTATGTACAGTTAAAACTTATTGTCTTAGCAAGCTAAGTGGACATTATCAAGGAGCGAGAACAATAGAAGACTAATCTAGATTACAGTAGATAACGATTGACATTACATTTAAATTTTTGAAGATCAAAGTTGGCTGGAAAACATGGAGCCGGAAGAAAGGAGGCAAACGAAGGTGTGTACGTATGTATGCCCATTTTCGTGCGTACGTATGTGAAAGATTTTGATAAATTTATATTTAAGAGTTCTTTATCTGTTGATTAGCTATGTCTGTGAGTAGTCAATTGATCTTCGAGCATTTGGTGCTGTATACAGTGGTGTGCATAGGTCTAGTAGCACCCGGGGCGAGGATTGTGTCTGACGTCTCCTCCTTCCATACCGCAAAAGAAATCACAACATATCCTTAGTTTATTTTCTTTTGGACAGATCCATTGTTCACAAAGTTTTAACATAATCAGTTAGAGAAAATGTTTAAATAAAAAACATTAACACAGTTGACAAATTTTATTTATTTATAGATTATAAATAAGGTTGACAAAATGGATTCGTTTGTGAAACATTTCTTAACCGTATTTTATTGTTTTAAAACTAAAACTACAGAAAGTTGAACATTCCGATTAAAAAAAGACAAAAATCTAATAATTGACAGTTGATAAACATAAATGAAAATCGATTTCAATTCAGTAGTAGTTAAATAAAATTTTGCGTAAATATTTCTTGTCTAATATTTGTTTTGCAAAATCTTTCGATAAAGTATTTTGTGAAATATGGCAACAAAAAGAGAAACTATATTATTGTGCTCTCAAAAAATAAGCTGAAAGATTAATTTTGAAAATATATTTCATTTGAATTTTTATTACAATTAGGTTTGTTTTGAAATTCTTTAAATTTTCGCTCTGTCTCCTATGACATTGTTGGTTATTAATAATTAACTAAAATCAGGTTTACTTACTATTAATAATAAATAGTAAAATAGAAGATTTGGATTTGAAAATCAATGACCAAAAATCAAATATTTTCAATTAAAAGTTTCATACTTACGTTATAAACAAGTAAAGTTTACTTATTTTAATGGTGGATATTGCCTTACAGATATTGAGGTCTTGTTTGCTGTTTTCCTTTGTATGAGTACACCTAACTTATGGGAAGTTAGAAAAACAATGACTTAAAACAAGTCCTCATTTTTTTTTTTTTTTTTTTTTTTTGCATGAAATGGCCACCACATTAACATTCCAAATTTACATGATAGTTGCATAATTTAATTATTTATACTATCAAAGAAATTTCACATTTTTATTCTAATTATAAAAATAAAGCGTTTATTGCTTTATTGGTGGTACTGTCAATAAAATATATTTAGTAGTAGTTTATATTTTTACCGTACAAAAAAAAAGTTATAGGTAATAATAATAATATTTAGCTCAACTTTGAGATATTTGATGCAGCAATTTTGGTTTAGAAGTTCGTAAATATAAATTTAATAAAAGAGGTTCAATTGTACTATAGGAACCGTTGAATATACTCTCTCATTTCACTTGGTATTCGCCCAAAAGTTGGATAAAAAAAATGGTATTTTTGTCCTGACAAAAAAATTTAATTTATTTTTAACATATATAAAATTGAAATTTTATGTCAAATTTTCCCCTGTCATCTAAAAGAAATTAGCGACATTTTGTTATTTTTAAATTCTGGATTTTAACTTCTTCATTTTTGCTTTTAAATTCGTTAAATTCCGCTAAAACTTGTTTTTTGTGTAAAAAAGAATGTTCAAAGTTTATTTTTTGTGTGAAAATATTTATTTTTTTGGGTGGACTACCAGGAATCCCTTCAATGAGTCTTTCGGAACATTTGCAATCAACCCGAGGCCTCAACTACAACTGGAATTATTGGTGTCCTTATGTGCCATATGTTTTAGATTTTCTATCTTGTTAAATTTTAAAACAATACAAATATTTTTGGTGCAAGAAAAAAACAACAAAAAAACAAGGAAATGGCCGCCAGCGATTAATACATTGAATTAAAGTTAGATTCTCAACATTTTTTTAACGTTTCAAATTTCTTTAAAATAGAATTAACAAAAAGAAAAAATACACTTACAATTATGTTGATACCAAATTTCCTTTGGTTTTTCAGTTTTTAGTCTGAAAGAAGTTGACTCTATGAGAATGAAAATGTTTCAATAATAACTAATATTTTTTAAGTAGTCTTTGATTTTACGGAATTCTATCTCCGCACCCACCTTTTTATATCTTTTGAAGTTTCTTTTTCACTATCAGTTCACATACATGAAAAATCAAAATGAAAGAACTGACGCCAAAGTCTTGGATTCCTCACACAAGTATGAAAAAAACTTTGGATTCAAATAGGTACCAGCAGACAAATATAGACATTTTACAACTAAAATTAAAAACGATTTTATTTTTAATATCTAATTTTAGGTGTATTTGCTAAATAAAAACAGTTATGTTTCTTCTTCCTTATCGCTGCCTTTGTTGCAACAAAAATAATATACTCCATAGGATGTGTCGCTCCCCAAGGAGTGCCGCCCGGGGCCACCCCATTTGCACACCACTGGTTGTATACTATTCTGCGTTGTGTTCAGATGACACGAAATTCGCTGGGGACTAAAAAGTCCCAAGAGAGGATTGAGATAAGACCTATCTTGTTTTTTTGGGGGGTTTTTTCTGAATCATTTTACCTCAAGAAAGACAATAAAGCCAATAAGACACAAATGGTTACTGAGTGTGAAAGAAAAGGTAAAACAAATATTAAGGAGCGAGAACAATAAAAGATAAAGCAAGACATTAAATAACACTTGAAATTGAATTTAAATTTTTGAAGATCAAAGTCGGCTGGAAAACAAGACGCTGGAAGAGAATTACACAATCGAGAGAGCGAAAAAAGAAAATGTTAGCACAGAACGGTTACTTCTAGCCAATTCAACTGTAAAATGATTAGACCTTATCGCCAATCTAGGTCCAATTACATTGCAGATTATTTCTCCAAATATATAGCAGAAGCACCAGACCATACGTGGCAGCAAAGCATGGATGAATGGTAGACTTATTACATATTTTTATGTAAGATAGATTGTGGCGAGAAAAAAATGTCTAACACGACACAGTAAACCAACTTTCCTAGCAGTAGATCTAGCAATTGATTCAAACGACATGTAATAATGTTTTAAATTTAATAACTATTAATAATAATAATGACGACACAAACAGAATGTACTTTCTTATTGACATAACAGTCACTTCAGATTGTAATGTATCTTTGGAGATATTCAAAAAACTGTTACAATACAAGGATCTTGAAGTGGAAATCTAAAACATGTAGCACATAAGGACACCAATAATTCCAGTTTTAGTTGGAGCCCTCGGGTTGATTGGAAAATGTTCCGAAAGACTCATTGAAGAGATTCCTGGTAGTCCATGCCTTAAAGAAATAGAAAAAAAATGTACTCACAAGTACAAAGAGCTTTATGTAAAATGTGTCTGATGTTAGTAATTTGGGGGTTTTTTTTGGGGGGGTATCAGTGGAAAATGTTATGAAACCATTCCTCTGGTTGAGACCTGGAAGGAAATGTGTATACAACATAAATCAAAGGAAATAATAATAATAACAATAAAATTAATATTTCAACTTTATCTTTTATTTAACAGAATCGCTGATCTTTTTCTCCAAACCGTTGTACATCTTTAACGAAAGCGCTGGTGTCGTAGAAATCGACGTGTTTCGGTCGGGTTCTGATCAAACGCATACGTCTATCGTGTGGTGCGCCACGAGGTTGAGCTCACCTTTATCTGCTTTACCTCGGCAGGATTATGTACCAGTGTCCAATCAGATCACTTTCAGACCTGGACAGACAAGTCAGGTAAGGGGAGAAATTAAATAATATCAGGTTGTCCCAAAAGTTCGTAAACACTTGCGTAAAATTGAATTTTTATGCAACACAATCCAGCACAATCGAGACAAGCGATGGGTTCAGAAAGGGCAAGAGACACCGTCGGTTCCAAAACAAGACCGATTCGGCAAGAAAGTCATGTTGTGCATTTGGTGGAACTTTGAAGGAATCGTGCATTTTGAGTTGGTTCCGAATGGTCGTGTCATCAGTGCCGAACTTTACTGTCAGCAACTGGAGCGGGTCTACGAAAAGTTGAAGCAAAAGTACCCGGCTCTGATCAACCGAAAGCGCGCTTTGATGCAGCAGGACAATGCCAAGCCACACACCGCCAGGAAGACCAAAGACAAGTTTGAAGAGCTGGACGGCATTGAGGTTCTGCCACATCCAGCCTACAGTCCTGACTGTGCTCCATCAGATTACGGCCCTTTCCGCTCAATGCAACACTTTCTGAAGAGCCGCCGATTCGACTCGTTTGATGAAGTCAGGGAGCGTGTCATGAATTCTTTGATTTGAAGCTGGCTGTATGGTACTTTCACCAGATCCGAAAGCTTGCAGATCGATGGCAGAAAATCTTGGAAAATGGTCTTTATTTTGAGGAATAATTTTTATTGTTTTTGTTATTAAAAGTAAAATTTCAATTTTTTGCAAGTGTTTACGAACTTTTGGGACAACCTAACATCACTTTCTGATTCTGGCATTGAACTCTTTTTTTTTTTTTTTTTTTTTTATATATATATATATATATACTTTTTGTCTCTCTTCAAAGTTTTTTTTTTTTTTTTTTTTTTTTTTAATCAAAACGTAGACATTTTGTGTCCGAAAAGCTTTTCAATCGTAAATGTAAATCCGAACATGACTGTCCCTTGTTGGCCTCATCTGCACAAGTTGAAGAAAGCTTTCTAGATTTATTTTATTTGCGAGGACAAACACGAGGAGGTGGCAAATAGTTCTCGGCCCAACCAAAAAGGATCCTCAATTTCCGTGTGTGGATTTTGAAATAGTTTTTGTGTATATATATATATATATAGTGAACATTGAAGTCAACAGAGGCGACAGTCTGTGTCATGCTAGACGCAATCGTCAGGCAGACTTCAATGTTCACATTTATATTTACACACGCTCTATCACTGATATTGAGCACTTTATCCAATAAATATAGCACACCTTAAGACTATATTTCTTATATATATATATATATATATATATATATATATATATAGATATAAGAAAAAGAGCTGGCCACTCGTATTCGAAGACTCCTGTCTACTAAGGCGGCTAACCAATCCTTATTGCAGACGCTCGTTCAGGCACATTTATGTTTGATCAACACTCCAGAGCCCACCTGTGTTTTATGCTGTAACTATGCTGAGTAGATCCTAGTCACAATTTCTGGGAATCTAGACTAGTCAACAATATGAACAAAGCCAGCACGCCCAAACCCTCGGTCACGATGACTTGTGACTTCGTGCTAGCACAGCTATCGACGGCCCCTAAGGGTTCCGTCTACTCAATTGTACACTCAAGGCTTGGGTCATCACGTGGTATGGTTTTCAGGCACTTTCCAAAGGTGCCGCACGTTGGATCGATTACGGGGATCGACCCCTCCAGTCTGATAATATCAAGATGTCTCCTTTCTAGCAGATCGACCATGGTGAGATTTGAACCCAGGTCTCATGGTCAGAATGCGAACGTTCTAACCATGTGCCTAAATAAATAAAATGTATTTATTTTTTTATTTATTTATTAACAATGATAGGTTTTGAAATACTTCAATTTTTGTACTTGATTTCATTCACAGAAATGTCAGCTGACAATTATTGATGATAATATTAACCCCAAACTTGAAGGTAACGAAACCTTTGAAGTATTCCTTAGTTCTTCCGTAGGAAGCAACCTTAACCAGCCATTCTCTGCTGTCGTTCTCATCACCGACATCACTGAAGATGGTAAGAACTCTTCTTTCATTCCTCTAAAACCATTCTACTTCCTGTCTGTGATAGGAAGTAACAAACAGAATTGAAATAGCATGATTGTTGTTCAGTCAGTTCGGTACGAATGAGTGTTAGCTGCGCATGTGTATTTGTTGAATTGTATTGTCGGAGTTACTTCCTCCTTAATTCCCAAATTGTCACTAGGGGTCATTCTCCCTATACTATAAATACTGGGCGACTTCTCGCCTCGTTCTCTTTTTCATTTCGGCGACTACAATGTAACCTCTCTTAGAAGATGCGCGTCTTCCCATTTGTGGGAGACGCCATGAACATTATACACACATACACGTACGTACGAACACTCACCAAAGAACAAACACAAATATTATTGTCTATATCCATTGTAAAATACATATATTTGTTATATATATAATATATTCATCGAGTCTAGAAGAAACCTCAACAGAATGCAGAAAGCACTGGACGACCGTTTCGTCCTATATTTGGAACTCATTAGCAGTGCGCATTCACTACCAAGAATTAAAACCCGGACATTTACATTGACAGGCAAACGTCATACCAACTGCACTAACAGGCCTCGGTGACGAAGAGGTAGCCAACTAGACTCGATATTGCTAAAAAAAAAAAAAAAAAAAAAAAAAACGTGTGTAACTCCTGGTAGAATATTAAAAGGTCCAACTACAAGAAAATGGTCAGACTTCGTGCTAGCACAGCTATCGACGGCCCTACTCAATTTTATTCTCAAGCCTTGAGTCAACACGTGGTATGGTTTTCAGGCACTTTCTAAAGGTGCCGCACGTTGGATCGATTACAGAGATCGACCCCTCCAGTCTGATAATATCAAGATGTCTCCTTTCTGGCAGATCTGACCATTTGAACCCAGATCTCATGGGCAGAATGCGAACGTTCTAACCATGTGCCCAAATTGAATTGAATTAAGTCCAACAAATATATAGGTTTTGTTTGTCTTCTTTATCTTCAATGGACTTAATTCAGGTCCGACCATTTTTTTGTAGTTGGACCTTTTAATATTCTGCCAGGAGTTACACACGTGTTTCTAATACAACAACACACAAACACACACACTTAATACAATCATAACAGGTCTACCGTTTAGGAACTTGTCGATACCCCTACATATTTTATTTTAAAGCAAAGAGAGTAATTTATCGTTCAGTTAAAATTTAAGAATAATTAAGCAAAATGAAGGGCAGAAGGAAGAAACATTGTTTCTTGTGAAGTTATTAAAAATTGAAGACACTGGCGTTGTTATATTAAATTTATAAACTATTATTATAAACGGTTGGCGGTGAAAAAGACGCATTAGACGTATCACCCATTTTCAAAAATTTCAACGTCAATCGCTATCTTCTGTTCTTTTATTGTACTTTCTCCTCACTAAAATCTTTCAATCTGGAGAATGTTACGCAAGACATGGTTCAGCATGTTTAGCAGAATCTGGACTACCAACTTGACGTGTGTCGCGTCACAAGCGGTGCGTTTATTGAAAATTTGTGAACCTTTATAAAATCGGTTATAAATCTATATTCTTTTGAATATATTGTTCAAATTTTGATAAGTCTTTTATTGTTCAACATGAAGCCGATTTCAATTTCGTTTGCCTGGGACGTGTAGTTACTAAGATATACACATTTAAAATTATGTCAATTTTGGTGGTGGGGACACCCTGTATGATAATTCCTCTTCTATGGAGCTTGCACATATTTTGGGTGTTGTGATGCTGATTTTGTAAAATTCTGTCATTGCAGTTGCTATTCTTCAGTTTGAAAATAACATATACGAAGTGGATGAGATGAATTCCTCAATAAGTGTCCCCATTATTAGAAGTGGAGACATCGGTTTCGAGTCGTCTGTTGTCTGTTACACTAAGCAGGGCACGGCAGAAGCAGGAACTGATTTCAAAGAAAGGACGCGTCATCCGAGTTCAACAATTACTTTTAAGTCAGGTGAAACGGTAAGGCATTGAAATATATATATTTTGTTTCAAATATCAGTGAATCTCGTCTTTGCTCTCATTTTGCGCACCACATTTCTGTCATCGATTTTTTTTCATTGTTTCAACTTTTCTAAAGGTTTCAGCATTTAATCCTTCAGCCATATACATATCCGTACCCACATATACATGGGTAAATTGTCGCCATTTTATATTTTTAATTTCACGCATGCGCATTGTTTTTGATTTTGTCGACTGCACAGTATAGTAGGTTCAATTAGGCACTGCTTGTTAGAAAAAGAACACCATGGCACAATTCACACTGTCAGAAATTTGGAAACAGCATGCCACACTGTTTGGCATTCAAGCCAGAAGCTCCAATATGAACATTTCAGAGTGTTTGGGTGTCGATATGAGGACAGTGAAGATGATTTGGAAAGAGTTGGATGATATATCCAGTCAACATTATGGCGTTTGGAGTGATCACTAATGATGGCAACGTTATGCCTCCATTCATCTTCCCACAGGGCCTCTGACTAAAAACTGATCAACTGCCTTGAGGTGGTAGTGCTATGCTGGATCAAGAGGATGGCTACTAGAAGAACCTATTTCTAGCAACAGGACTCTGCACCATACCACACAAGCAGGAGAACCCAGTCATGGCTGTCGGACAATTTCTGTGACGAAACCAACCCTTACATCTGGTCACCTAACTCCCCCAGACAACCCACTTGATTATTATGTATGGGGTACAGTTGAGCGAGAGACCAACAAAACTCCTTGTAACACGAAAGATGAACTGAAGGCAAGGATTATGGTAGCATTCACCAACTTAAACAAGGACACCACCCAGAGAGTTGCAGAAGATTCCGAAGTCGCCTGGAGGCCATGGTTAAAGCCAATGGCGATTTTATTGAATTAATTTATTCTTTAGTATTTCAAGATATGTTTGTGAAATTTTGGTAAATATATCTGTTAAAATGAGATATCCATGTTATTTTCATTTTTGCTTAATTTAGATTACAGTTCATCCATCTCACCTTGTATATGTACATACACACATAAACCAACGTCAACACACACACACACACACACACACACGTCGAAGCGATGTACGCATACATTTACACACATACATGTACATACAATTACATATATTTCAACAGGAACAGTATCGTTGCGGGGCAGCATTTCCGAAGCAAAATTTGCTCGCGCTTCACCAAATTTTATGTGAAAAAAACAAAACAAAACAAAACAGCGTTAAAGGGAGATAAACACAGAATCGAAGTCAGAACATAATCATTGAAAACCCTCTCCTCTAATTTACGGACCCTAATCACTATGTTCTTGATACTTGATATAATGCAAAAATATCCCAATCGGTCAATAATTATTTATAACTATACCGCGACTCATCCATGCAATTACAAATAATAATATTTTAAATTTTGAAATCATATTTATGACAACAAAGATGAGGATCCTCTGGTCAATTAATCGAATAATGCCAGCATTTTGCTTCAGATCGTTAGAATACACTTACATATTTTTATATTTTGAATGAGAGAAAAACATTTCGTTTTTTCCTAATTTTATAGTGGAGAGTTATTTTATTATTCTCTTTTCGTTTCAGACCAAGAACTGCACCGTATACATCAAAGATGACGCTAAATTTGAGAAGAATGAAAGCTTTACCCTATTCCTTATTTCGGCATTTGGGGAGAAAAACTTCCCAGCGGTTCTCATTGGCGAGAAAAACAATGCCACAATTGTTATTACAAATTCTGATGACGGTAGATAACTTTATAATAATAATGCAAACATAATCTGTAATAAATAATAGCATTCAAAATGGCGGATTAAAAGCTTTGAGACTCCGCATAATTAAACATCGTAACCACGTGTTCCGTAACCCACGAGGGTTGTAGGTGCACTACATGTCCTGCAGCCGTAGCTGTAGTGTCGGTTTCTCACCTGACAGTCCACTCCTTTTCAGGTTGATTTTGAATTTAAACTTATTATTCTTCTAGGTTGGTTGCCACCCACGGTTATAGAACACAATCTGCGCTGCTACTTAACCCATAGATGGATGGAGGAAACACGGATTAGTGCCTTTCCCGAGAGTATTTGTGCGAAAGTGAACGCAACAGTCTAGACTGGAATTTGAACCTGGTTCGCCGTTTCCATTTTTTCACCAATAACCGTTACGCCACCGTTTATGTTATTAATTAGTTAGAAATTAAGATTATCCATTATCTTGTGATTCTGCTTTTCTAGCACTCCCTTGAATAATTTATATTATATATATATATATATATATATATATATATATATATATATATATATATATATATATATATATATATATATGAACTCGTTGTTCACGACATTTCGGCCGTTGTGACTTTCGGTCATAGTCAGGTATTTGTCAATCCGGTTAGCCTTTTTTTTCTTCTTTTTCTTTTTAATCATATCACTCCAAGCAAAGCGGAAATGCCACCAGCACGCGGGGGAGTGGCCACAGGTAATGAAAAGTGAAAGAAAAGGCTGAATATACGGAGGATTGAGGAAATGACAACAGATGAACGGGATTCAAGAGGACAAAAGACGGCGATTGACGATGCATTTACATTTTTGATGATTGCAGTTATCAGGGAAGCAAGTAAACAGAACGGAAATCCACAGGCTGGACGTGTGAGCAAAAAAACTGTTGGAGTAGAAGTGGCGGTTGCATTTAGCCATTTCAACAGTAAACGGGTGGGACCTAGACGCCAATTTAGTAGCACGTTTAAATCCATATAGTCGGGGCACGTGGAAAAAAAGCTCGTCAGAGTAGTTGCCATGAAAATATTTGTCGAAAAAACAGTGAGAAGCCACGCCACAAAAGTGACTGACGACGAGATGCCAAGTCAGGACCGATTAAATTACAGATCCTCCTTTGGATTTTGTTAAGAACCTCGAGATGAATAGCAGGAGCACCAGACCAGATATGGCAGCAGAATTCAATTCATTTTCTGGCCCGACACCGTGTCCCAATGTTCCTTGCAGTAGATGCATCTATTGATTCGATGTACTTGCTCCACTTCAAGTCACTTGAGAACGTGAGGCCAAGAAGGAGCAGCGTCTCTCTCTCTCTCTCTCTCTCTCTCTCTCTCTCTCTCTCTCTCTCTCGGAGTCTAGCATCAGCCATGCTGATGGAAGGTAGAAAAGGTTCTCTATGGTGGTTAAATAAAAATAGTTTTGATTTGGAAGCATTAAAATTTTACAAGCCATTTCCTGCACCAGTTAACCTCTCATTGGAGGTCCTTATCAAGAGCAGCTGCCAGGTTTACTCTGTCAGCTCTGACGGATTTGCTATTGAAACAGGAGTAAAAAGGTAGTGTCATCTACATAAATACCTAGTTGTGAACTGATGACATCGGGTGGGGGGGGATCATCGATGAAGATAAGAAACAGCGTAGGGCCCAGATAGAGCCTTTGGCACATCCGCTTTCGTGTGAAATGATCTGGAAGCGAGCCCGTTCAAAACGACCTTCATTTCGTGATTTGATAGGAACGATTGGAATAAATCAAACATTCGACTTCAAACATTTTCATTTGTACCCACTTCTTAAAATAACGACCCACATTCATATTTGATGTAATGGAATAACCAGTCACCCCCATGAATGATTACGCTATAGGTAGCAAATACCTATAAAATCGACCATCTCCGAAGAAGTGAGCGAGACGACGCAAGCACATTCGACCTTCCAACTAGTGGCACTCACTACTAGATTGACCTGTGTGTATAACTGTACCATATTTTATATTGTACTTGTTGTGTACAATAAACCTTTCTTCTGGTATCCACCTGGTGTTATTTTTTTTATTCCCTTAGCACGGAATATAACAATATTTATGATTGCTATTGCAATATTTTGTTAAAGTTAGCCTCAAATATTTTAACGATGCAATAGGGGGATTTCTACGGATATTTTATCATCGTAGAACTCACCTTTTAGCTTACTCAATCATTAACTTAAGAATTAAAATTCATCAGAATATTAAAATAGGAAAACCGTGAAATTTTCACGGGTTAAAACTAGCTTATAATAAATATTGCCTTCATATACATTATTTAAATTAGATGGTTCTAGTTGCGTGAATTATTTCTTCAGAAAGCTTAAAAATGTGTGTAATCATTTTTAGACATCCTATAATAATAATAAAAAAAATATATAAGATCCTTAAATAAAAACAACTTTGCATGATAAACGGATGTCCGTGTAGCGTAAACGGATATCGGCACAGAAGGTGGAATCGGCGTACGGAGTTCAAATTCCGTCTTGTGTAACCTGATCGCTGTGCAACAGGCGAAAACCTGACGCGACCGAATCTCTCATAAGTAACATTACATTTTATTCACAACCCTGGTATTGCAAATACTGTCAGTTAGTGGAACGTGGTTCTTACATTTTCGCATGGATGTATCCGCTTCCCTCTCTGGTTTGGGTGTTTATATATCTGTCAGGCGGTTCTTTCACATGCGTTGTCTATCTGTCGGGATCGTCCCTAACATCGGGTGAATCATTGATCCCCACTTTTATTCTGAAGAGGTCATTCCTCAGAACAACACGGCACCTGGTTTCTCTGTAGGACGCTGAATAATACCAAGTCTATTCTGGGAGGATCTGAAGTGATCACGGTACATACCACACTAGTCTCTTGTGGTCACTTTTGTGCAAATGCCCTTGGAAAAGGTATGCATCCATCTTTTTTCCTAACCAGCTATCAGTTAAATAGTAAACTGAGACCTCTAGCATTAGATGGCAACTATTCTAAGAGAATGAAAATATTTAATTCTAATGCATGAAGGTAACGGGAACCCCCTCCACTATCCTTCCCAAGCTGTCATGGCAATTAACACATAAGAAAACGGCGACTGGAGAGCCATGGTCGCCTGTGTTATGAAGGGATATGGCATTAAAAACAATATTCAAAATACTACCAGCATAATAAAAAAAAATTAAATAAAATTTATTTTTTATTATTTGACATTTAAGGAAAAAAAATATTATTTAAATTTAAGAGCATTAAATAAGTTTCATTTTCTTTACTTTTTTTTTCTCAGTCCCACGCCTGCAATTCAAAGAAGCTGCTTACAGTGTTACAGAACCAAAGGCAGTTAATGAAATCAACACTTTGATTATACAAGTCATACGGACAGGCGATATTAGCCAGACGTCCAGCGTGCGTTGCACTCCCCACGATGCTTCTGCGGTGTCAGGATTGGATTACAACGCTAAAAGTCTAATTCTTCACTTCAAACCAGGTACAATATCAATATTTTTTCAGTCATATCCAACGAGAAGAAAGAATAAATTTCATTAAACGAAAAAGATAGTAATAGAAAAAAAAAGAAAATAATTTGTTTTTTGCACACAAGAAAATATTTGACACTAAGTTTTGTTAAAACTAACTTTTAAATACACACACACACAACTAGGTTGATCTCTCTCACTATAAACCGGATTATGCGTCCACATAAATCATAAAAGCTTTTATATATATATATATATATACACACACACACACACACACACACACACACACACACATATAAAATATATATATATATATATATATATTATAGTGAAAAGAAAGAACAGTAAGATATCCAGTGTTCTTATTGATATTTTTATTTTTACAACAGTGCTCAATGTAAATTTACAGAGCATCAATATTATAAATTAACTGATTGAAAAATATGATTCCTTCGATACACAGGAATTACCACGTTTCAAAAACAGAAGCTAAAACTTCAAATTTAATTATATAATTAAAATCATTAGTTCTGTTTCATCTTCAAGCGAATTTTGGAATATATAATATATATATATATATATATATATATATATATGTGTGTATGTGTGTGTGTTATCAACACATATATATATATGTGTGTGTTATCAACACACACACACATATATATATATATATATATATATATATATATATATATATATATATATATTATCAACATATATCAATACTACAATGTGCGAACCATTAAAATTCAGTCGGCCATTTCACGTGCCTTCAACGACCTGTTATGCTTCGTAGCCACTTTACATCTCAATGATTTCACATTTCTTTTTAATCCTATCACCCCAAGTAAGGCGATAATGCCACTAAAACGCCAGTGAGAGTGGAAGAGAACGAGAAGACTTTAGTGATGTGATGTAAAAGACAAAATTCAGGAAGACAGATTGATATTGCATTTAAATCTTTGAAGATCGCAGGTGGCAAGGAAGCAAGAAAGGGGGAGAGCTCCACAAGCGAGTAGCGCGAGAAAGGAAAGTATTATAATACAACTAACGGTCACATCTATTTCAACATTCAAACGATGAGACCTAGTTGCTAATCTAGTAGTACGCTTAATCGAGACTGTCGTCGTACTAAGGATGAGAGCGCATGGAAACAATTGCCGTGAAAATATAGAGATAGGAGGAACATATGTCATGGTGATGGGAAAGTAATTGAAGTTGAGATGCCATGTCAGAACCGATGACATTATAGACTCTTCTTTGGATTTTGTCGAGAATCTCTAGATATATTACGGGACCTCCAGACCAGATATGGCTGTAATATTCAATGCGCAGACAAATGATAGATTTATAAATGTGCAAGATGGATTCTGCCGAGAAAAACTGTCTAGCATGACATCGTGAATCAACCTTCCTAGCAATTGATTCATTATTATCATTCCACTTCAAGTCAGTGGACAACGTGGGATCAATAAGGCGTAATGAATTGCTCTCCTGGAAGTTAGCATCAACCATTGTAATGGAAGGACAAAACGGCAGTTATGTTTGGGAGGCGTTAAAACGTACAAGCCATTTCTTGCCCAAGTTAACAATAGAAAGCATTTAATTAATGGAAGTTATTTTCGAGAGCAGTTGTCTTTTTTTTTTTTTTACTTTGACCTATCGGAATTAGTATTAAGATGGGGGTGAATAGTTGTGTCTTCGGCATAAATTTGGAATATGTTCAAGGATGGAGCCATAGAGGACTGCCTCATAAATGCGAAAAGATCTAGAACCGTGGCCGTTCAACACTATCTTTTTTTTTTTTTTGAAGCATTTCACCCCAAGCAAGGCGGGAAGCTACTAGCACCCAAGGGGTTACAGATGATTTAGAGCGAGAACAGATAGGAGTGATAGAGGAGAGGATGAGGAGAAGGATAGTGGATAGATCAAGGCAACTGGAGATGTCGATTGACATTATATTTGAATAGTTGGAGATCATAGCTATCAGGGAACCAGGGAAAGGCGTTCCACAGGCGAGGGGTGCGAGATATGAAGCTATTGGAGTAGAAGAGACGGATACATTTAACAGTTTCAACAGTGAAAGGGTGAGATTTTCTTTCTTTTTTCTTCTCTGTTTTTCTTTCTTTTTTCTTCTCTGTTTTTCTTTCTTTCTTTTTCTCTGTTTTTCTTTCTTTCTTTTTTCTGTTTTTCTTTCTTTCTTTTTTCTGTTTTTCTTTCTTTCTTTTTTTTCTGTTTTTCTTTCTTTCTTTTTTCTCTGTTTTTCTTTCTTTCTTTCTTTTTTCTCTGTTTTTCTTTCTTTCTTTTTTCTCTGTTTTTCTTTCTTTTTTTTTTCTCTGTTTTTCTTTTTTTTTTTTTTTCTGTTTTTTTTTTTTTTTTTTTCTGTTTTTCTTTCTTTCTTTTTTCTCTGTTTTTCTTTCTTTCTTTCTTTTTTCTCTGTTTTTCTTTCTTTCTTTTTTCTCTGTTTTTCTTTCTTTCTTTTTTCTCTGTTTTTCTTTCTTTCTTTTTTCTCTGTTTTTCTTTCTTTTTTCTCTGTTTTTCTTTCTTTTTTCTCTGTTTTTCTTTCTTTTTTCTCTGTTTTTCTTTCTTTTTTCTCTGTTTTTCTTTTTTTCTTTTTTCTTCTCTTTTTCTTTTTTTCTTTTTTTCTCTTTTTCTTTCTTTTTCTTTTTTTTCTTTTTTTCTCTTTTTCTTTCTTTTTTTCTTTTTTCTCTTTCTTTCTTTCTTTTTTTCTTTTTTCTTTTTTCTCTTTTTCTTTCTTTTTTCTTTTTTTTCTCTTTTTCTTTCTTTTTTTTTTTCTTTTTTTCTTTTTCTTTCTTTTTTTTTTTTTTTCTCTTTTTCTTTCTTTTTTCTTTTTCTTTTTCTTTCTTTTTTTTCTTTTTCTTTCTTTTTCTTTTTTCTCTTTTTCTTTCTTTTTTTTCTCTTTTTCTTTCTTTTTTTTCTTTCTTTTTTCTTTTTTTCTTTTTCTTTCTTTTTTTTCTCTTTTTCTTTCTTTTTTTCTCTTTTTCTTTCCTTTTTTCTCTTTTTCTTTCTCTTTGTTTTTTCTTTGTTTTTTCTTTCATATTTTTCCTCTCTCTTTTTTTTACTTTCTTCTCTCTTTTTTTTACTTTCTTTCTTTTTTTCCTCTTTCTTTTTTTACTTTCTTTTTTCCTCTTTCTTTTTTTACTTTCTTTTTTCCTTCTTTTTTTACTTTCTTTTTTCCTTCTTTTTTTACTTTCTTTTTTTCCTTCTTTTTTTACTTTCTTTTTTCCTTCTTTTTTTACTTTCTTTTTTCCTCTTTCTTTTTTACTTTCTTTTTTCCTCTTTCTTTTTTACTTTCTTTTTTCCTCTTTCTTTTTTACTTTCTTTTTTCCTCTTTCTTTTTTACTTTCTTTTTTCCTCTTTCTTTTTTTTACTTTCTTTTTCCTCTTTCTTTCTCTTTCTTTTTTCTATTCCTCTTTCTTTTTTGCACTTTTTCCTCTTTTTTTCCTTTCTTTTTTTTCTTACTTTTTCCTTTCTTTTTTCCCCTCTATTTCTTTTTCTTTTTTCCCCTCTATTTCTTTTTTTCTTTCTTTCCTTTTCTCTTTCTTTCCTTTTCTCTTTTTCTCTCTGTGTGTATCTCTCTCTGTGTCTCTCTCCCCCACGATTTGAAAACACTAACTGCTTTTATCAACCGAGCATTTTTTTTCATTCGTCGCCAACTGAATAATATTAATTATATTATATTATATTAGCATATCAAAATACCTTTATGGCGACTCCTGCGACTGACTTGTTTTTAATTTGAAAATTACATCTTCAGCATATCATGCAGAATATGTGCCCTTTTTTCAGCAAGTAACTCTTTTCCGCCATATTTTCCTGTCGTAGGATAAACGCTGTCGCTTGGTTTGTCGAGGTAATTCGCCGTTTTCTTCGCTATGGGGACATAGTACATAAAGATTATCATCTTGATTTATTTTGAACGTTTTAAAAAAATTACTGAATTTTTTGCAGGAATCCAGAGCATTGATTATGCTGTCGATATTCTTTACAACAGTCATATAGAATGGCATGAGTCCTTTGTCATTGTTCTCGAACCTGAAGAAATCTTTGGTGCAGAAATCGGGAAAATTCAGTCTACCACTGTTACCATTTTAGACAACAAAGTTTCCGGAAGTATTGTCTTCCCGGCACCTCCAATAGTAAGCTCCTTCCTGTATTTTAAACTTTAAATACTAAAAAAGGTCTTTCAAAAAAAAGTGTTAACATTTAATAGCAGCGTACATCGATTAAAATATATGGTTATGAAAAGAAAAATTTCTAAACCAGATATTTATGTCAATTTGTGACCTGATGACTTTACTGACAATCGAGATAAAAAGATAAAATGATACAAAAACCTTTCTTTTTGTTCGTGGTTGCCTTTGCTTTATTATGATGATGTTGAAAAAGGTTTATTAAAATGATATATAACCTTTCTTTTTATTAGAAGTTGTTTTCTCGCATTACTATGACGATGTTGAAAAGGCTTTGCCCATGAAATAATATTTAACATTTCTTTTTATTCGAGGTTGTTTCCTTGCTTTACTATGACGATGTTGAAAAAGGCTTACATATAAATCCTAGTCCCGGTTACCCATTGGTTTGTGTCACGGTAAGCAGTCATTTTTGTTTTCTTCCTATTTTCCATATAAGAAGGAACTGGATAAAATGTGTAGATAGTTTATCCACAGAAACATATTTTCGTCTTACTTTCATGATATATATATATATATATATATATATATATATATATATATATATATATATATATCTTAGTATATTGGGGCAGCAGATCATTATTTAAGCATATATTGTGAAATATAACAATGAATTCCTATTATGTCTGATCATAAGCCGTCGAATGTTTGCTTTAATTTCTGGTGTAAATAAATCCAAAAATTATCCAACATTTGGATATTTTTATTGTTATCTACTAATATCTGTCTAATATCAATTTACATGCCCGTTCAGAGATTGTATCACTGATGCTAATAATAAAGCCGCTACATATATTGGTTTTACTGCAACCACCCTCTCTGGTATGACGGTCTATCGCGTGGTATGACGTCATAGAACCGCATCTTGAACTTACAATCTGCGTCTGCTACCTTGCGACCGTTATCATCGCATAGCAAATTTCTATGTCAAAATAACAAAATTTCAGCTTTCACTGTGGATATCTTTGTTTTATGTCTGTATAACCATTCTGAAGATGGCTCGTGCGAGCCGAAAGCTTCGGACCAACTTAATAAAAAAAATATCCAAATGTTTGACAATATTTGTCTTTATTTACACAAGAAATTAAAGCAAACATTCGAACATTAGAATGGCTCATGATCAAACATAATAGAACTTCATTGTCTGTTATATTTAACAAATATATATATATATATATATATATATAATACTATGCTACCGTGTACTAAAAGGATTAGAATTGTTTTGTCTTTCTCAATTGCTTAACCTCTGACCGCCTTAAAAATCAGTATTTTATTGAATACAAGTGAAACATGGTGGTGAGAGATACGTAATCACTTTTGTCTCTAAACGGTTTCTTTGATAGGGATAAATTCATTTCTTGTTATCTAATCTATCTAAAGTAATGGCTGACTGCTCGTATCTGAGTATGCCTATTTACTACGGCAGTTATTAAATCTCTATTGCTGACGCACATTTGTGTTTATTCAACACCCACAGAACTCATCTGTGGTTTATAGTGCAACTGTGCTGAGCTAACATTTGTTACAGTTTCTAGGAGAGTTTCATCAACCGTCTGAACAATGCTTGCACGATCAAATCCTCGGTCAAGGTTAGCTCAAAAAAAAAATAGTTCCTTTTATCCAGTTTCACCCAGAAGGCTTGGCTCAACCCATGCCATTGTTTTTCAGGTACTTTACAAAGGTGCCAATCGCTTGAATCACCTGTACAGGTCGATAACTTCAAGAAGTCACCTTCCTGACAAATCGACCATATAAAGAAATGGACAAAGTCCGATAATTTATTTTATTAAAGATATTTATGTTTAACGTTCTAAGAAATTTTAATAAAATAAATTGTCGGACTTTGTCCATTTCTTAATATATGACGTCATTTGTTTACATTTGATACGCCAGAGCAGTTATGAATGTACAAGATTCATGGAAGATTGAAGTTTATAAGCAGTAAATTCGACCTTGCCTACCGAACGCTCCTTTGTGGCCGATTGGTAAGGCACATCAGCGTAAATGACGGTTTCGTATAGGATGCAGGTTCGAATCCTGTCAAAGAACGAATATTTTCTATGAAAATTTCTCGGACATTCAGGCCGGTAAATGTTATTTAATACTGTTTATTATAAACAGAGCATTTACTTAAATACTTGTATCTATAAAAAAGAACGTTAAACATAAAAATGTCTTTAATAATATATATATATATATATATATATATATATATATATATATATATAAAAAATAGGAATAAATAATGTGATTTATAATTCAGAGATCTTAGCATTTATTTTTAAAAAACAGTGCTCGATACAACAGTGGAGCATAATATTATAATTTTTTAAAAATATATTATCATCGCAACACCGAAGTACCCATGTTTCAAAACTGAAATTTAAATCCAATCATAAAAATAAAAAAAAACAAAAACAATTATATATACAATTTTCCTAACTCAAGAAATGACTAGAAAACTCAAAAATTAAAAATGACAGCCTGTGAAAAAAAAAATCGGAATCCAAATGGCAACAACTGGAAAAAAGAGTGAAATGCTTAAGGAGTAAATGGGGGGTGGGTGAGAAGCAACGAAAAGGCCACATAATCACATGTATACACATTTGCGCATATGGGAGTATGCGGTCGGACGCACATATACACTATAGAAAAAAAAAAACTGCACCAGTGATATTCACATATAAAAGAGAAAAATCGAGAAGTATGAGCAGTTAATTGCTAATATCCCTTGACGAGTGGATGGATCGGTCCGTCTACGAAACATTCAGATTTCAATCAGCTAAGTGACAAACCTTTTTACTTATATATATATATATATATATATATATATATATATATATATATATATTATAAACAAGCAGTGTCAAAATGGCGACAGGAATTCGAGCTGCCGGACGATTCTTCCTTGTTTCTGGAGAAGCCATTATTTAGATTTCCCAAAAGAGTCGGATTTATATTCTGTGGCTCTGATGAGGACATATTTCCCTACGGGGAAATCGGCGTTATGGGCTTGTTTGTTGCCCCATGGCAGCTCGCTGGCCGGTATAGCCTTGCTCGTCTTTAAAAAAAAAACAAAAAAAAAAAAAACGCTCATGGTTGACTCCAGGCAGCTAAGAAACGACTAACTGCTTTCGTCACTCTATGAATTGACGTCACTGAGCGGATGTCACGTGTCCTTCGTCGGTTCTTCTCGACCAAAGCGAGATAATCGCCTTTTGCATCGCTACATCACAAATAGTGTCGATATTAATCTATTTTACTGTTTGACTCGATCTCTCTTCTATAGGGCCGTGGATTAAGATAATAAGACGTTTTCATAGAATATATATAAACTTATCTTCTTACTTAAAAAAAAATGTCTGAAAAAGAAACACATTAAGTTACGGTTACAAGTTCTCGCTTTATTCGGAATATTAGTTGAAAAGAGAATGAGTCGACTAACGCTAAATAAGATTTCCTTATCTCAAGTCTGACAGCAGCAGGGCCCAAGTGAAATAACTTCTCTGACCCCTAATCATTTACTTCTTCTTTGGCACCTGCTTGTTCCATGGCTAGATCTTTCATCTGACCGCGTGTAAAACTATTGTGCTTTCTGATCCTACCTTGGCATACTTGGCGGGTGGTGAATCCCTGGTTTTATGTTCTTGCGCCGTCTCAATAAATATTAAAAATTGATTGGCGTAAACGAATTTTTCAACGTTGAGTTACTCAAAGTATTGCTAGTTTAAATTAAAATGGAAGGTAACTGAAAACAGATATCCAGAAAGGACGTGGAAATAGAACAATCTGCCCCCGTGGATTAAATGAAGGGTTCGATTCGGAATTCCAACGTATATCACCTGAAGAAGGTCGGCGTGTACACTGGCCGAAATGTCGGGAATATGACAAAGACGAGGACATGTAAATATAAGTTGTTCTTTTTTTTTTTTTTAAAACTACCCCTCCACCAAAAAAAAATTTTTTTCGTTTACTAAATCAAGGTTTTTGGTATAAAAAAAAAAAAAACCCCCAAAAAACAAACAGCTCTCCTCACAGTTTCATACTAATTCATAGGGTTTAATCTTAAAAACTTACCAAGTTCACACTTTTATACTAAAATAAGGATTTTGATGTATAAAAATTTACGTCAACTCATATTTTCCTTTCTAAATCAGTTTAAAGTAAGGTTTTCAGCTTTTATGGTTTTTAGCACTAAAAATCATTGATCACCACCAATCACCGTTGATCATTGCAAAAGTTTGCGTCCAATTAAAATTTAAAAACAATATTTTACATGTTCACAAAAAGACATTTATTAGTCAAGTACATAGCCTCCAGGCTTTTTAACAACTACTCCTCATCATTCTACAAGTTTGTTGATACAATTTTCGTAGAAACTTTATTTTGTTTTTGTTTTTTAAATTTTATTTTTTTATTTTTGTGGAAAGATATATATTCAACTTACTGCAAAATGTTCAATTTTTTTTGTCATTTAAATTGTTCTGGAACTGGAATAAATGAAAATCCAAAGAAGCCAAGTTAGGAGATTGTGGGGGTTCTATTTCAATTTTTTAAGCTTCTGCGAGGTCTGTTTTGCAACATGCAGTCTTGAGTTGTAGTAAATGACACCTTTTTGATTTGCCTAAACAGTCCGTTTTTCTTGAACACAAATCTCTTCAAATGGCGAAAGGCAATTGAGATATCGATTTTCGAACTCTTAGCAATCTCGTTCGTCGAAATCCTCAGTTTATTCTCCACGATGGCAAGCAGGGCGCCTTCATTGACGTCGGAAGGTCGTCCAAAATGTGGTTGGTCGTTTAAATTAAAATCAACCAGACGAAATCTGCCAATCCACTTTTTGACCATCCAAAGAGCTGTGTCATGATCTTAGTAAAACTTTAGTATGTTTTTTTTTTGTTTCAGTTCCGACGCTTACTTCTTTTGGAAATTCATAGAGCAAAATATGGCGGAAACGCAACTTTTCATCCTCCATCTTTAAGGCATTCATTTGTAGACAAAACGTTAAGATACAACAAAGTCTGAATCGCATATGAACTATGCAAAGTTTCAGTCTAGAACACACCAGAAATTGACACCAAAACAAACACTAGTATCAACTTCAGGTCATTTTATATTAACAATGGAAATTGGGCTTCAACTTTTGTAATGATCTGATATTATAGCGGTATGGAATTTGAGTTGAGAAAAGAGGGAGGTGTTCTCTAACCTAATTTTTTTTTTATTTAGTGTCATTGATTTTGCATTCATCAAAGCCAAAGAGTTTTCATTGTTTGTTTCAGCCTTGTGACCATCATTATCCAGCATATCTTTCAACCCAAAGTCTGTGTGAGGAGGCTGGCATCAATTCCACCCAAATATCTTTCAAGTGGGAAGCAGCTTTCCCGAGCCAGGTTGACGAGAATTCCTACCAGCCGTTTGTGGAAATTACTGACAACACCCTTTTCACCGAAGTGACTGGCGTTCTACTGGACAGCGTCTACTTCCGTCCTCGTGTTCGTCTTCGCTGTTCAGCGGCCCCCACCGACAAAGAAGGAAATTCTGGTATTCGGCTGAAGAGTAACAGTGTTGACATTAGTCAGAATGACGGCATTTGCCATTCTCCAATCTACACTGGCAACCCCTTCAGTTATCAAGCACAGTCATTCGTCGCCAGTTTGATGTACACCCCAATCAGTGACCTCAAACACCCCAACACAATCCGAATATCAGTAACCATTCCTCACCAGGATGGTATGTTGCCACTGGTTTCAACGATGCCATTGAATAACATCAAGTTCTTGCTGTCGGAAGCTATATACCGACAACATCACGTCTGCTCAAATCTGATGGAAACTTCATTCACTAAGTTGGAAGTTGACACAGGGTTTTGGGGCTTTGATTCGGGAAGGATAGACCAGAATTCAGGTAAATCTTTTGGTTCTCTTTTCAAAACTGCTTCGCCTACTGCAACAGGTAAAATTTAAAAGTTCCCATTACTCCTTATTTAAAAAATAAAAATCTTTATCATTTCACCGCAAACAGTACCAGGGAGAGAATTTCCGAGGTCCGACACGCAGATTATTTTAAGCCCACCCGTTCGGAAAAGGACATGATGGAACAAATAAACTCGATCTATTGTGTCTTACAAGACTTTTTAAAGAGCGTGTCTTGCTTGGCAACCCTTGCAATCGAGTGTGATTTGGCACGAGAATTAGACTTTGAGTTTAGACTGGTCGAAGGTACCGTATATACTTGTATATAAGCTTACTTCATATTTAGTGCGACCCCTGATATTTTTAATATAACTCGTGTATAATGCAACCCAGGCTTCTGAGCAATACCACTAGGCCTACCGTAGTCAAATATTACAGTATTGGACACCACCTGGACATATTTTATAGCAAATAAATGATCTTCATTCTTTTTGTACATAGCTATCTCAAAATGAGGGGAGAAAACATTTAGCGTAAAATATCTTGTACAAAGATTTAGATAACATACTTTTGTTGTCATTCATACGATAACGCCTTCACTCTAGGCCTGCCTCCTACGTAGCCGAAGTCCCTTCCCTTTTGTCGTTCACATGAAGAACAAAACCTCTCTCACTATGTATACATCTTAAAATCAACAAATACCTTATAGAAATGAAGAATTAATAAATTTTTTCATTATTCGGACTATTGTCCTCATCTTTGTTGCTATATTTATTACAACGTTTCGGCCGTTGTACGCTCCGGCCTTCTTCAGGTGGTTGGTATGTCCTCAAGGACACATGGCAGAGTGGATAAAGGCGTTAGTTAGATCCAGTGACAGGTCCCAAAGAGTGTGAGTTCAATACCCGGATTAAGGCAGTGGAGAACTTGGAGAGGGGAATTAACAGGAGATAACTGACATCCATTAAACATGGCACGTGGAACTAGAACAGTATACCCCAGTGAGCGAAATAAAGGGTTCAGTTCGACATTCCAACCACCTGAAGAAGGCCAGAGCATACAACGGCCAAAACGTTGTAATAAATATGGAGACAAAGATGAGGACAGTAGTCCGAATAATGTAAATAGTGTACATAATACCTCATCTCAGAAATATAGACAGATACAGAATTTTTTTTTCATATCTCAAATTTGCATTTATCTTTGTTTCGCAAGTGTTTACATTGTTGAGGTGTTGTCTTTCCAATGACAGCCTTTTGTCAGGATTACAAGTATATAATGATAACGGACATTACTTGTGACCTTAAGGTTAGCCAAAAAGACCGTGGGAATGTAAAACTACCGAATAGGTTACGGTCATCGAAAATGCAAGCATTTTGATATTTCCAGAAAAAAATAAATAATCTCTTCAAAAAAAAAAAAAAAAAATGACCTCGGTATAGTGAGACCCCCCCCCCAGCATATTTTTTGCGTTAAAAAAAAAAAAAAAAAAAATGATCATAAAAAATTGTAATATTCTCGAGCATATGCAGTACTTTTAGAACGGCAATATGGTTTCCTCACAAAAAAACTAGTCAATAGTTCGGTGTCCAGATCAAGAAAACCCCGGCCCGCTTGAATGAATGGAGAGATTCTTCGATAACCACATCCTCGTGGCTGCACAACAATTAAACCCCAATTAGACGACCGCACCCGACAACCAGCGACAGGTGAAAAATAGTGAACTGATGAAAAGACACATACCCGCAAAATGTTAAACCTTGCTGTGTTATATTTGGTACCAGTGACTGGCACCTCGACGTGGTGTAATGGTTAGCAAGCAGGTCTCGCTAGAACCATTACAACTGAGTAGTGAGTTCAGTCCTCACTAGGTGCCCCACAACCTTCGACCTTGTACCACATCTAAGCGACGCTTGGAAAATCACTATTTGGTACCAGTGACTCTAAGAAGTGCATTTGACACCATAATCAAAGTTGTACATATGAACTTGTCAGATTAGAGAAGATAGAGGAACAATATAAATGTATGTTTCTTTTTCAATAAAGTTAATGTTAAAAGTGTGTAACCCTCTGTTATAGTGGAACACACCTATTCTATAGTTAATAGACTCTCCCACCTATTCTATAGTTAATAGACTCTCCAACCTATTCTATAGTTAATAGACTCTCCCACCTATAATAAGCAGGAGTAGTAAGAGTAACAAGTGAGTCGGCAGTGAGTTGATGTCGGACAACCGTTAGTTGGATATTAAAGTATCAGCCACCCCAACTAGATTACTGCGTCATTACCTATTATATCAACATCTTAACGTTTTGTACGTCGAACCTATTTTAGGACTGACTTAGTACAAATACAAGCCTCCACTGTGAAACCACTACATACCCCCCACCAAAAAAAATCAAGATATTTTTACTTAATAAATCGAAGAAATTTTGTTTGGTTATTCAATACATTGTTTAATGAAAACAGTATATAAAGTATTACTACTACTACTACTACTAATAGTAGTCAACAGTGCAACAAGTAATAAGTTAAAGAAAGTTATAAAATTAAATATAAATCACTTTGAGTGCCGGTAATTGCTTTGATGTGTAAAGTCGTATGAGTTGTGATACTTGACGTATCAAGTTCCAGCTTCAAGTCTCTTTTGACTTGTAGTAATTGGTAGGTTGAATAATGCACTGGCGAAAGGCGTGATAATAAAAAGAAGCTAAAAAATAATAGTCATAAAATGTGTGGATAAAAATTTTAACATTCTCATTTTGAAAACAATTTTCTCCATTTTTTTTTTTTTTTTTTTTTTTTTTTTTTTTAATTAAGCCTAATTTTCTCACTATTTTTATGAACTGATTGAATATCTCCTCTTTTCATCAAATGTTGCATATTTTCCTACTTTTTTTTTTCTTTCTTTAAGGATCAGTTTTTCCTTATCAATTTGATGAAAAGCTCCGTACAGAAAAGACACTTCAACTCTACCGTCATTTGGATCTGAAACATTGTACTTGGACATTTCGCGCTTGGTATCACATGACCGACCTTGTTGACCAATGCGGCGGCAAGATCCTGACCAACTTCAAAGTGACTGACTCTGGTCAGTCGTTCCTGACCGTTAGAGTCCCGCTCTACGTCTCTTATCTTTATGCCTTACCCCCTGTCGGTTGGAGTTCTCTGGAGCATCACACAGAGATGCAGTTTTCTTTTTACTACCAATCTGTGCTTTGGAATACTGAGCTTGGGGTGGATAACCACTTAGGTGGTCATCTGCAAGTGTTAAGAATTGCCATTGGGGAAGGTGGACATCTGGTCATTGATTTCAGGACACAAGCTAATTTCAGAGGTAAATTAATTTGTTAAATTTTGAAATATTGCTTAATAGGAATCTGTTTCTTTTCTTTTAATATACGATAGGTTGCTGAAAGGTTATCAGCTAGATCAATTTCCAAATATCTAACCAAATATCATTTTTTTTTTCAATTTCTTTGTTATGCTTTTCAAAACCAACTTATGTCGTTTATTATCTAAAGGTAATTTCCAGATTCATTATTAGCAACAAGAATCTTAACAATATAAGATGTGCAGATGACACTGTATTGATAACAACGCAGAAAGGAAACTACAACAGCTCCCCCAGAAGGTAGTAAAGGAAAGCGAGAATAAAAGACCCAGTATAAACTACAAGGCAGAATGCATTGTTATCAGCAAAAGGATGAGTTCAAAATGTAAATTACAAATCAGGGATAATAAAATCAAACAAGTACCGAAATTTAAATATCTGGGAAATGTTCCAGCAGAGGACGGAAAGTGTGACGCCGAGATCCGAAGACGTATTGGGATAGCCAAAGACACATTCTAAAAGCCAAGCAGATTATGAAGAAACAGAAAACATTTCATTAGAAACAAAGAAAAGAGTACTGGACTGTTACATGATATCTGTTCTTTTGTATGACAGTGAATGCTTGACAGTCTCCTCAAAGTGGAAGAGACTTGAAGCAACAGAAATGTGGTTCTACAGAAAGATGCCAAGGATATCGTAGGCCAAACATGTGAGCAACAAGTTTTGGAGAAAATGGAAACAAAAAGGAAATTTATACTTCAGAAAGAGGCTGTTGAAATTTCTGGGGCACGTAATGAGGAAGAAGGGCTTGGAAAACCTGATACTCACAGGACAGATTGAAGGACAGAGGAAAGTAGCACGTAACGTACTTGATGAACTTGAGCAAATGGATGGTAGAACAGGGTTTGGGAAAAATAAAAAAGACTAAACTTAAAACTGACAAGACACAGGATGATATGGAGGGCCATGATCGCCTATATCCTGAAGGGACATGGCACATAAAAGAAAAACTTCCATTTTAGAGAAACAATTGTAATGACAAATGTATAATCCTAACTACTAATCATCCGTGGTAGTTTGGGGTACACTAAAATACTACAGATTTAGTACTGTAGTGGCAGTGTACATGATTGATTAAAAACGTTATGACAACGCAAGACAACATACAGCAAGAATAACATAAGAAACAAATTTTAGAACTCAGTTGGTCTGTTCTACCTTACAGGGTATATTCTCTTGACCTTGCACCAAACAATTACCTTTTTTGATCATTGCAAAAAGCTTTGATGTGGGCAGGGAATTTAATGAAAGCCAGATTCAAGAGTTCATTGAAAGCATTTTTCACATTAAAACCTGTGGAATTTTACTCGAAAGGTATCGAAAACTGCCTTAAAGGTGGCGACAAGTTTTTGAAAATAAAGGTGAATATATAACTGAATAAAGTGTAACTGTGCAGAGTATGGGAAAAAATACCTCTTACATAATGGTAAGACATTAACTAAATGAAGTCTCCATTGTCACTTGTCTAAGTTCTCTAGTACAACACAAGTGGCAGTTTAAAATGTGGGAGGTATTTCCGCCACATTCTATCAACTTTGTACTTTATTTTTTTAAGAATAATCAAAAACGGAAATTATTTGTGACTTGAACTAATGTATACTGCATGCATTAGACAATTGAGAACAATATATACTATCGACAAAAACATGTTAAATAGAAAAAGAATGTACAAATATTCAGCTGGGGGAAAAAAGAAAAGGGTTATTCAATAAAAATCACTCTCAACCTAGAGCACTGCCTTGTGGGAATATGCAATATGTTATTAACCCATTAGGGTCCACCATTAAGACCCAGAGTTTTTCTCCAGTCCCGATGAATGGTTGCACTCACGAATAGGCTCCATGCTTTGAACATATACTGGGTATGAAGTTCATTCCAGACCTCAAGTGGAACTCATTTAGATAATCCATTGCTAAAGATGCTGGTAAAATATTTGGTTCATTCTATCACTCCAGGAAGTACCTGACTCCTTATATTGTACTTTATCTTTGCAAAAGAGATTAAACCAAATTGGATTACTGTTTTCATATCTGGATTGGAGTTGCACAATCCTTGCTTCCCATCCTTCACAGAGTTCTAAATCATTTATATGGGAGGGGGTTAGCCTTACTCTCCCCTCTGCAGCCAGGTTGCAAGCATGGTGGCTACTTGGTAAATGTTCCCGTGAGTGTCATTCTCCAATTCCACCAGTACAGATCTTTACAGTTAGGTCAATGCTCCTTCCATGGAGTTGGAACACACTCATTTCATTTATGTGTATTATTGGTATTTACCATATTTAAAAAATATTTTCAAGTGAAGCACTTTCTAAAACTTTATTCAGTTATAGATTTACTTTATTTTCAAAGACTTGTCGCCACCTTTAAGGCAGTTTTCGATACCTTTCGAGTAAAATTCCACAGGTTTTAATGTGAAAAATGCTTTCAATGAACTCTTGAATCTGGCTTTCATTAAATTCCCTGCCCACATCACCGCGACATTACAAAAGAAAAAACGGAAATCCCATTCCGAGCGAGGCAGGACTTCGACCATTCTTATTGACATATGTCAGTCAACGCCACCCAATGAAAACAAGGCTTTCCACGCTCCTCTTCTATATAGTATTGTCTTTTTACTTCATCCTGTTTAGCTTTGATCTACTACTTCCGGAATCCATAACGAGGTGAGCTGCCATCTTTACTGCATAGTTCAATCCAATGTATTACGTATTAAATGCTAATCCCATAGCAATACTAACTCTTTGACTAAACCTACGCGTGTACCCCATCCAAATCTATTCTATTCCAGCACTTTCTAAAATGAAATTCGCTATTCTAACTATCAGGTCAATCTGTAAATTTACATTTTGTCCATAGCTGAGACCCTAACAGCAATTAAGAGGTGGTTCCACACTTCTCAAATCCCACAATCTCCCAATCAGAGGCCTGGCTGCCGGATGTAGTTCATTATCATACCCAGGACTATTGAGTTGTTGTCAAGCCTTGTCTTGGGTCAATTCTAGTATTAAAAAACCTTTTGGAGTTGGTGGACATTAATAGGCTATAAGTAGAAACCTATAATTACCACCAGATTTTGTTATAACTGTACAACAAATACTGTTTTCATTTTAATTTTTATAATTAACTAGACTACCCATGACCTGTTCAGGTTATAAATCATTGAAGTTGATTTCAACATTAAAATACTGTCTGTTTGAAGAAAATTGAAAAAAAAAAAATACTTACGGTATAAACAACTTGTATTTTTAAATCTTATTCACTTAAAATATTTTTTAAATCACATTAACGTAAAAATATATTTTTAATATGCCAAAAAATATTTTAAAAAACATATTCACTTGAAAATATTTTTTAAATATGGTAAAAAATATTTTTAAATATTTAAAATATTGTTTGTTTAAAGAAAGCTGAAATATAAATAAGCATGCATAAAATCTCAGAGGTGGAAAGTGAGAGAGAAGTGAAAAGTGGACATAAATTTAACCATTTATGTCCACAATCTGGATGTTAAATTAGGTCACCATTTCCTTCTCTCCCCTTCTTCCTACACGATAATAAATTTACAGTCTTTCTTTCACCCACTCTCTCTATCTATCTATCTATCTATCTCTATATATATATATATATATATATATATATATATGACTTCTGGCAAGCACACAAAGTTCAGTTTTATAATAATAAAGATAGCAGATTTTGTGATGAGTGTTAATAGGTTTAATTCTCAAGAAAAACATAAGAGACTTTTATAGATTTTCTTATTAAATGGGTTAATTTTTTTAAAGTAGTAATTTTATAATTTCAGGGATCTGACGTTTTAATTATTTTAAGGCTTTTGAATTTTGTATGATTTAAACAGTCTGAATTGTATAATTTTCAATGAATTCAGCAATAAATGTGAACTATTTTTTACTTTGATGCTACCAGGCTTGTATGTTCTTGAACATCATACTGAACCATTGATGAAAAGTAGACTGCTTCCCCCGAAGGAACTGCCCATTTCTTTTGATTTGGCTTTGCTCTGGTCAGGAGAAACCTATGATAGTCCTAAGCAGCTCTGGAGGGCAACAAGCCAGGAAAGTCTCAAGGTAAGAAGGGGTGGGGGAGAGACTATTTTTTTCAATGCACAACTTAATGGTTCCAAACATTGGGTGAAATATATGTAGCTCCCTGGTAGTTACGAGTTAACTCCCTTGTCCTCGTAAAGCTGAAAAGACGTTCTGGTTCAGTGGAAGAAAATGGTCAAGGATTATGAAGGTGAGTAAACTTGTCAGTATTAACTGATAGGAGTTATCTCCCTTAAGCTTGGAAAGTCGAACGAAAACACTCTTTGATTTAAAGCCAAGATGAGGACGTTGATCCGAATAGCAAAGCATCAAATCAAACTATATAGTAATTATCAATGTATATTTATTTATATTTTTCCTGTCCCTTCTATAATGGGGAGGGAGGTAAATCAACTTAATTTTGTACATTTGTGGGTGATTACTTCCCTTAGTTGTTTTAGTAATCTATACAAATAAAATATTTATCTGCATTAAGAAAAAATTACTTCCTGGGCAAAACAAACCGTTTAATTAATCAGTTCCTTTACTCCTACATTTCTCAGATTGCAGTTTTATTTGTTCAAACCTTTCACGAGAGAGTCTGTCTATATGTATTATGTACATTATTTACATTATTCGGACTATTGTCCTCATCTTTGTCGCCATATTTATCACAACGTTTCGGCCGTTGTATGCTCCGGCCTTCATCAGGTGGTTGGAATGTCGAACTGAACCCTTTATTTTGCTCACCAGGGTAGACTATTCTAGTTCCACGTGCCATATTTGATGGATGACAGTTATCAGTTATCTCCTGTCAATTTCCCTCTGAAACCGGGTATTGAACTCACACTCTTTGAACTGTCACTGGATCTAACCAACGCCTTTGTGTCCTTGAGGACATCTGGGTATGAATTTCTGGGTATTATAAACCTAATGTCTTCAGCAACCATTTTTACCAGTGCTCATATTGCAATTTTGCTGTTATCATTTCATGTTTTTACCAGAGCTCATATTGCAACTATGTTGTTATCATTGCTTTTCTCTGGCACTCCTTATTACTGGTTCCCATATTGTATTTATTTCTATGCTTGGTCGGCCCAGGAGATTTTTGTGGCCAAGCGTATGTGCTGATTCCTTAAGTTTACGAATTTTCCAATGATGTTCCTTGTCTATGATGTCAATATGATCCCACAGGGGGGCGGTGATCTCCCTTCTCTCTCCATATGTGGCCAGCCACGCCTGATTTTTCTACTTCCCCTCGTGTTACAACTTTCTGGTGTTCTTGAAGCCTTACCTTGAGGGGGCGGCCTGTCTCTCCTTTATATTCCTTTCCACAGCTGCATGGGATAGCGTACACACAGTCTTTAGTCATGTTCTCCTCTATGGGGGGGGTCTTACTCGGGAGAGATATCTGCAAAGTGTCGTCAAGCTTTTGAAGGTTGTCCTGATGTTATATGGACCGTAGATCCTTTGTATTTTCACTAATAACCCCTTCACATATGGCAGGCAGACATTTTTCTGAGTGTTGTTGTCCTCCTCCTCTTGTACCCGCCTATCCCAGTTTTTTGGGGCTGCTGCCATGTACCCAGGGTAGTTGTTACGTTGTAGGGTACTACTTATACTGACCAATTCTTTATCTAACATCTCTGGATCGCCACTTAAGACTTTTGCTCGGTGTTGTGAGCAACGTACGATCCTTTTCTTTACGCTGTATGGATGGTGGGAGTTAAAATTGAGGTACTGTCCAAGAGAGGCACCCAGATAACGTTGTCTATTAAGTGATTATCTTGCTTCAACTTGACTTTGTTGTCACTACCTTGTTGTTCTGTTGCTAATCTTTTTCTTTGGAGTGATTTCCATTTCACAGTTTCATTAAACAGACAAAATTTTTAACATGAAAAATACTGACCAAAAAGCCATTCATATAATACCAGGAGTAATCAATGAATCATAGATACCATTGAACGGCTAAAAAATAGAAAGGGAACTGATTAATTATACGGTTCCTTGGCCTCTGTTTTAGTTGTGAATTCTTGATCTTTGCTTTATTGAATCTCAATACATTGTTTCAAGACTTTTGTTTCATTGCATCTCACTATTAAAACTTCCTAATAAATGCCGGCATTTTTTATGGCATGGATACACTAGTATAATAATTTGCCATTTGAAAAATTATAACAATATTACCCTGACAATATGTTCCTGATTTTTCAGTGTATTTCTTTCATAAGATCATTAGCAATGCATTTACATTATAGATATAATAATTTTTACACTCGGTCTAATATCCTCATCTTCATTGTTTTTGTTCTCCAATCTTCTTTAGGTGTCTGTCGATAATGGTAAACTTCAGGGCATTTCGAACTGAACACTTTATTTAATCTACTGGGTAAGAATGTTCCCACTGTCCATATCTAGGGTACTGCTTGAAGCAGCAAATAAGGGTATATGTGTTGGAGTGGCGGTGGGGGCTATAGTATTTTCTCATTGTTTAGTTGTAAGAGTTCTAATGTTTGAAATCAAATTTTCTTTTATTCTTTTTTTATTGTTAGGATTACACTGGTCTCTACATCATTGAACTTCTGCCATGTACTGTGAAGTCCACACAGAAATATGCTGTGTCTCAAAAACCAATAAAATGCACTGTACACAAGCTTCAGAGGTAAATGTTTTCTTTTGAAAATTCAGTGGTTATTAGAGAATTCAGATGACTGTTGTTTTGAACATGTTTAATGTTTTCAACTGACCTTTTAGTTTTGGGGTCAAGTGGTAACTCTTGCTGTCTGAATAAAAAGATTTTAATCACTTATATGAATAAGATATATTATAAACACTATTAGGTTAAGAAAAAAAAATTTTCAATGAATTATGAATTTTTACAAGTATTATTTTCTTGTTTTAAAAATTTTAATTATAATAATTTATAGTTTTAAATCTTTTAAAATTCTGTCTTAGTTTGTAGAGGTTAGGTGATATTGTTAAGTAAAACTATATTTACTAATCATGAATGGAAAAGCTTATTACAATTTAATGATGACCAATATTTTAAAAATGATTTTGAATCTTTTTTGCATATATATGTTTGCAAATACAGATGTCCATACCTGACATTATCAGAAAATAAGAATGATAACTATAGTAAATTTAAAGCCAATGTACTCAAATATCAACAAATTTTAGTTTACCTAGAATATTTTTCTAAATTTTAAAGATTACTGTGTTGGTAAAAATCATAAAAGGATGCTCAAATTATATTGGAGTTGCCCAATCCTCACTTTCCAGCGTTCTAAATTTTTTACGTGGGAGGGTGGGGAAGCCTTACTCTCCCTTCTGCAGCCATGTTGCAAGCCTCAAGTAATTTTTAAATATATCCACCATAGAACAAAAATAAAAAAAAATATCTGTTTGTCAGTCAAGCTGTCAACAATTCTGGTATTTTTTAATTTTGTGTTTGTTTTTCATTGGTTAAGCAGAGCTTATGTGTATCTGACTTGTTTGGTGGCGCTAACCACTCTTTATTATCTCACCAACTTTCATAAAATCCATATTTAGAGAATCTTACACAACTGGTGTAACCAAAATTCTTTCACTCCCACACAAAGCATCCTTCAATCAACATACAGACAGTACCAGACAGCAATAAAATGCCCACTAGATGAACACATTATCAACCAAAACTTGCACAGACCAAACACATAAATGCAACTGGACAAGACAAATACATGTGAGGTCTACTTAACTAATGATAAACAAACAAGACAAAACTAAAAAAGTATCCTCTCTTTCTGTTTGATTGTAATATATATATATATATATATATATATATATATATATATAAAAAGGCTGAAACCTCGGTCCTCCCCATGCTGGTCAGTACTGCTGCCATTCAAATGATGGCTATCTGCTTGCGGCTTCATTCCTTGGGTGAACTACTGGTTTCATTAATTCATACCTTCATGGCAAGGACACATCATGCCACTTACATAGTGACAAACCACCCACACCCCTCCATATTCCATTGGTGAGAAGTAAGTTGTACTTGAACAGTTTCTTCCCCACCCCAAAACATTGCTCTGTGGAACTGACTTCCAAGACAATGTTTCCCCAATTGCTACAACTTTAGCCTGTTCAAGGCTAGGGTTAACCATTATCTTCTCCTCCTATCTGTACAAACTGCCTCCTAATGTAACCCTCTACCTTGTGTGGGCCCCAGACCTTGTAAAGGGTCAACGTTACTGTAAATAATATCTGGGCTGGAGTTGCTTACTCCTGATTTTCCAGTCTTGAGTGTTCAAAATGGTCTACACCAGGGGTTAGCAATTTATGGCGCATGGGCCAAACATGGCATGCCAAGCAATTTTCAATGGCAAACAGCTGCAAATGACATCACAAAGTCTGAGCAATTAACTACTACAATGCAAAGATGTATTGTTTAGCTGTTTCAATTTTAATATATACTAAAGTGTGTGTGTGTGTGTATATATATATATATATATATATATATATTGTAGAACAGGTGTATTGACCTTGACTTGTATAAAAATACGTATGGTGTCAGCACATAGTTAGCAAAAGGTTGCCAACCCCTGGTCTACACAGTCATATGGAGGAAGACTTACTTTCAACTCTGCAACCTTTTATCCACAGACAACAGCACAAGCCTACCACTATTTCCATGCTAAATGTTTGGACAAGCTCCATTATTTCAGACCATTACAGCTAGATGAGCCATGCTACTTTCATGGCATCAAATCAGCCTCATTTCAACCCTATTCCAATTGTAAGGAGGAAGTTCTGCTCAGACTGTTTCCTCCCACCCCAATAACTGCTACTTTATGGCACATTCTCTTGTGTGGGTTTTTCCCTGAATAGTCTTAACCCCTTCAAGTCAAGGACCAATTGTTATCTGTCCCTTTTATAATCTTCACTTCTTACCATCTTGTCATTCATTCAAATTGCACACTTCTTTCATAACTATTTTAACAGTAACCGTCTATCCTGAGTAGCTCTTGAGGCTTGTTTTGGGTAAAATTTAGCATAATGAAATATGTAAGTACTGGGTCAGGAAATGGCTTGTAAATTTTAATGCCTCCAAAATAAAACTGCTCTCGTGTATCCACCATAGAGAAACTTCCCTGCCTGCCATCAGCAGGGATGATGCTTGACGTCAGGAGAGCATCTTACTGTGCCTACTTGGCCTCACGTTTTCAACTGACTTGAAGTGGAACATCTACATTGAAACAATAGCTGCATCTACTGTAAGGAAAGTTGGTTCACTGTGTCGTGACGGAAGGTATTTTCTCATCAGAGTCCATCTTAACATATCTACAAATCTACCATTTGTCCTTGCATACTGTTGCCATATCTGGTCTGGTGTCATTCATCTTGAGGTTCTCAACAAAATCCAAAGAAAGATCTGTAATGTAATTGGTCCTGAATTGGCTTCTTGACTTCAGACACTTTCTCAGAGAGGCAATGTGGCTTCCCTCTGTCTTTTCTACAAATATTTTCATGGCTACTGCTCTGACAAGCTTTTTCCCAGGTGCCCCAACTACATGAATTTAAGCGTGCTAATAGATTCTAGGTCTCACCCTTTTACTGTTGAAATAGTTAAATGTAACTACCACTTCTACTCCAATAGTTTTTTCCTTGTACTTCCCAACATTGGAACTTCCTCCTCTCACTTGCTTCCCTGATAACTACGATTTTCAAAAATATAAATGCAATGTCAATCACTGTTTTGTTGCCTTAATCCATGTGCTTTTTTCCTTTCCTCAATCCCTTTACACCCACTCTATTCTTTCACTTTTACTTTCCATAACCCCCCCTGTGTGTTAGTGGCAGTTCTACTTTGCATAGGGTGAAATGCTTAAAAAGAAAAAAGTGTGCACATGTAAATGCTTGTTTTATTTTTATTTTTTTAAACACAGATTCAAGTTGCCTATCTCCTTCCAGCAGACAAATCGTCCCGTGCCAGTTGAGTATTCTCTCAATACTTTATTCCAATTAACGAATGAGGAGAAAGTCTTCAGCAGCAATCCAAGATCTATGGAGAACAGTGGAACTTCTATTGAAGAATTAGATTACAATGGAGCATTTTCTAAAGGTATCCATTTTACATTTCTGAAGATGCATATGATTAAATTATGCATGCCTATAAATTCAAATATAAATAAAAACAAATGTAGAAACAATAAAAAAACTTATTTACCAATGTGTTTCATTCCCCATGAACTTTATCAACATAAATGTGAATGTTTCTCAGGGAACAAAACATGTTGGTAAATAAAAGTTTTATTTTTGTTTTGGGCATGTGTATGTATTTTATATATATATATATATATATATATATATATATATAATGTATATCATAAATTAATTGATTTAAAATGTTTTTTTCCGCTACACAGTTCTAACTATGTTTCAAAAATGGAAGCTAAACGCCCCAAATTTAATTTTGTAATTATATTAAAGACATTAGTTCCATTTCATCCTCAAGAAAATTCGCTTGAGGATGAAATGGAACTAATGTCTTTAATTTAATTACAAAATTAAATTCGGGACTTTTAACTTCCATTTTTGAAACATGGTTAGAATTGTGTAGCGAAAAAAAAAACATATTTTAAATCAATTTATAATATTAATGCTCTGTAAATTTACATTGAGCACTATTTTGTAGAAATAAAAATATCTATAAGAACACCGGATTATATATCTTACTGTTCTTTTCTTTTATATATATATATATATATATATATATATATATATATACACACACACACACACACACACACATACATTTATTTTTATATAATTAAGGCAATAAAGCCACTCAGACACAAGGTTACTGAGTGTTAGAAAATATGAGGAGGAGAAAGAACAATAAAAGAACAGGAATTAAGAAGAGAGAAGATAACTATTGACATTGCATTTAAAGTTTTGAAGATCAAAGTTGACTGGGAAGCAAGAAGCTGGAAGAGACTTCCACAAGTGAGAAGTGCGAGAAAAGGAACTGTTGGTATACAACTTACAGTTACATCTAGCTATTTTAACTATAAAATGATACCTTGCCACAAATCTAGTGCTGCACTTAAATTCATAAAGTCTAGGGATTATAGAAGAAAGTTCATCAGAACAATTACCACGAAAGTATTCATAGAAAAGGCACAGGGAAGCGCTATATATATATATATATATATATATATATGTGTGTGTGTTAAGTATTGTATATATGTATGTGTATATACATACATACATTATGTATTAGATTTATCAGCTCAGCTAATAACTATATCAAAATTGTTTTTAATTCTTTTGTAGCAAATTTAGACAATGTGTTGTAATTTTTTTTTACAATAATCTAAGTTGTCCAAAAGTATGTACGTATTAGTATTATCAGCTCGTCTGATGGTGATATTACCACAGAAGAATTTTAAAAATATCTAATATTGTCATCTGACAAGCTGATAAATACATACATGTAATATATATATATATATATATATATATATATATGTCCATTTTTATACTTACATATGCTTTATCCCTGACATTGAACACTTTAACCCATAAATATAGCATATGTTAAAACTATATTTTATCATTCATATATATATATATATATATATATACACACACACTAGTTTACTCATGCCATCAAAAAATTATAGTATACTGATATATTTAAAACTTTATACTGCTCATGTCCAATGCTTCCTGTATATTAAACTAAAGTAAAGATGGTGACAGTTAATCCTCCAGATTTCTATGCTGGAAATGAAAGCAATTAACATATTGTATTATATACATTTGAGCCTATTGCTATTTCAGAGTTCCTTTAATAAAATATATTACCAGAAAAAGCTGCTAAATACTAAATAGTATTTCAGTTGCCTTTATCTGGTAACAGAAATATATGGTTTGTACCATTGGCAGACTTGTAGTGTTGTGAGTTCTAATCTCATAAAGGTATCATTTTTATAAGCTTATACTGTCTTCAGTCTATTATATATATATATATATATAAAATATGTTTTCACTTTGGCATTCAGGAATCTCACACACTTTCACGAATATACAGGTTGATAGATATCTATGGAAGATTCAGTTAGGTCAGATTTAGATTGTACTAGAGAAAGTTCTGAATTAAAGAAAATAAATTATGGCAGCTTAAGATTCTGGTGTGTCTTAACGTTTAGCACTCTGCAATATTCATAAGTATTTCATCCTTATCCATTGGGTATAAGTGACCACATAACTGCAGTAGCATCATCTTTAATTTTCAGTTAGTCATTTTCCTGTTGCCATAGTAGGATATGACAACACTAATGCAAAATTCAACCACACTATCATTTGATGATCAGATTTGCATGCAGTGGCTGTACAAACATTTTGTTTGACAAATGATGTCACCTACATACAGTGTGCTAAAGGTTAACTAATATTGACAAAAAAAACAATTCAAGCAACTATGATGACTCTAATTAAAGATAGAACCAAACTGTGGAATATCACAAGTGTCATTCACAGAAAACAAGTTTATAAACAAATATAGACATTTGAATAAAGGCTACAAAGAAGTTTTTTTGTGTTTTTCTTTTTTACTTAACCATTGTTTATGTATAAATGAATGTAAATCAGTGCAAAATGAACAGTTTCATCTATTCAATACGCAATTATCAAAATAAGACCTTCATGGTCAGGAACAAAAGCTATGACTATAGATCATTTTTATTCCAAAATAAATGACATCTTCATCAGTCAAGGTACCGGGAATTTTAGTGTCTTTAACAAGTGGTTGATACATTCTAGTTAGAAAAGATGTTCTTTTGCATGTCATTAACAATTATGATGTACTGCAAAAAAAAAAACTGCAGGCAGCAGAAATGTGGTTCTAGAGAAGAATACTGGAAATTCCATGGATGTGTGGTGACAAAAAATATACAATTAAAATGTACAAGTGACATTGACAAGAAGAAGAAGAAAAATGGAGACGAAGAAGAGCAAGAGTTTGATTGTTCGGGATGACTTGTCACAAGTGAATTTGCAAATTCGAAATAATTTTGTTGCAAGTGAGTTTGAAATGATATGTATGCCAATATGCGTGTGCATGTGAAGCACACACTAATGAAACGTGTAGAACTACTGACTGATTGCATGCGATAGCAGTAATTTTAATATGATGAACAAAGACATAGGACTTGCTTTGTCACAGCTTTGTATGTAGAAAAATCATTGCTGATGCGTTGTCATGGTAACATGTGTCTAGGCTAGGCCTTGTTTGCTTACTCTTTCACTGATTACCCCAGTCTGTTCTATAGCAAGCTGTTTTTATTGCTATAGGCCAGCTCTGAATCACTATCTGAGTTTTGTGTGGGAATGTACTTAGTAACCTGTACCCTGACCCATTTCCAGGTCATTTTGAGTTCCGATGTGTGGCCGTTGTAGAAAGCACATCCAATCAAGTTCCAGAAACCATTTAATATGATGCCCTGTTTCTACAGAATTGTAAAGTGTTGTAAAAGGCATATCAATTGACTTGTCCTGTCCAATCAGGTTCCAGAAACCATTTATTTAATATGGCACCTTGTTTGTACAGAATTGTAAAAAAAAAAAAAATTTTGTATATACTGAACTTAGATTTATTTGTAGGCATCTCTTATTTGTTTGTGCTTTACTTATTGGTCGTAAAACATAGGAGTTTATGTTCTATAGATGGAACGAGTAAGCAAAAAGGAATTCTTAAAGAAAATGGCAACAGAAAGAACATTTCTATTTGGAGTCAGGAAAAGGCAACTGAAGTTCTTTGAAGGAAGATTTGGAAAAACTCTCACAGAGCATATAAAGGGCAAGAGGGATAGAGGAAGACAATGAGCCACTTACCTGATAAGCTTGTGTGAATGGATGGCTGAAGAGTAGGGGGTGGGGACAAAGTGAGAAAAATTGCTAAAAGCCACAAGGTAGTGAAAGTTGTGGAGAACCATTATTGCCTGTTATAATAGGACAACATAATTATCATATTTTTTTGTAGTAGTAAAAGAAAAAAAAAATGTATTACATCCACTTCAGTTCACTGTTTAATATTATCACCAGTATTTTTATACATTTAATACTGAGGTTTTTCTTTGTCTTCTTAGGTCAAAAGATTTATGCACGTGTCTTGTGGAATCCTGATCAAGATCTGAGTACAGCCTATAAATTGTCCATTAAAAAAGTTTATCTCTGTACAGGTAAATAATATTACTTTAATTTTGTTTATATAGTTTCAAATTCTGGATGAAGTAATACTCTTTCCGCATTCAGACCAACATCTTTATCTTTGTTGTTTTCCTCACATCATTTCCATTAGTACACTCCCAATTTACACAGTTCAGAGAGGGAATATTTTTTGTTATTTTCAATAATTTTTCTTGAGATCCAGCATTGTGATTATTGTTAATTTGGATGGAAATTTTATACAGTATATAAACACTTTGAGGTGGGGTAATGGTTAGGGAGGTGAGATGGAGTAATGAATGTCCCATTAAATAACCCAATAAGGGATTAACATGTTGTAAAATCAATCAACCAATCAATGAAAAGGGAATGAGAAGAAAGTATTCTTTAAACTAACATCCTGAACTTTGTTGTTTTGATCACAATTTCAGTCCATACGGTTTCTGAAGTTCCAAGATGAAGTATTTTCCATATTATAGACATTGATTTTCAGATGAGTATCTTCATTACATTTTTTTCCTTTTTTTAGTCTAATATTTTGGGCAGTTGACCCATAGTCTTTCAGTATTGACCTTTGAAATTCTGTAGCATCCTATAATAAATGTTCTTGTCCCTCCTTTCAGTCATTACACCCTGCCAATATCTCATAAATAATGGACCATTCCATTTTGATCGCGTGGAAAGACAAAAGACTTATCAGAGACACTACTTGGTTTCAGCAAAAAACAAAAAGAAAGGGGAGATAGAAGTGTTTAAAGTCTTCAGTTAATACATCAGAAATAATGGACTATTCAGTTTTGATTGTGAGAAGTCAAGACATATCAAAGATGCTACTTGGTTTCAGTGAGAAAATGAAAGAAAGAAAGCAAAGATAGAAGTGTTTAGCAACTTTTAAAATTACAAGAATACATTTGACTCTTGACAAAAACTCTTTTTACAAAAACACATCAATGAAACCTGATCTACAAACTAATTTCTTACAAAGAATACATATTCTGTTCATAATTATAATTTGATATTTGCTCAATATTCGTGGCCTTGTGCCCAAACTAAGCTGAGCTTAGTAAACAACACAAGGGAGTCTGACTGTATGGTAATGGTTAACCAGCTTAACTGAATATCCTAAATGCCTATAACTTAACTAATTCTGCTTTGTTTGGTAAAAGGCTAATACTGTAGAATGCTCACTTTGATTTTTAAAAATAATAATGAAAAAAGTTCATGCTTCTTTTTCATCTATTTCTTCCATTTTCTCACTTGGTGTTCCACTTTAATGGCCTTGTGCCAGACTGCGCAAAAACAGTGCTCTCCTATATCCTAGCCAAATATTTTATAAATCTGGTCACTATATTTAATTAGCTTATAGTACAACACAAGTTAAATGTGAAGGAAATTGTTTCAATAATTTTCAAAGTAAGGAGGTCCTGTTTGTTGCCCTGAAAATCACCATTTGAAATCTAGGCTTTTATTGCAACTTGAATACTGGTTTTGTTTTTGTGAAAGGCTGAACTCATGTAGCACCAAGTTAGACTGAACTTTGTAACATTGGATTATAATATTGGTATCCCAATCAATGCTCTATGGAATATTTTTGCAGAAAAAGTACAACCCCATACTAATGTTGGTATAAACAAAAAATATAGCATTAAAGGCTAATTACATTTAAGCCCACTAACCACTCCTGTTTACAGAGAGATGGTTGGTAGGACTTAATGTACACAGACTATCACCTGAAGGTTTTGTAATCTTTTTTTTTTTTGTTATGAACATCACTTTTAATGTTTGTTTTTATTGCAGTAATGCTCCATGGCAATATCTCTCAGCTTTGTTGCAAGGTTTTTGATGGCAGTTATGTTAAAAATTTTATTCTACAGGGAAAGAGGACTACATTCCAACATATGACCCAACTGGAGAAACATACAAAGATGGTTCACAATTTGGCTGTGTACGACCAAACTCAAATTTAAAACATCGATTTTTACTTCTGGTAAGATGTTTCACACTCTCTTCATCTTTATTTTCTTACGTAGTTTGGATTGGTTCACTTGTTGCCAAACTCTATTATTTTGAGCTGATAGCTATTAAAGCTCCAAAGTGTTTTTGTATTTAAAAAAAAAAAGGAAAAAAACGTGAGGGGTTCTAAGAGCTCCAGTCAATTGACACTAAAAAAAAAATTTGCTCTGCCACATTGGCTCTAGGATCCCATCAACTGATATAAAAGATTCCAATTCAGTTCTGTCAGCTTCAACATAGTAGTTGAGTCCATTAGTGTATCTGCATATATCTTTTTTTCCACTTCCACTAGTAATGTTCCATTTTGTAGTTTTTTTACATTTTTTGGTGTGATTATATTTGATATAGCTTTTTGGATTTTAAATGGAGATATTTCAGTTAGTGCTTTGTTACTTATTGCTTCTAGTACAATAAATTGTGGAAAGTTTTCATTATCATTTTCTGATTCAGTCATTATCCACATGCGGTCTCTTGGAAGATTTCTTTTTTTCCATTGATTGTTTTTATTTTGATGGGGCTACGTGAAAGGTATACTCTATTTGGGAGGAGTCTTTGAGCAAGCATGTTCCTTTGTTTCTGTTATCCAAGTTTTATGGCTGTGAAGGTTTAGCAGGTGTGTCAGAACCATTTTTCTCCCAAATTGATTGACCCTCAGCCACCGCCTTCCATCATATATTTAGGGGTAGGTGTTAGTTTTGGATGGGAAGAAGAGTATAAGTTATAGGTTTGGGGTGGGTTATATATGATGGGGCTTGACATGACCAGCCGATTGATCGGATCAGGCCCCTCCGACCGCCTGTCTAGCCCAGGTAAAGGCCAAAGTGGTGTGTTGCAGGGTTGTGACCGCTTTACATCTGGATCACGACCTGCTCAATCACCAGGATCCTGTCCCCAGACATTACAGGTTGCCACCCATGGCCAACAGGTGGCCCCATTGAGGGACTTTTACCCTCTACAGGGGAGCAGTTGGCGTATTCTGATGCCCCACTGACTGAGCGGCCATTAGTAGGTTCTTACAGTGATCTACTTCATCTTATGTAAGAGCTTGTCATTCTGATTTAAGTTTGAACTCACATGTAGACAGGTTAAGTTGATATCATAAGAAATCTCTGAGATAAACTATAGATACTATTTATATAATGTATATATAAATAGTAACAATCTGTCTACTTGAAATTATACAAGGGTCTCTCTGAAAGCAATGTCTTTGAATTCACAGAAACGGCAAGAGAAATAAGTAGCACAAAGTAGTTACAAAACTCTACATCACAAACATTACTACCAATGAATTTTTGCTAGTGATAAACCAGAGCATGCATTATGTACCTATAAAAATCTGCACCAACAGATTTAACCCATATGTCACTGTTGCTAAAGATAAAATTAGACACCACCTTTGTTCAAATTGCCGGTTTTGTCTCTGTAAACTTTCAGCAGGTATTGGTGAATGTCAATGGGTAAAATTTTTCCTACATAGAGGTATTCAATGATATACCTCTTTTGTATGCTTTCACGTTGGACGTCATTCAGCTGCCATCTGTGACATGGCAGAATAAAAAAAAAAAAAAAAGATTATGGGTTATTTGGCAGGAATGTTCAACCTTTGTTCAACCATGCCACCAATATTTGCTCCTGATATTGTGGGTCAGTATAACATAGAAGGCATTACTTTCAGAGCGACTCTTGCAATTTTGTGTCCACCTTTTCTATGCAGTTACTAAGATGTGTGTGTGGCTTGGAATGAGAAATTGGAGCTGAGTTGGTTACATTCACTTATGTGCAAATACCATTAGAAAGGTATAAATCCATCTATTCTCCTCCCACCTATGGGTTAAATAGTAGTACTTGTATTTGGAAAATCATTATCTCCAAAAATATATTATTAAAGCAAAAAAAAAAAAAAATGCAATCATAAATGTTTGGGCTTTATATAACCCACAAAGGGTTGATAAGCCATAAAAAACAAAATATAAATCAATAGTATTATAATAAAAACTACATAACATTATATAACGATATTTTAATGACCATAAGTCGGGATATAACAATTATCATATATACTGTATATCATCTTCATTATATTAAATTTTATCATTGATCGTTACATTGGCAAATCTCGGTCATCTATAGTTGGGCTGGTACCAATTACATGTTGTTGACATTAGTTATTTCTATCTATATTTGTTGCTGAGCACTGTTTTTATGTATGTTGTCATGCTTTGAGAGTTAAAGGCTAATTTTTTTATACTTTTGGGTGTTTTCCAAATGTATTTGTTGCCTAGACTTTTAAAAATATATTGAGTGGTTAAGACTCCATATGTTGAATTGCTGAATTTGTTAATTGTTCTTTATATTGAATTTGTCACATTGTTAGATTTGTCAATGGCTAACTCATATTTTTTTTGTTCATTACAATACAAAACCCAAGAGCCCTTCAAGGTAGAGGGTTACAAAATTAGGTTTTTGTAAGGGCATACAAAGAGGAAGAAATAGGTGTATATTTTGAGGATATGTAGGATAGATAGCTGTTGACCCCTAGACTTGAAGGGGTTAAGATTGTAGTGATCAGGGAAGCATCCTTTCGGTGGTGGTGAGGGGAGCGTCTGCATCTGAGCAGAAATTGCTTCTCACCAGTGGAATATGAAGGGAATTAGGAGGAGTCTACTCAGCCTGAAAATCTGTACTGGTGAACAAAGGAATGTAGTTTGCTTGAACCTCATTTATGAAAACGGTGAAAGGATAGTAATGATTCAGCTGTGGGATAGGGGTTGAAAGGCCGGAAAGTGAGGATTGGGCAGTTCAAGTCTAGATATAACAGCAATACTCCATTTTTGATCTGATCTGGCGCTTGTAAAGACAGAGAATAACAAAAGGAATCAGGTGCCATGACATGCTGTATTACTCCAATTTTCCACTGTGTAATTATAAGGTTACAGGAGGATGATTGTAGCAATGGTACTTCTAAAATTGGAAACCAACAATATTACATACACACACATTTTTATATATTATATATAAAGAAATAATGCAGCTTAATTAATATTATAAAATAGTCAAAGAATGAATCAATAAAGTTAATGTAATTAATGGCAAATTCATTTTGAAGAAGGCATTAATGAAACAATTAAAATTATAAACTATAAATTTGGCTACCAATTATATTGCTGCACGGTGCAAATATTTCAAGTACTAGATTCATGCACTTTGTTATTTGTAAATAACAGTTAAGAATGCCTTTTAATGTTATATGAAACAACCATTAAAGAAATTATCTCATAAAGAATATTTCATTTCTTTGTCATATTGTCCAACATATTTTTGACAGAATATATATATATTTTGCAAAATGAATCGTGGAATTACTTTTTCTTTGTCAATAAACATCTACATGTGGCTCCTTATGTATGCATGTTCAGAGTTTTTATATCAGTTTAGTGTGAGAGACCCGACCCAACAGTGACTGATGGATCAATGAATATTTTATAATTTTATTTATTTATTATGATGGATATATGAATCTAGCAGCATGAGGTAAATTTAAAGCAGTGAGTCAGTATATATGATGGATAAATTGTTTTCTATATGGACAAAAACCACAGCTTTAGTGTTTTTGGGTATCCTTTACAATTTCTCAGAAATCCTGATGACAAAGTAATTTACATTTATGTTGGCTCACGCCCCTAATATTTTGTGAAATTTTTGGTAAAAAAAGTGCGACCTATCTGCGAGTATATAGTGCATATATTTACATTTTTGACTTTGGAATAAATTTGAATGAGTAAATATTATATATATATTGAGCTCTCTGGGGGGGGAGGTGGGTTTGTAAACAGTGACTATTATAGCTATATAGCGAGACTCTTCGCAAAAGCGAATTGAGTCACTGTCGGTCACTGGGCATGTTTCTAAAAAAAAAATATGCTAAAAATCCACTTTCATCCCTACCGTGCGCTGAGGGCTTAGTGGTAGAATCTCCGACTGACACCAATTCAGTCGGGTTTCGATCCTAGCTAGAGGCAACTGGATGTCTAGCCACACTGATGAGCTGTGAAACAGCGAAACAGTCTATCTGTGGATGACGTTTATATATATATATATATATGAAGAAATAGTCTTAAGATGTATGACGTCATTTGTTTACATTTGATAATATTTGTGAGCAGTTATGAATGTAAAATGGATTCATGGAAGATTGAAGTTTATAAGCAGTAAATTCGACCTTGCCTACCGAACACTCCTTTGTGGCCGAGTCGGTTAAGGCACGTCAACGTAAATGACGGTTCTGTATAGGATGCAGGTTTGAATCCTGTCAAAGGACGAATATTTTCTATGAAAATTTCTCGGACATTCAGGCCGGTAAATGTTATTTAATACTGTTTATTATAAACAGAGCATTTACTTAAATACTTGTATCTATAAAAAGAATGTTAAACATAAAAATGTCTTTAATAAATTGTCGGACTTTGTCCAATTCTTTATATATATATATATATATATATATGAAATGATAAAATTTGGTAATCTGTATGGATAATTCTAGAGAGATATCAATGGCAAACACAGTGTGGTGTGAGATATATGGGTTACAAAAAAAGGTCATAACCCTATGTTCCTGTGTCATAAATCAATGAGCTTTTCTTTCAAAGTAATATTCCCACCACAATCTGTTTCAGCTTACTCTGCAAACCAAAAATTTGATTTTACCATACATGCAAATAGGGGTAAAAAAATAAAAATATTTCAGAAGCTTTATTTTTCAATCTGCTAATGATGTAATTCAATAGGACTTATGTATAATTATTATTTTTTTTATGTATTTAACATAACAAACATACAAACTTACAAAATAAACAAAAACAAGTTCTAGAATGCTCCAGAAATTCATAGTACTACTATACTTTTAAAATATGATTTTAGAAATTTATTTTTAACAAAAGTTGAATTATGATACAGGAAATCAATTATTTTACAATCATAAACCTAAAAAATATATATAAATATACAGGTAAAATTCCATGTGAATCTTAGTAATATAAAATATTAAAACTGATCCACATATGAGAGCTCAATGTATTTATTACAGAGCATATATGAATTACATGTAAATAAAATTCAATACCCCATAAGATATATGGCTATTTCACCCAGAACAGGCTTGTCAACACCAAGGAGTTAGAAAAACACACGGATGTGTATCGGTGCCTAATCTCGGATTGTTTATACGAGTGTATTTGTGTGAACTAAAATGCATACACCAGTATGTATGTCTGTGAGAGTGTTATCCCAAATGGATACAGATGAGAATTTCCCCCTCTCACCACCAAAAATAATCAAACACAAACAAGCATAAATAGATAGATTCAATTTTTATAAAATAAACTTGTTTGTTTGACGTTCGCAAAAGCATGAAACCCAGGCTCACAAATTTATATCCATACAACTGAATATGTTAGCTCTATCACTGATATTGATCACTTTCCAATAAGTACTGTGCAGATAAAATATATATATATAATGTGTGTGTGACACACACAAAAGTTATTTGCAAATTCCCTCTCCTCAATTTTTTTTTTTTTTTTTTTTTTTTTTTAACAAGTAGATCAATTAACTCTTTGTCTGGGATATATTATCAATGCAGTAATACCAAAATCTGCTATTCAATTTTATGTGAGTAGCAGTTTCACATGAAACTTTGAGTAGTGGATTTTGTTGTTGTATTAATATTATTATTATATTACTTTTAAGCTATCAATTTTGATATTGAGCCATCAATATAGTTTAAGATTTAACTTATATCTTTACATTTTGTGAGTGTGTATATATAAATACATATAAAAACCGCCAACTGAAATCAACACAATATCCACACACTAGCAAAAACTATCACTTATTACCAATAATTAAAAACCTCTAACATAAACAATACTACACAATGTTTCTGGATTTGCATGCTATGTAGAGAATATCTCTAATAATAACAGTTCAAACATATACATTGGTTACACAATCACTACATTATACCACTAGTTAACTTGTCATAATTAAATCACATACCACCACCACCACCACTGACTCTTGACATATTGGCAGACAGTTAAATTCAAACCTCCTATCTCCTAGGCTGGTTGCACTACCAAGGTAAGATAGCACAACTATTTTAACTGTAGTTAAGTGAGCAGGAGAAATAGATTCATGCCTTTCCTAAGAGTATGAGTATGAATGTAACAAACTTGACTAGAATTTCAACTTTGTGTATAACTAGAACATTTAATTTTGCTGGATATTTGCTTGCAGAAAAAAGTTCTGAAATTTACTGATTTTCTTTCTACTTTTCTTGCTAACAGGATCGTGACCATGATGAGAAAATGAAGATTGATGTTCCAAACCTGGAATTTGAGGCAAAATTTGCTGATGAAACCTCTCAATATTCCAGCTTAAAACAAAGGCCAGGAATTGATGGATTTGAAATGCCAGTTGATCCATTATACAAGGTATGTAACAACAAAATTAATCCCAAATACCTATTGATATTTACTAATCTTAGTCTACCACAAGGCCACAAATGTGGAGCACCCAATAAATATAGTAGTAATTGTTTGAAAAGAAGCTTCAGGATCAGCAAGAAGAGTTGAAGGAGGAGGAAAAAACAGCTTTTTGCTGGAATAGTCCAGTAAATTAATATGTGCTATACACTATCAGCTAAAATAGACATGAAAGTAGGTACAAGGTATTATATATAAATAAAAGAAAATGTACAAATTTGTACATAAATAGTAAATTATATATTAACACATACAATAGTTCAGATAAATTTCATTATATAATGCAAAATAGTACCATATTAATAATGAACAGTGTGATAGACTTTTCCTGTATGTTTGTTTTTGTGTTAGCAAAGGAAAAGAACCAACAGCTATCTAAAATTTAATGAGTGAAGCCTGGAGGAAAGCAATTAAGTGGAAATCCATGATTGAGTATCTGCTGAAGGCACATGGGAATAAAAAGAAAATATCAGCCTACCTATTTGAGATTCTAAGATGAAAGAACATGACAAAGCCAAACAAAATTTCATTACCTCAAACAAACGTCAGAGGAAAGAGTTTTTACAAAGAAGGTTCAAAAAATGAAGTGTCAAGGGTTAATATTAATTAAGTGTCCTCGAATGAACATACCAGTTGTAACAAGTGTCCTTTGTTGAAGTTAAGAGTTGCTCCATGAAAAACAGAACTCTCACATGATAAAAAGAATGTGTTATGGCTGAGAACATGTTTTATTAACTGGATTGAACAATATCAAACATTCAGAATGAAACTTCTAGAGGTACAGTCAAGAGAAAAAAAAGGATCATGTAAATATAACCTCTCATCTATAACAAGACAGATGTTAAATACACCGTTTTTCACATGATCATTAAATAAGAAAATGCAAAGAATCCCATGCCTGGGATTCTTTTTATTCTAAATCATAATTTAGTCTCCCACTGATCAGAAGACGACATTCTCTAGTGTTATCTTGTACCAAACTGTTTAAACAATTGCATGGCATAAGGGGCTTCAAGCAAAGTTCTCAAGGCTGTTTCATTTGGAAGATTACAAGGTTTTCATTTTCCTCACCGAGTTACCTTTCAGAAATGTAGTATGGCACAAGACTAAGCAAAAAATGTGTATTTTTGTCCAGGTGAAATGCTAGGTTTTACAATATTAATAGCTATGATGACAAAGGAGTAAACAGTTTTACCTTAGAAAAGAATTCATATGCTTTCTGTCGAAAAAAAAATCTGATTCAAGATTAGGTTGACTGTAGGAAGCCTTGAAATATGGTAATTGTTTGCACTTCTCTACCTGTCTAGACCAATTACAACCTTTCTTACCTCAATACAAGAACTCTACTTTGGACCACAAGATTGTTTTTAGCTTTTAGTGGGTGAAGGGACAGTTGTGTATTGCAAGTTGTGATGTGAATTTTTTACCCCTTTTGATTAGGTACCTCTGCAGATTCACAGTAACTAAGGTTTAAAATGAATTTTTAAAAATGAAAAATCTTTGAAACTTTCATTTTAATTTTAAGTTAATAGATTAAATTTAATATTTCCAATAAGCAAGATACTTTGCTCTATTTCAAAACTAATTTAAATTGATTGGAAGGAGTTTAGAATTTTTTTGAATTTAGTGCCATTTCTAGCAAACTATAAAATGTAATTCTCTTTATTAATAAAAAGAATAAGATATATATTTTGCTGAAACTTTATGTGAGGAATATTAGCCGATTTAAAGTATAATTAATCAGATTTGAAACCAATGTTATTTACTTTGTTTAAAATATAGAAATGATGTAAAAAAAAAAAAAAAAAAAAAAAAAATAAATGAGGAATATAATGCAAGCTCTTTTTAAGTACACAATAATCTTAATTTATAAAAATATTCTCTGTAATCTAATTTTTTATTGAATCTTAGGGAATTTTGGCTTGAAATTTGCTATAGTTATTGCACATTTTTTACTTTATGATGGAGTAGATTTTTGGTAAAATCAGGGTTCAATTTTGCAATAAAAAAAAAATTGATTTAAATTCTCCAAAGAGTTCTGCTTTTAACTAATATAGCCACTAAAAATTATCTCTTTGAATTTCTCAACTTTTTATAAAATTAAGTGGGATGAAACACTTGTTAAAAAAAAAATAATAATTTCTAAAATAATTTTTATTCATTAGTGAATAAGCCCTGAAAGTTTCATTAAAATCCGACAATTATTTTATTTTTAAAGGAATTTTCAAATTAATGTCTTTCATTGCAAAAAGGACATTAAAATTTGCTATGCTAATTTATAGCCAATGCAAGAAAAACAAGATTTTTAATCAAAATTTCGAATGTTCTAAAAAGGATTAAAAAATTTAATTAAATATTCAAAAAATACTTTGATCCTTCCTCTTAACAACAACAAAGATTTTGATGATAAATTTTGTTTTTATTGAGTTTTTTATCACAGTATGCTATTTTTTTTTTTTTTTTTAGCTATTTTGTGGAGGTACCTACTTTTGATTTATGGCCCTGGTATTTTCTGATGGACCTATGAGACTGACTTTTGACCCTTGGGATTACGACCTTGGACTTTATTTGGGATTTGAGCCTCTCTACTGGTATTCAATGCAATATCCCCCTACTCACCTAAAAAAAGAAAAAAAAAAAGATCCTGTCATTGTAGAACGATAGATTTACAAATTTTAAATATCCCAGAACCAAAATTGATGTTAAATGAGTTGTTGGCACATAGCAGGTAAATGTCTTTATTACAGGAATAACCGAAAGTGAGAAGAGATATAATTAATAAGCTTTAAGTTCACCTGCCATAAGGCTACAATAATAAGGAGTGAACTATCAACACTAGCACATTGGAATGAGTTTGCTATTGTTATAATAGGTGTCTTTTTAAAGTTGTTTATTATTTAAACTATTTACATTCAGACTATTGCCTTCATTGTTGTTGTAATGTTTCAGCTATTATGTACTCTGGCCTTCATCAGGTGTATATTGATCTGGGTAACATACAGGGAATTCCAAACTGAACCCCTTAATCTACAGAGACTTGTCCCAGGGGACAATAGCCTTGTGGTTTAAAGCATTGGTCCATGAATATGGTGATGTAGCAATTGCAAATTCAATCCCTGAGCTGTGCAGTAAGTACTCTGAGGAAACAGAGCCATCAATAACTGAGCAATACTTAAATTAAGAACGAGATGAGAAATCCCTAGACATGGGCAGTGGAACAGTCTACCCACATAGATTAAATGAAGAGTTCATTTTCGAATTCTTTGTTGGTTACTTGGATCGATACACATCTGATGATGGTTGGAGGGTACAACAAAAGTTTTGATAATAACAACAACGATGAGGACAATAGTCCAAATGTAAATAACTTCTCATTCCAGAAATTCAGATAGAAATTGTTGAGTTTATATTCAATATTATCAAATTAGGCACAAGTACTGACAGTCTAGGTATAAACCTGGAGGATAATTTTGAGCCCTTTTATTTTTATTTTTGGTGTAGGAGAAAAAGAAAGGAGCTTTATATGCTATCAAATATTTTATAGATTTGCAGTGAGTATATTCAAATCTTACAGTAATTACAGTCTGGAAAAGGGCTAAATATTAGCTACAGGAAGATTATGCATGTATGTACTAAACTGACATATCATACATCCAGTGTGGATCAAAATCATTGCAAAAATGGTAATAGACCACAGCAGTAGCTTGCTTCCCTTTCCTCAATATAATCCTATTATAATTGTGCTTGTTCTGCTCTGTTAGTTTGCATAACCATCACACCCTGTCAATACCTCCATAAATAATGGACTATTTTATTTTGATTGATAGGTAAAGCCACTACTTGGTTTCAGTGAGAACATGAACTGGGTGGGGTGAGAGAGAGAGAGAGAATCAGATTAAGCTAATATAAACAGATACTATCCCTTGATTTTAGCAAAAGCAATATTTATTTAAATAATATATTAAAAAAATACATTATTTTGTGGCACAAAGATAGAAGGGGAATTGGAGAGAGGCTGATCTACATTGTCTATCCTACATGTTGCTAATCAGACTTATGACCCATTCACTCTAACAGTTTCCTCAATCACCACAAAAAACACATCCTTCACCACTCACTCCTGCCAATACCTTATAAATAATGGACTATTCTGTTTTGATTGCATAGAAAAACAAAACATACACTACTTGATTTCAGTGAAAAAAAAATGAATGAAAGAAGGAAAGATAGAAGTGTTTATTGGCTTTTTCAGTGAAATGGAAAAAGTTGTTAAATCTTTTCATTTGTACCCAATTCTTAAAATAATAACTGGCATTCATATATATGAATGCTATTGCAATATTTTGTTAAAATTGTCAAGTTCAAATATTTAATGATGTGATAGAGAAATTACTTAGGGTATTTTATTGTCATAGAACTTGTCATGAGCTTATTAAATCATTAACTGCAGAATTAAGTTGAATTGGAAAACTGAAATTTTCACGGATTGTTCTAGTACATAGTAAATACAAGGTGATTTCTCTTAAGTTTAGTTTGACACTAGACCCCATTAGAAAACCTAATCTTACTTTTATACAGGGAGTATAGGACGGCAAATAATTTATGATGTTTAAAATATATAATCATAGTTGTTGCAATAATGATAAAAATGTTTTTTTTTTTTCTTCTTTTTTAAAACAGCTAAACTCTGGACATCAGTGGTACCTGCAGGTATTGTATGTGATTGGCCCATCCAACAGTCCAAGCCGTGTACAGCGGTCAGCCATACTGACTGGTGGTGGAAACAGTTTGCTTGAAGATGGACCTTTAGCAAACAGGAATGGCACTAACATGAGAATGCTATTACTGGATGAAGAATCTTTGGTCTCTCGAACTGCAGACATTGTCAGCACTGTTGTACCAGGTGTTGCACTGTTTCTTCTAATCTTAGCCATCATAGCGTTTGTTGTTGTATGCAGGCATTTAAAGAGAACGCAGGAACCTCAACAAGCACCTGTGCAGTCAAGCATGGTTTTTACAAGTGGTGGACTAACCCAGGTCTCTAAAATTAGCAGTGTAAAAAGAGGACAACATCTGTCAGGTACACAAGTGTGATGAGTGGCAGTTAAATTATGATTGGACAATGGGCAACCCACCTTTGTGTCGAAACAAAGACTTTTTGGATCATCTATGCTTGAATATTTGCCTGGTACACAAAAGTTCAGAAAAATTGGGACAGAAAAAATAAAATTTCGAATTTTTTTTTTAGTTTGATAAATATTAATTAGCTACTTTTAAATAAACTATACGCATTATCATCAGCAAGGAAGAATTTATTTTATTCTCAAGGTGAATGACACCTATTTATTTATTTTTTTTTTTTTCAGTTTTGATAAATATCAAAACTAAAATTATATATAAAAATAAATCTTCCTTAAAAAGTATAAAAGAAAAAAGGACAGGGCTTAACCCCCCACCCAAAAAAAAACAAATGTTTGCATTAATTGTTATTGCTGATGTATGTGTATACATAGACATTCACATTACATGTATAGATAACACACAGGCAGCAAAAAGACAAGGAAGCTGGATCAAATCAAAGTTAATGTTTTTGTTAAAGTACTTTCAACCAATTGTTAATATCAGTGTCATAGAGAAAACTTTATATTAGCTTTATCCTGTCATCTTTAGAAATGTTTCACTTCTAATTTACATATGTACAAATTGTACTTATAGAGCTTGAGGGCACCAAAGAATGATTTTTAAAAAGCTGTGCACCTTTGGTGGACTATAATGCATTTGATACAAACTGTTTCTTTAGTTACATTATGGCATAGCTGAAAAGGATGTATTAAGGACAACAAAAAGAAAAAAATGAGGCAAAAAAAAAAAAAAAAATTCTTCCTCTAGTATCTATGAATGATACTGAATTGTAAACGGTTTATGTAAAACCTAGAAAATGATTTTATACAGAACTGGGATTAACAGTAAAAAAAAATTTGATTGCTACACCAAAATACAGGGTTATTCAAAAAGAAAGAGAAGATTTCTAAATCTGTCTATATTTCTGAGATGAGGTATTATGTACATTATTTATATTATTCAGACTATTGTCCTCATCTTTGTCGCCTTATTTATTACATTTTGGCCATTGTACACTCCAGCTTTCTTCAGTTCGACATTCCAACCACCTGAAGAAAGCCAGAATGTACAACGGCTGAAACGTAATAAATATGTCGACAAAGATGAGGACAATAGTCCAAATAATGTAAGATTTCTAAAATTTAATAAAAACAAATGCTACGAAACAGAAACACATTCAACACAGTACAGAATAGGAAAAGCTTCAAAGTTTATTATTTTAAGGTTATTCAACTTGTATGCACTCAACATGAGCACCATGTGTTGTATGACAAACATCAAAACAATATTCCACTTCTTGACACACTCAAATCATTTGATCTGTGGATACTGACTTCACAGCTTCAACAATTTGCTGTCTCAAATCTTCAAGAGTAGTAGGCATAGGTGGAACACTTATATATCCCCCCCCATTATAAAAAGCGCATGGGTGATCTGGGGGCCGACAGATGATGAACAAGATCTGCTTTTTCACAAATGATAACAACTTAAATTTATACAAAATTAAAAAAAAAAAAAATTCATTTATTTTAATAACTTTGAACCTTTTCCTATCAAGTAATAGAATAGAGATTAGAATAACCCTGTATACATTGAAAATAAGGTTGTTGACAAAAGAAAAAGGCTGGGAATACTTGACAGTACATTTTGCTGTATAATGGCATTTGGTCTTTTTTGGTAACTATATTTACAAGAAATGTACTATAACATCATTTGCATATTTAGTAGTACTATGCCATACCATATCAGAACTTATGCAAAAACACTCTATTGAGTTTGAATAGTTCACTTCCACTCTGTATAGTGAAGCTGTGTATAAAAATTGTTTACGTTTATTTACTCACAATGGTATCAGTATCTGTCCCAACCAAAATTTACAACTGAAAGTAAACTTTCAACCTTAATGTACATTGTTAGAAAACAGGATTTGCTCCCAAAATATATTTTCTATATAAATTCTAACCATGATAGAAAAAAAAAAAAAAAATAATATGGTGTGTCACTTCTGCTTCAGCTGTACTCTGTGAAAAGTGATACACACCAAATCTGTACAGTTATTTGCATAAGCTTTTCAATTTGTTGTATTCAAAATTATTAATTTAAGATTTAGAAATAAAGCTAACAAAAAAGTACTTGGAGTTTGATTTCATGCTGTGGTTTGGGTAATACACATTTAGTTTTAAGAATTGATTGATAAACAGGAGCCTGAAATAGAGTTGCACTATTTGCTAATTTAATAACTATCTTTACACATGTATAAGTCTACCATTCGTCCATGCATTGAATATTGCAGTCAAATCTGGTCTGGTGCTTTTATGTATTTACAGATTCTTGATAAAAAAAAACCCAAAGAAAAATGTACAATGTTATTGGTTGTGACCTGGCATCTTGACTTCATTCACATTCCCACCACCATAATGTAGCTTTCCTGTGGCTTTTTTATAAATACTTTCATGGTAATTGTTCTGATGAAGTCTCCTCTATAATAACTAGACTTTCACATCCATTTACAGTTCTATGCTAATAGTTTCTTCTGGCTTCCCAGTAAACTTTGATTTTCAAAAATTTAAATTTAAACTCCAGATTTAAAGACTGAAATATAGGCTATATCAATAATTTGTGCTTAAAAAAAAATGCCAATTTTGCAACTACTAGCAGGCAAAATTAGCCCTAGTTGGGGAAGATGCTATGAAGAGACCTAAAAGCAGATAAGCTAAGATAAAAAGGGAGATAAGCGTGACAGAAAGACTGGTCTCCCAAAGCAAACATCAGAAGAGAGAAATGGCTATCAAAATACTCTTACCTGACCCTACCAGACCAAAGGTCTAAAATTAATATGCACTGGCATCCTCCCAGGCAATACCTCTCTGCCCAGAAGGAGCCAGGGTCATTGCTTAAAAAGTGAATTGCCAAGGAGGCTTGAGCAATGTTTGCCTTCATGCATCAGCTATGAAACATCCACTTGATAGAATGTACAATTAAAGACCTATGATAGACTTAGGGAACAAGTCAGAATTAGTTATTGTCTAGCAAGATGTCATAAATTCAAAAAAAAAAAAAAAAAAAAAAAAAGACCTGAATTGCTAAAATATGATAAAGAAACAAGCACTCCTACATTATTTTTTGCTTGTTTGTATATGACCACCATGCTTTTGGCCTAAGATCAGAGTGAGTATCTGCCTCACCTCTGGCTGAAATTAATTAGAATTTCTGAGAAAATTACATAATATTAAATGGAGAGGAATTGGGAAAAGCACAAGAAAGGAGTGAGGAAAAAGAAAAGTACACACACTAAAGCTAGTGAAAAATGAAAACAAAAATGTTTAGTATTTATCGAAAGTCAACTCAGAGTTTTGTAATTTTTCAATCAGAACTAGTCATGGAGAACTCATGAGATTGTTTTCTGCAACTGTAAATTTTAAATCTAAAATTATAAACATTATTTTGGCTATTCAATTATTTTAATGAGCTTGTGAAATTGACAGTTGTAACAGTCAAATTTAAATTTGAAACTTACTGCATATAAATTGATTACAAAAAAAAAAAAAAATCTTTCTGGCCAAGAGTTCTGCTAAGTGATTGGAAAATTACAAAACTCTCAGTTGATTATTATGTATATTCACTTTTATATATAATAGATCAACCGATTCCACTACCTTGGTTTCAACCTTTCTGTATCTTCAGGTGATTTTGGCCAATTAATTTCCTAATGATTTATTAAAAAAAAAAAAAAAAATTATGAACACTATTTTAAAATTTGGATGAATTAGTTTTTGCACGGTTTATTAGTTTTTTTACAATTGCTATTTTATAGTAATTTGGACATTCGCTTTTATAGTTAAGTGTACAAGAATTTATGCTGGTAGGTTTTTTATATGGGGAGATGGTGAATTATTATTGGTGTTAATCAGTATATAGAAAGTGAATTTTGTTACTAGTATTAAGTTCATATATAAACTTAAGGACAGAGATGTCTTGGAACTGTTTTTGGATCATTCATCCACAAAACAGATATTCTACAGCGAATTTAAAAATATAAAACAAACAATCAATAACAACTTCCCAAACTACATTGTTGATGAGTAAATAAGATGCTACATCAGTGACCACTATACAAAACATAATACCCCTCCAATTAACCTCAAATATATATATTGTAACCAGATGCATGCTAATTATAAACAAGACGAAAATAACCTTAAAAAAAAAAAAAAATTTAATAAAAACTAATACATACTACACTAAATTCACTATATCTAATAAAATCATTTGTAATGACTCTTCCCACCCTTACACTATAGAAAATTTTAAATGTAGCCGTCTCTTCTACTCCAATAGCTTCATACCTCGCACCTCTCGCCTGTGGAACACCCTTCCCAATTACTGTTTCCCTGAAAGCTATAATCTCCAACTATTCAAATGTAATGTCAATCGACACCTCCAGTTACCCTGATCTACCCACTATCCTTCTCTTCATCCTTTCTTCTATCACTCCTATCTGCTCTCACTCCAAATCTTCCGCAACCCCCTGCATCCTAGTGGCTTCACGACTTGCTCGAGGCGTAATGCTTAAGAAAAAAAAAAAATTTAAATGCTTTCTGGGAGACTGCATCTACAACAATAAAAATATCTATGTCTTCACCTAAATAATACTTCCAATATTTCTAAACACTTACAACATACCTGTCCACACTCACAATTCAAAAAAAATCCTTGTCGAAAATACCTCTATACTTTTCCACGAAAAGAATAAACATAAACTAAAAATTCTCAAAGCTATTTATATTAAAAAAATTGAAACCAAACCGCAATAAAATTAATTACAAATACTCCACAAACATTTTAAAATGTGTACAATAGTCTTTAAATGTTAACTCTTGTCATTAATAGTTTTTCTTTTATCTAGCAGCTGCTTAAGCTTGGAAATTTTCTACAGCATACTTAGTTACCTCTCCTTAGACAGTGTCTGTCAACCAGCAATGACATGGCGTTCATGACGCCACATATAAAAATGGTAATTTTCAGATGACCACAACAATTTTTATCCTTCACAACCATGAACACTAAATACTTACTTTATATTTAACAATATGCTTATGATGACATAATGCTATGTCGAAAGTACTTGGAATAAATGCAATATGAGCCAACCCAGGGTTTTCCTCTCGTCTTTTAACAACTGCGCAAAAAAAAAAAAAACTTATTCGCGAATATGAAGGATCTTATCAAAAATAAGTAGACAGAATGTGTCTAAATTATTTAGCAAAACCTATATATATATATATATATATATATATATTATTTTGTACTACTTGCACTCTTGAAGATGATTGTGGCCGAAGATCGAAAGTACTTGGGAAATGAAAATAAAAGAAATTTAAACAGCTATAGCACATTTCTCTCATCCTTTAACATCATTACACATGAGTATGAATTTTGTTAAAAATTAGCAGACATTATGTCTGCAATTTATTCAATCATACATGCCTAAAAGAGAAGTTGCTGCCTAAACACACACATATATATATATATATATATATATATATATATATATATATATATATATATATATATATATGAATGAGGCAATGTCAAGAGACAATGAGCAAAAAGATTATTAATACTTTTCCTTCCTTACTATCATTTAATGTAATATTAAAATTGTTTCTGAATAGAGATAGAGCAAAAGAAAAGAGAGGACGTACTAGAGAATATTTATGCTTTCCTTATTTCATTAAAAAAAAAATTTTAACATGAAACTAATTGCATTTGAGACAGTTTATATTCTTTTTGAACTATACCTTTAGAAAAGCCATGAATCAATCTCTTCTCTCCCCTATCATAGATTAAATAGTAGAATATACCAAGCTCTCTAGCCTAGTTTGGTAACCAGTCTAGGAGAAAGACAACTCTGAATTTTAAATTGTGAAGGAGCCCTTATTAGTGTGAGTATAACAATCAAGATGAGGATGCTAGGGTGAATGTAGATTTATACTGGTATCCTCATCTTTGTTGTTACACTGACAGTATTTTAGTTCTGACTTTCTTCATGTATTTGCCATACTTGGGGATCTTCTAGATATTTTAATCTGATCATTATTCTATTCCCAGTCACAGTCATCTATAAATTGTTTTCATTCCAATTTCTAAGTTTGGGTTATCAAAATACTATCCAGTCCATCTGCCTTTGTGTTGCATGTCCATTTCTTTCCCCTAACCAGATCATCAAGAACAAGTATTATAATTATTGAAGAAAAGGGAGGCTGTGAATAGCCATGATTGCCCATGTCCTAGATGAATAATATGAAACATGTAAAAAAAAAAAAAAAAAAAAAAAAAAAAAAAAAAAAAAAAATTTGTACACTGTCAGCATTTGAAATCCTGTTTTTTTTTTTTTTTTACTGGTCATCAACAACCTGTGGAAAAATATACAACTACTTCAACCACCAAGTAAGTCTGTCTGTTCACAATACTGGAAGAGTGAAAAATAAATCAATCCATGAATTTTGTTCCAAATGTCTTATTTATTGAATAAATTTCTCAGTTTGATGAAGTGGCACAGACAAAAGAGGAAGAAGAAAATAAAAGAAAAAAGTTAAACTGAGAAAATGGAGGAGGGGGTATATATATATATATATAAAAAATAAATTGATCTATTTACAAAGGTGGGGACTTATGATGTATCAATTGCAGTCTTTGACTTGGACTTCTTTCCTTTCAATTCCTGGATTTGCTTCTCTAAAGAATTTTCCTGGGGGGAAAAAAAAATAAAAAATAATTAGAAAAAAATGTTAAAGATTCATAATCATTACCAAGTACCAGTCCCATCAAACCAATTCCAAGCAAAGAAAAACTAGTCTCCCAAATTTTATTCTTTGGTCTTTAGAAGATATTTACTACATTTTTCATTTCCTCAACTAGTGTATCAAAGACTAAAAGAATCCCAGGACTGAGTAATAAAAGTCTTGTGTTAATTGTGTTAGTATAACAACAGATAAGTTGAAGAGAACAAATTTGTTTATTCCTTTTTATATGTGTGAGAATCTTGGAGAACTATTCTATGGCTGATTTGAATCTCCAGGAAAGTAGCTCATTGTAACTTCTTGGGCTAATGTTTTCTACTGATATGAAATGGAAAGATTATATTGAATTAATTGCTAGGTTTGCTGCAACAAACACTGGCTCACTATGTCATGTTAGATAATTTTACTTGCCAGAATTTATCTTTTATTTTTATAAGTCTGCCACTTGTCTGTGCTTTGATTATTGCTACCATATCTGGTCTCTACAGATTCTTGACAAAATCCAAAGAAGAATCTGCAATGTTATTAGCCTTCATCTGGCATCTTGGAGTCATTCACTTGTGCCTATAAATATTGTCAAGGCAATTGTTCTGATAGGATTTAAGCACAGTACTAGATTGGCAGCTAGGTTCCATTATTTTACAGTTGAAAACCCCGCTGAAACTTTTTCAACATTGACACATTTCTAAATTAATATTCATAATGAATGATAGTGGTTTTCAGCAATATTTGGGGAGGGGGGGAGAGGAAATAGAGATTGCATTAAAAAAAAAAAAAAAAAAAAAAAAAAAAAAAAAAATCACACGAGCACATCTAAACTTTTCTGCCGGTGAGGAGAGTAGCATGTCATCCTCACAAGATGACAAAACAAGATCTGTTATCGGAGCCAACACACACGCATATATATATATATATATATATATATAAAAATAATCTTCGTGATATATAAAAAATTTATATATTGTTCTTTTTTCTCTCTATATATATATATATTTATCAATTTAAGATTATTTTTATATATATATATATATATATATATATATATATATATATATATATATAACTAAAAAGTTGCAAATTAAAAAATAATGTTCTTTATGACAGTATTTATATTTGATATTTCAGATCAACTGCAATCTTTCTTCAGAAAGAACTATATATATGTATATATACATATTAAGAAATAACTATATATACATATTAAGAAAGTATACGTGGCTTCTCATTATGCTATATATATATATATATATATATATATATATAGGCTAAGATGGAATCTCAAGCCTTGAACAGCAACCATCCTAGAGATGATGTCTCGATAAAAACAATACCATGAGTGAGTTGGCTGGCCTTGTAAAACTTGAAATCATTATGGCAAATCCTTTGTCAGACAGGACCCACCTGGCTTTGTGTGAGATTAATGCCTGTCATGCCTTGCCTCATCAAAATACATGGTTATGTATGTGTTTATACAAAAACACCTATTTGCTGAAGAGGGTTGAAAAACCTACTGGCCTAATTATATTGTTTCAAATAAAGGTCAGGAACAGTTAATTCATCAAATAATCATTTGAGAAATTTAGACATAATTAAGAAGGTAGAGGAATGCCTACCAGAAAATAAATCAACAAAAAGGTGAGGATATTATTTCAGATAATTCATAAAATTCCACTATTTTAATGTAAATATTACATACATATTTCTACAATATCAAAATAAACCAGTAAAAGTTTCTAAGGGAAATAAGACAGGCAGTAAACAATGAGTTTTTTTTATCATTGCTTTAACACAGGCTAAGACATAACTAGTTTCATCTAAATAAAAATCTAAAATCATCTTTATGGATTCAAAGGTGAAGAAATAAAAATAAAGTTAGGTTTTTATTTCTATTTCTGACGCCTTTCTTTTGAAATAAGTTAAACCTTTTCTTGTCTAACAATCAACTGCTTAGTTATTTCTTTTAAAAATCTACCCAGTTGTGTAAATTTATTTTGCAAACCCAAGACAAATACTTAATAATCACCACTGAATCTATTTTATGGATTAGACATTGTGTCCATGAAAACATGTAAATAAAAACAAACTTTAGAAACAATACCAAATTACATGAAATTAAAAAAACAAAAAAAAGTACTTACTAATTCTTTTGGGTTATATTGAATACCTAGTTCTTCAAATTTGGCCATTTTTTTCTTAAGGCCTTTAAGTACTTTAGATGTAGATGCTAACTGCTGAGTTGTGCTTTTTGGCTTATTGTGTCTTTTACGAGCAATAATATGGGATTTAGGTTTCCGGAATGGACGATTGCAGCCAATAAACAATCCTGGTTTCACTTTCTCTGGAGGAACCACTTTGCCTTAAAAATAAAAATATATAATTTAATTTAATTATATTAAATTTTGACATTTGAATATATGATCAGGATTATTGGTAGACGTAGGTCTCATTTTAACTTTCTCAAATTGAAAACCTTAAAATTTTAAATATCCAATACTAGAACTGTGAATATTAAACTACTGCTTCTACCAGGATTTAAACGTTGATAGTGTTATTTTTTTTTCTCCCACAAATGCTAATTCCACCATTATGTTGTGGCTGAAGCATTGATTTTTTTTTATGGCTTATCAACCCTCTGTAGGTTATTTAAAGCCATAAAATATTTTTAGATTGTAAGATTTTATTTTATTTTTTTTTAAATAATAATGGTTTAGTGATATAACTCTTACTAATTAACCCATAGCTGGGAGAAGAGGAGGTAGATTCATATTTTTCCCAAGTGTATTTGTGCATAAGTTAATATAACAAGCCAAAAGGAAACTGGAACCCAGTTCTCTTATTAAGAATTCCGAGCCATTGTCAATTACCCGACCTGCACATCCAATCTTACAGCACTTGGTATCCCCAAACGATCACCTGTCTAGTTACTGACCAGGCTCAATGTTGCTTAACTTTGGTGATTGTATGGGAACTGGTGTTCCAACATGATGTAGCTGTAAGCCTGTGGTTGAAACAGAGAGCATGAATAGAGGAGAAGAACTGAAAACAACAGACTTTACTTGTCAGCATATCATATTCAATAATGAAAGCCAATCAAATCTTGCAGTTGTAGATAGAAAGCTTGTACCTGTGAGAAAAACTGTCAGTACCCACCCCCACACACAGAGATACCTTTTTCTACATGTACACAACATAATCTTCTTTGGAAGATGGCTAACTTTTAGCATGGTTAGCTTACTTGCATTCTATGTTGCTATAAAGTATCCACTTTTCACCACCTGTTACAGTCTAGTATTTTTTTTTTTTAAATGGAAACCTCTCATGAAAGGGACTAACCTAAGCAAAGTGGTGCAAATGATTTTCTATGCTTGATTTGGATGTTTTACATATTGCACCAGCTTGGTTAGTCAATTTGATGAGCAATTTCCATAAAAAAAAAAAAAAGTTGTACTTTGATTGACCTCTATTCTTATTCTATATCTGAATAAACCATGAACCACAGACAGTGTATTTTTCTATTACCTCCTCTATGACAGGCTACTGATTATCACCTCCAGCTTGTTACATTTCCTGTACATATATTACATAACAATGACAACCAAAAAAAGATAATGATGTCATCTGGTGAAAAATCAATCCAAGAATGGCATATACTCACATTTTAAGAGTTTCTCGTACATTAAATAGTTATCCATAGTTTCAGCTACAATTTCAGCCACTTCTTCAGATTCAAATTCAATGAAAGCAAATCCTTTGGAATTTCCAGTCTGCAATAAACCAAAATGAAATACTTATAATGGCACAAAATGAAATGATATCATGCTTCAAGTTGAGGTTAAGAAGATATAAAAAAATAATTTATAAAAATTGTCATTTGCTCATGGTTAGCCGAATTAACTTACCAGTTGCTGCAGTCTTATCAATATCTAGGTCAATTGTGCCTCCCAGCACTAAATATTTATTTTTACTAAACTGCAAGGAACGAGAGCCACTCAAGGTAGAGGGTCATTAAACGAGTTGTGTGGACGTAAGAGGAGAAATTAAAAAATGAAGGTAATGTGGATACTCAATAAAAGATATGCTCACAATAGCCAAATATTTCAATTACAAGTGTATGAATCATTTTGTGATTGAAGTATTAAGTATAATTAATGTTGAATGCAGTGTTTTTTCAGAGTCCCAAGTCACAGTCATCTCCTTTTCATTACAAGTTTCCTTGTTAACTCATCCATTTCAAATTGTCATTTTTTTAACATGATAATTATAACTGAAATTCCTCCCATTATAGAATCTAGTACAGTGAATCTGAACCATTTTTTTAGCCATACCCAACTTAAGCATTTCTAAAATCCTGATGCCTCCTCCCCAGTGACATATAATTATTATTAAAAAAGTGAACTTCTGTTCATGTACAATAAGCCTAAAAGCCATTAACTTAATTTTTCTTAAGAAATGGGGACTGCATATATGCAATAGTATTATCATTCAATTTTAGAATGTTACAATATTTATAAAAATATTGTGTTACTAGTATATATTTATATATGTGCGACACTTATTGGAAAGCATTCAATATCAGTGATAGAGCTAACATACTTAATTATATGGTTTCATGCTTTTGCAATCCTCAGATAAACTCTGAGGATTGCAAAAGTGTGAAACCTAGGGTTACAAACTCACATCCATACAACTATATATATATATATATATATATTAGGTGTTACAGTTTTGTTGGTCTCTTGCTCAAATGCATCCCACACATAATAATCAAGGGGCTTGCAGTCTGGGGGGTTAAGGTGTAAGAGGTGATGTGGTTGCAGAAATTGTCTGACAGCCATGACTAGGTTCTCCTGCTTGTGTAGCATGGTGCAGAGTCCTGTTGCCAAACATAATTTCTTCCAGCAGCCACCCTCTTGGCCCAAGGCAACACTACCTCCACAAGGCACTGAATGTAAGCCTTCATGTTGAGTTTGAAGCCATGTGGGAAGATGAATGGAGGCATAATGTCGCCAGCATTAGTGATCACTCCAAACACTTTTGTAATCATCATTAGACTCATCTAACTCTTTCTGAATCCTCAGACTGACACCCAAACACTCTGAAATGTTTGTATTGGAGCTTCTGGTCTGAATACCAAGCAGTACAGCATGGCATTTTCAAATTTCTGGTGGAGTGAATTGAGTCATGGCACTCTTTTTCTCAGTGCACAACTAATTGCCTCGTTTGGCAATCACAGATCTAGGGGATTTCTTTCATGTTCTTTTTTTTCTTCATTCTATGATCCCAACCAGGGCAAGAAAAGATGAAAAGAAAACAAGTCAACATTTCATAGAACACTTCATTTTTCCAGCTATTATACAGGGTCATTCAAAAAGAATGAACTGATTTCATGATACATTGCTTCAGTTCTCAAGCAGTCATGGAATGAGTCAGTGACCATTTGAAAGAGAAGTTTTCTAAGTTTAGAATGGCTGCCACAGGGGGTGCTGTAGTTGTGTTGTATCTCCAGCAGCATTCAGTTGTTTGTTTACCACCAGAATGGTGAGTCCTCAGCAAAAGGTATTCACGAAAACAAATATGATTATCACCGTACAGTGTACTTTTCGAAGGCAATTCGACATTAATCTGCCCTCCCCTAAGAACAACCAACGGTGGTTTAAACAGCTTCAAGAGAGTGTGTATCTGTGTTAAGGAAAAAGTCCAGGACGGCCACAAGTTTTGAAGGAACAAGTGGCAAGAATCTGTGCAGCATTTGAAGGAGTACACAAATCGACCTAGCTGTGAGCTTGTGATCTCTCAATCCACTATCAGGCATGTGCTAAGAAGACGTCTACATTTGAAACCTTACAGACTACACCTCGTTCAGGCACTTACCAAGACCTTCCTCTTTGTGCTTCCCCTGAAAGATCACCAGACCTCACCATGTGCGATTTTTTTCTTGTGGATTACGTAAAAGATTGTGTTTATGTTCCACTGCTACCCACTAACCTCAATGACCTTAAACATTGAATAACAACAGCGATCAACTCAGTGGATCATGATATGCTGATACACGTTTGGGAAGAATTATCTTATCACATTGATGTTGCCAGTGCTGCAGGTGGTGGCCACATTGAACACTTGTAAGACAGGAAATAATAGTTGATTGTGAGTAGAATATTTGTGACTTGGCTAGAGTTTTCTATTGCTTTTCCTTATTAAAATATTGCATAATGAAATCATTCTTTTTGAAAAACCCTGTATAGTGGAGAAACAGTACCAACTATAATATTTTGTAACATTCTTTGAAACAGGCAGAGAGCTTCCTGCATTCCTGTTGCTTGCTATGATAGTATTCCAATTATACAAATTACATTTCTTGTTCCAGTGTTATGAATAAAGTTGCATTGTTCTTATCCTATTTCTGATTTAACTCTGCTCCAAGTTATACTACAATAAAAAAAAAAAAAAAAAAAAAAAAAAATCTGAAAAATTCTCAATCCCAAAACATTGGGTTTCAAGGATTTGGGATAAGAAATTGTATAATTTTAAATAAAAAGAGTGATATTGTGAAAATGATGAAAACCAGTGAAGGAATCATTGTTAAGAAGGCATGAATCTGAAGGTTTTAGTTATTCAGTCAGGCACAATTAAGATTGAACATTGCTACAGTAATGAAATTATAACAAGTATGGTATGTGAATGAAGGAAAGATTTGTTTCTGTTTTTTTTAAGGATTCTAAACTTTTGAAAAACCAAGGAGATAATTTTGTCAATGTATTTTTGGAAAGAACTGAAATAATTTTGAAAATTCAACTCTTGATAAACTAAAAAAAGAAAAATTGAACCTGAATTGACTGACTCCCGCCTTTCCTGTCAAACTTGAAAATGGATTTCACCATTTAAGGCTAGAAGCCCCTAAATGTACTTGCAATTGGGTAGGGCTGTGAGATAAGTTTTCTTACACTTGCTTCACAGGTGCCCAGAAATAAACCGATTTTTCCTAGCAGATGGGAGACAACTCTTGAACAGTTATTCTACTAAGCATAACTTTGTTATAAGACCATGAGTATGGAGCATCCCAAGTGAGAATCAAAATCACCATTATACTGATGGTGACAAATCATCCTCATTCCCTTAGTGTTCCTTTAGATAAGGACTAAATTCTACTCAGTTTCTCCCCCCCATTTGTAGAACAAACTCCCAAGAGGATGCTTCCCTGGCAACTACAATATTGGTCTCTTCAAATACAGGGTCATAATGTGCACTTCTTATTTCCTCCTTTCCCCTCGCTTATAACAATGTCACTCAGTAGCCCTCTATTTTAAGTGTCCCCTGGGCCTTGTATTGGGTTAACCAACAGAGTGCGTGTATATATATATATATATATATATATATATATATATATATATAGGCTAGGTCATTAACCATTATCCCAAGCCAGAGAGCTCAACTGTTGAACTGTTATAGAGAAAAATGTACATGAGACAAGATGTCAGAAAATGGAATCAAATCAGAACAAAGGTGCTGATTTGAAGCTCACTGAATTTAGTTTTCATTATTTATTTATCCATTCAAAATATAGTCTATAATATTTTGTTCGTGAACAACTACTTATTAATGAGAGAATATAGTGAAGGTCTTGCAAAAAATCCTTCTCATAATCTACATTCAAAAGGTCACCCTAGGAGGGTCATCTTATCTATTAGAATTGTGCCTTCATTATCAAATCAAGATAAAGTAATAAAGTGAAACAAATGAAATATTTGGTAAACTTGTGTTTGCTGTGCAATTTTAGTTAATTTGTTGAAATTAGCCATTTTACTCGCATTTCACACCAAAGTCAAATTATTTCTAGGTTATTTGAAAATACAAGTTTCACTAAGTAATGCTTTTCATTAAGATCTGCTTTATGGACAAGATAGCTGCCCCTGTCCAAATTCTAACCATGTTTCATGCAACACAATCTTCCTTTACAAATTTGGCCAGAGCTTAGGGAATATCAATAAAAAAAAATTCCACTGATTACTGTTAATCTAAAGTTTATAGACAGAATTTAAGGCATGACTCATGTTGTAATAACATTGAGATGTCAGATGGTATTGGCTTTATGCAACCTATCAAGAAAAACAAAGTGATTTCAAAGGTGCATCAGTCAGTCAGTTATGTGCCATACGTGATACATGCTTAGGCAATCATGTATCTTTTGATACATGACTGACGAGGCAGATTTTTCCTGCAGGTTGCCATTTCATTCTGTGGTAAACCAGTTGCCATCCAAGGCTACAGAACCCGGTCTGTCCTGTTATTTACTCATAGCTGCGGGGAGAAGAGGATTCATACCTTTCCCAAGAGTATTAGCACGTAAGTGAATGTAATGGATTTGACTGGAACTCGAACAGCCTTAATATTTGCAAAAGTCAAACTTAAGTAAAAACTTTCTCAATAAGTTTTAAAAAAGCCATTCATTATGTTTGTTTGCACTTAACAGTAGGTACCTCCAAAAATTTGCTAAAAATATATGATGAATAATGCCCCCACCCCCATAATTTATCATCAAAAATCTTTGTGCTATTAGTATTATTAAGATCAAAGGATTTTTTTTTTTTTTATATAAAATGGTTTCATCACCAAGAATTTGGCAAAACTTGATGCAACAATCAATGCGTTCAGTCATCTTGTGTGAACATGAAAATATGATGAAAAAAAAAAAATTACCAACATTTTCTAAAAATGAAACATTTAAAAAATAATTGATTTCTGAATAAATTCTGAAAGTTTCAATATAACTCAACAAATATCTGATTTCTGCAAGAATTTCTAAAATCAATTTGCTATTCACTGCAAAAAGATGTACATTTTCCCATACAAATTCATGGTTCCATTTTGGCACCAGTAAAAACAAGTTATTTAACCAAAATTTCAAAGGTTCTAAAAAGTATAAAAAGAAATAATTTTTACATGAAATAATCCTTTGATCTTCCTCCTTAATAATAACAAAAAAATTTGACATTTTTTTTTATTATATTTTGAGCATTTTTTTCATCATCTATTTGAGCAAATTTGAGGTGCCTACTATTAAATGCAAACAAACTTGGATGACTTTTTAAACTTGAGAAAGTTCTTATTAAATTTAATTGAGAACTTTTCAGCATTCCCTCACATACTGTTTCATAGTTTGTTTTTTTTTCCTTCTATAATGGTAATGCCAAACTACATTTCATTATCAGTGCAATATCTTTTGTGTGTTAAACTTTCAAAACCTACAACAAATAAAATAATGTTGGAGTTTTTGGGAAACTCATTCAAGCTAACAAATAAAATATTTCTTTTTACTATAAATGTTATTTTTAGTGGCTACATGCATTTGAGTTAACATCTCTGTTCTTTTAAACTGAAATTAATTTCAACCGGACTAGAAATCAAGGAGTCTTACCAAAGAAAAATATGCCTTGACAAAATTTCTAGGTTGGTTTACATTAATTTCATAATTTAAAATAACAGAGAAGTCAACTCAAGCACACATGTAGCCACTAAAAATAACATTTATAGTAAGAAGATATGTTGGATTAAAAAAAAACAAACATTTTTTGGTATAAATATAGTAGTTTTAATTTTATTGGATCTATTTTACAGCAAGAATGAAAATTAAAATTTTTAACAACTAGAGGAAGGTTTGATGTTATATTATAGGACTAAGACTGCAGGAGTTATTTACCTATTTTCATTTTTGTTATGTAAACTGTAAGAGGACATTAAAATTGTTAATGGATATGAAAAAAAAAATGTTGGTATTATCACATTTTGACCTTCAAGTGCTTGTTGATTTGGGTGACCTTCAGATTGACATCTGATGAAAGCTTAAGGGCACAATGGCCAAAACATGATAACAACAAAAGATGAGTGTACATAATGATAACTCCTTGTCCCAGAAATTTAGACAAATGTTCAGATGAGCTACCCTTTGTTTTCCATTGGTAAGGAGGAAGTCCCACTCAAAAAGCTTCTTTCCAAGAGTCACTATTCTGTGGAATACACTCCGGAGAAGAGGTTTCTCTTATCACTACATTCTTAACTTTTTTCAAGTGCCAACTGTTAGTTATTCTACATATCCTCATAATCAGCACTTACTTCTTCTACTTACATCCCTACAACCTCATTCAGTATCCCTCTACCTTGAGTGGCTCTTGGGCTTTCTATTTGGTGAATACAATATATTATAAACATTTTTTTAGGCCCTCGGTTAAGACAATTTCTGGTACTTTTACTACAACTTGAATGATAAGATGTTTTTTTTTAATCATTTCACCTGAAGCAAGACAGTAAAGCAAGTAAAATGCAAAGGGTTGCCAAGTGTTAGAGAATATGAGAAAAAATATGATTAAGGAGATAGAACAATAAGAACAAAAATTAAGACAGAAAATAATGATTGACATTGCATTTAAATTTTTGAAGATCAAAGTTGACTAGAAAATGAAGTTGGAAGAAAGTTCCACAAGCAAGAAGTGTGATAGAAGAAACTGTTAGCATAGAACTTACAGTTGCATCTAGCCATTTCAATTATAAAATGATGAGAACTTGCAGCCAATCTAGTATTCTGATTAAATTCATAAAGTCGGGGTACCAAAGAGGAAAGCTCATCAGAACAATGACCATAAAAGTATTTAAAGAAAAGGTACAGGGAAGCTACATTATGCCAGTGGGAAAGTAACTGAAGCCAAGATACCAGGTCAAAACCAATAACATTGCAGATTCTTCTTTGGATCTTATCACGAATCTCTAAATATATAGCAGGATCACCAGACCAGATGTGGCAGCAATATCCAAAGAAAGGATGAATAGTAGACTTATAAATATGGAAGATAGATTCTGGCAAAAGAGAGAGAGAGAGAGAGAGAGAGAAGTGGAGGCCTTTTGCAACTGGTTTACCAATTTCAGTTCCTTTGCTAATAACTAATAAAATATCTTCTACCTCTATTTCATTTTTACAGTTATCGCAAAAAAATAATTTCACAATTCAAACAATGTAATCTTTATCAACGTATAACTGCAGAAAATAAATACCTTTTTACTGCGGGAAAGGCGAAGGCGTCTGACTTTTCCAAACTGGCCAAAAAATTCCCTCATTTGATTTTCATAAAATCCATGTGGAATTTGACCAATGTAAACAACACCTGGTTTTACAGCCTGCAAATAAAATCTGAATTTATTATAATTTAAAAAAAAAAAAAAAAAAAAAAACATACACAGTGCAATGGATAAATTGTGATCAAAATTATGTAAAAATGAAAATAACACTGACATCTTATTTTAACAGATATATTTACCAAAATTATACAAAAATATCTTGAAATACTAAAGAGTAAAATTCTGCAATTGAAAAAAAAAAAAAAAAATATCGCCATTGGCTTTAACAATGGCCTTCAGACAACTTTGGAATCTCCTGTAACTCATCTGGACAGTCTCCTTGTTTAAGTTGGTGAATCTTGCCATAATTATTTGTCTTTGGTGATACAAGGAGTTTTGTTGATCTCTTGCTCAACTGTATCCCACACATAATAATCAAGGGATTGCAGTCTGGGGAGTTAAGTGGCCAGATGGAAGTGTTGATATGGTTGCAGAAATTGTCTTTAAATCAGTTCACTACACTACATTAGAACTTTTTATAAACAACTACTTGAAAGGTTGAAGAGGCTATATGTGCCACATGACTTGATTTTAAATAAATGTGAGGAAGAAACAAGTATGCATAATAAAAAGTTTATTATTTTGAAAAAAGATTACACATCTTAAGCTATTTTCAAATTTTCATGCAATGTATCAACTATGAAGCCCAGTGGAACAATAGAACTTTTACCATCTGTAATATTAATTTCGTATTCAAAGAAAGTTTTGTTTTCTCTATTAATGTAAAGAAGTAAAAGACATATCTATTGATATCATAAAATAATTTATTTTCATATTTTAAATCAGACATTGGAGCCTTGTTTTACTGACATGTTAATCAATTAATTGGCAGCCTAAGATGTTGAAAAGCTAAGTACGGCTGACCAGAAATTGACATAAATTTACAAAATCTAAGTGAATGCTTTGTTTTTGGTTTTCAACTACATAGTATTTTTTTTTAAATTAACATAATATTTTCAGCAATTATCTAATATTTTATTGAATTTTAGTTACTTATACATTAACATTTTTATCAAAAATTTTCTCACAAAAAAGAATAAACTTAAAAAAAAAAGTAAAAAACGACTTCATAATTGAAGTATGACCCACAATAAAATAAAAAGATTTAGTGAAATAGGAATTAAAAAAATAAAAATTACTTTAAATTTTAAAGTTTAAAATTTTGAAAGGATGATTTGCAAAGCCTGTTGAGAAGTAAACACAATGAAAGACAGAAATGAAAATGAAAGAATTGCAGACTGACATATTTTTCAGGGAGGACAACTCTTAAAACACGCAACGGATATCCATACTTATGAAAATGGGAATGTTACTAGACTAAAAAATTTAAAATTATTTTTAAAATATTGGAAGTAAGCAACTTTTATTAAGCCTTTCAATTTTTGATTCGTAAATATAATTTCCACTTAATGACCTAACTGGATTGAAGTAATGCAGAATTTTAAATGATTTAAATTATTATAATTAAAATTTAAAAAAAAAAAAAAAAAAAAAAAAAAAAATGGGAACAATTCTTGTAAAAATTCAATATTCATCCAAATAATTTTTTTTCTTAAAGACAATAGTTCCCTTAATAAATCTTATTTATAAAAGCAATTACAAGCTTTTCTAAATAATGTCATTGTTTTACTGCAGGCTCTATTTTACAATTCAGAACAGATTTCCACTGAGGGTCCTGTTTGAAAAAAAAAATAAACATACACACATTAACTGATGATTTAAATTCTCAAAGGAGTTCTAATTTTAACAAATTTTGAGGCTGCAATTTAATTTCTCAAAATTCCATGAAATTAAATTGGGGTGGGGGGTAACATATGTAAAGAAAAAAAAAATTTTCCAGGATTTTCTAAAAAAATAATTTCATTGATTTGTGAATAATACCTGAAAGTTTCATTAAAATCAGACAATTATTTGATTTTTGCAAGAATTTCTAAATCAATATGTTTTTCACCAGAAAAATAAAAAAAAATTTAGTAAAGTAATAAAAACAACACTTTGATCTTTCCAGTTAATAAACATTTTGAAGATAAAACTTTGTCTTTATTAAGTTTTGGACCGTTTTTCATCATGCTATGCTGTTTTTGCAGCAAACAAGTAGAGGTACCAACACAAGAAAAGTATTTGTGTATAAGTCAATATAACAAATCCAACAGGAATTGGAACTCAGTTCTCCAATTAACAATTCCGAGCCATTATCCTTCACACCACCCACATGTCCAAGCTCACAGCACCTGGTATTCCCCAAGCGGTCACTCATCTAGATACTGACCAAATTCAACTTCGGCAATCATATGAGAGCAGGCGTTTCAACGTGACATAGCTGTAAAGCCTAGGAAAGAATGCAAGCAAACCTAATATGATGATTTTCATAAAGTCGGTCAGATGGAATTATTAGAACTACAGAATTAATAGAGCTATAATAAATGCATAATGTTACATTGTAAAAAAAAAAAAAAAAAAAAAAAAGTAAGAAGTTTACTCTAGAAATTAATTGTTAATAATATAGAAATGCATTGAAAAATCAGGAAGAAACAATGTTGGTGATTAAGAATTAAAAGTTGTTACCAATCTGAAAACATGGCTGATCTGAGAATACAATACAAATAAATATAAAATTAAATTAACAACAAAATCAGATTTGGTTGTTAATCAAATAATGATTTACCAATTGCATTTCTTTAGTTTATTGTTTGAAAATTTTAGGTCAAGTTTAATTCGAGTTAAACATTAATGTTGGAGATTGGCTTGTTTGAAGTCGATTAAATGAAGTACCTCCACTTGATTGCGTAAAAAACAGCATAGCATGATGAAAGAAAAGAAGAAAAAAAGACCCAAACTCAATAAAAACAAAGTTTTATCATAAAAATGTTTATGCTATTATTAAGAGGAAAGACCAAAGTATTTTTTTTTATTATTTTTTGAAATTTTTTACTCCTTTGTAGCACGTTATAAATTTTGGTTACAAATCTTGTTTTTTTTTTGTTTTTTTTTACACGTCAACAACGGACCAAACATAAAGGTGAGTTTTTTTTGTGTTTTTTCTGGTGAAAAACACATTGATTTGCAAATGCTTGCAAAATTCAAATGATTGTTGGATTTTAGTGAAACTTTCAGGACATAGTAAGAAATGAAATTATTTTTGAAATTTTTTTCTTTTTAGAAAATCTTGGTAAATTTTTTTTTTTTTTAATATATTACCACCCACTTAATTTCATGAAATTTGGAGAAATTCAATTTTTAAAAGGTGGGGGCGGGTTTTTAGTTAAAAACAGTACTCTTTGGAGAAAGTAAAACATCAATTTTTTTGGTAAAAAAGCTACCTGTTTCATCAAAAATTAGCTCTACATTGTAAAATAAAAAATACAATAAAACTGTGACATTATTTAATTAAAAAAGCCTTTTATTGCTTTTGTAAATAAGATATATTAAGGACACTATTGTCTGAAGAAATCAAAATGTTTTCAATGAATAATGGATTTTTACAAGAATTTTTTTTTAAATTTTAATTATCATAATAGTTCAAAAATTGTTTAAAATTTTTCAATGCTTTCAAGACGGCAGTTTGGTGATATCATTAAGTTAAAAGTACATCTACAAATCAAAATTTAAAAAGCTCATAACAGTCAATTGTACCCAAATATATATATTTTTTTTAATTTTTGAAATAATTTTTAGTGAAAAAAAAACAAAACAAAAAACACCTTCCTAATTTCTATCTAACTATGGTAATCTATACATGACAATCCTTAAAAAGGTTAATTTTTTTTTTGCATTTTTTCCGGTGAAAAACACAAATTCTTGCAATTATTTATTTCACTTTTAATCCAGTTCTGTTTCATCAACATCTTTGCAAATCATCCCTTCAAAATATATATATATATATATATATATATAAATAAAAGTTTTACTTTTCTTAATTGCTATTTCACTAAATATTTTTATTTTATGCATTCATTTTAGTTTGAGTCATACTTCAGTTAATTAATTTTTTGTTTAAGGTAGTAAACTTAACATAGACATGAAATGCAAATTTGATAAAGCTTCTTAAAACCTCACTAAAAGTCAATAAAATATTAAATTATTGCTGAAAATGTTAATTTGTAAAAATTACTAGATAGTTAAAAACTAAGAAAAATGTGTTTGCTTAGATTTCATAAATTTATGTCATTTCTGTTCATCTATAAGAGCTGTCATTACCTTGAGAGCTTCTCGATAAATCAATAAAGATCAAAGAAAGAGGGGACCCATCGTTAAGAAATGCTTGTATATTGTTTTTTTTTTATGCTATAAGTAATATTTCAAATCAGATTAATTTAACTTTAAATTTTCTAATTTTATTCAAATAACGTGTCACAAATCTATAATCTTGAAAGATTTTTAAAACCAATAAATTAGTTTGTTTACAAATTTCTTAAAATTAAGAAAATGGCTGCTTTAAAAAAAATAAAAAAAATCAAGCAATTATTTGACATTCCAATTTATATGATTTCTATCTGAAATACACCAGAATATTTTACTTACTGGAAATAATAAATTTAATCATTTAGCTTTCAATTAAAACTAAAATGAAATCTTCAAGAATGCTTTTTCATTTTCTAAATTTAATTTTAAAACTTATGTATTGAAAGTTCAGTGGAGGTGCCTAGATTAAATAAAGATTGTAATTAATTATTAACTACTACTCTCGGTATTTGTAGTAATTCTTTTGGGATTATTTCATACCAGTTTCCTCATTTTGTTTTTATCACATTTTCAACTGTCCACTATACTCTATGGATTCTTTCTGTTTGTATGTAATATGCCACAAGTGGGGTGTTACAAAAAAAAAAGTTCCATACATTGATTCTTTCAGGCCAGGGAACTACTTAAAGAGTAAAGACAGATCCACTAAAAAATAAAAAAATATTGAGTTCTTATTGATTTAAACTGGAAGGGGGAGTCTTGTTTAAAATCGATACAGTATAAAATCGATCTTTTTCCGATTGCTGTCTAATGAGTTTTTCATCATCAAGCATCTGGTGGTGGTGGAGCTGCATGAGACTGCCTAGCCTGATACACGACTGACGAGATTGATTTTTTTTCCAGTAGTAGGTTGCCATTTCTTTCTGTGGTAGACCAGATGCCACCCAAGGCTAGAGAACCCGATCTGTCATGCTGTTTAACCCATAGCTGGGGGATAAGAAGATTCATGAAGCCTCGATACTGACGGATGCTAAAATTTAACGATTACAATCAATAAATTTCTATATTTGTTCAGTGAAAAAAAAATGTGCACACCTTCAGGCACTTTTTTATTTTTTTTTTAAAAAAGTATTATGTGATGAAAGAAAATGCCCTCCCCAATCTTAAAACTAAACTAAAAAAGTAAACCCTAAATAAACACCCTAGTCTTGATCGTCATCGAGATGACTTGTTACGTTCGGTAAAATTGTAAGAATTTCAAACCAAACATTTTATTTGATCCACGATAATCGGTAAATTTTGGTTTTGTTTCCCCGAGCGCTAATATCCCTTAAAATTTTTCCAAAATCGTCATAATTCCGTGCAAAAGTACATGCTGAACTCGAATTAACAATTAAATTATGAAGAAAGCTTCATAATTTTGGAGTTATCGACAAGAAAAAAATCGGACTTCTTGTTGGTCATTCGACCCCCAGTTAATTCGAGTTCAGCATGTACTTTTGCACGGAATTATGACGAATTTGGAAAAACAACAACAAAACCCAAAAATAAGCCACATCGCTAACATAAAATAACTTCTGTTTGTACCTAGTCTTTGATATACAATTTCTTATACCCACCTCTACTAATAAGAATCCATAATTCTATTTAGTTTCAGCTGTGAATGCTAATTCGTTTGATTACAAGTTAGATTTTTCATTTTAAATAAAAAGATTTTGGTTAAATACTTAACTTAAATAAGATATAAAAATAGTAAATTTAACAAAATTATTTGGCGAACAACTTTTCAACATTACCATGCTAATCAACAATTGCAATAAACATTCATTATTAACCCAAATACGAAAAATGATTTATGAAAACTATTTTCATCAGGACACGTGGTATAGGCATAAAAAAAAAAACACGTAAGAACGCATGGTGTAGGTACTGGCACTATATTTATTCATGAACAAAAAATAATGTACTTACGACTTTTTTGGGGTAGTTTTTTAATTTCTTCGTGAATTCTTTCTGTTCATTTACATCTAGGGCAGCATTTTCAGGCATTTTTCTTTTAGACTTGTTTATATTCATTTTCGTAGACGCCATGTTGAATGAACTCAAAGAGACAGATAACGCCAACCTCTAGCGGTCATCGAACAAACTAAAAATAACAAGGTAGATAACTCTGTGGTATAAGTGGATTGATTATAGAATCCATTCCTGAAATGGATGTGTAGGAATTCAGTCGTACAGGGTTTTTTTATATTAAAAATTTGAATTCGAAAGAATAACAAGATAAAATAAAGAAAACACGAGTATGCCAGTTAATAAATCATTTGTATTTATAAACATATATGCCTGAATTCAAAAGACTAAAATAAAGTAGAAATAGTCTTTAGTTGAGTTTAATCTTTGGGTAGTAGGTCCACAGAAAAATCTATAGTTTAGAAAAGACCTTTAGTAGTTGCTCCACAGTAAAAAGCTATGATTGAGAAAAGATTTTTAATTAGTTGGTCCACAGTCGAAGTTGTGCTTGAGAAAAGACTTTGATTGTCAATGAAGATTATCTGATTGGTCAAATATTTCACATTGTGATATTAATTTATAGCCAATAGACACTTTGATTTAAATGTATGCTGTATTGTGGAATCTTTGGGTGCAAGTTGATAAATATTGTCTGTTATTGGGTAGAAAATAAAGTTTGGACATGTTTTAATATGGTATGTATGTGGGTATGTAATTGTGTTGGACATAGGGTTTATTTCCTATATGTCTATCATGAATAATGCTTTGTGGTAATATTAGTACAATATATAAAGCACTTATTTACCAAGCTTAGTTTTGGCAGGAGTATGGTACAACCAATGAGTAGTATGTAGATTTGATGATATTCCTGTAATAATCCTTAAATGTGCTCCTGAATTAACACCTGGTCTCTCTAAACTCTACAATAAATGACTTACTGCTTTCATGCTTGTTGGAAATCCTTTTCAGCAGTTTTAAAATTCAGGCAAACCATTTTATCCTTCTATCAGCCCATTAGCCTTATACCCCTTTTCCCAAAATACTGTCGGAGTTAACTCCTCCTTTAGTTCTTTAATCCTTTCACCAGGGGTCTCTCTTCCCTGGCTATAAATAGTCTCTGACCCTTTGCCTCTTCCTCTTTTTCCTCAGGCTTTCAGCCCTACCACCTCACAGGGACAGCATTTCCCAAATGCTGAGAACACACTAAGCACAATACATGTACGTACAAACACTCATCACACACACACACACACATAATATTCATACACACATACTCTGTCCATGTAACTGTCCATGTAACTTGTAACCTTTCTTGTTATTAATACATATATTTGTTTATATATATTTATCGGTCTTGTGTTTGTTTTTCTTTGCCTTCTTTGGACTTAATTAAAGTCCAACTTTCTCATGTAGTTAGACCAGCTAGCAGGAAAATCTTAACCCATGTGTACTCATCTACTTATACTTAACAACATCGCTGACACGGTCCTCTACAATACTGATGACTCTAATTAACTCTGAACTGGTTAAGCATCTAAGAATGTAGAAATAATTATAAACAAGATTTATAATAAACACAACATTTTACATAACAATTTAAGAGAGATTACAAGGAAAGGAAAAAAGTCTTTGTGTGGTAATGTAAAAAGTTTGTATTTGTTTCATATAGAATTTATAAGCGTGTAGAGTTTATAAGTTTGTAGTGTTTATAAGTGACTTATTATGTAAATTGAAAGTTCTTTCATTGAGCAGCATGTATTAGATTCATTTGTAAATATGGAATTTGTGTCCACAATAAGATGTAGTGCCAGTTTTTTTCCCATGACACTGTAACAAGGTAGTTAAGTTAAGGTTGATGTAGTAGTAATCCTGACTTGATATTTTTTGAGTGTTGTCAAAGTAATTACCCTATTGCTATTTGTAGTGTAGGAGTAATCCTTTTCTCTTTTTTTATATTGAAAATGAAATGAATAAAAATGTACAAAAATAATATAAGCAATAAAAACTTGACATAAATAGCAATAATTTGTATTTTCTTTTTGTGTCTCTTTTGTTTAAAAGTCAGTGGTTACTTGGTTTGGTTCTGAGAATTTCATTTGTGAGGATGGTGTTTGGAAATTGTCTGTGTTTGATCTTCATGGAGCACTGGCTAGATATGTGTTTCTGTACTGCTACTTGACTACTGCTACAAGTACCCTAGTTTACTCTACTGACTCTCTTGTGCTGGAAGGGTCGTTTTTATAATGATGAGGATTAAGAGGAAATATCCTTCTTTTCTATCATCACTGATGGCAAGGTTATTTTTAGAATGAGGAAATATCATTCTGGACCATAATAACATCACTTTTTTAATTACCTTCACTCTTCGGCAATGTTTATTGTTTTAAAGAGCAATGATCAAAATTGGAATAAAACCTAAACATATGATAAAAGTGAATTTATAAATTTTTGGTTCTAAAGGATTTGCAACAAAAATATTAAACACTATTTATTTATTAGAGTATTTATTTACAAGAATAATTTTCTATTTACAACATTCTAAAAACTAATGTAATGCAATATTTATCATTTACCAATTTATAAAGAAAGAAATATGAAAACAATTCTTTATTCATAAACTTATGAACACTTACTAAATTATTAAAATATGTGAACTAACTATAAGGAAATCCTTATTATATTTTATTATATAAAGTTTGAATCAATTGGCAATTAGATGATGTTTTGCCAATCATTCAAATAAATAATCTAATAAACAGTGTTTATTATTTTTGTTGTCAAGTCTAAAAATAGACACTATTGTGGTACTGCTGCTAGTTTAACTTGTAGTCAGTGCAAAATAATAATAACTCCCTTTGCCCACTCACTTCAAATCTGGAAGACTGAAAAAGAAGAAGGAAAGAAATTTGTGATCATTGAAAACCTTGCTTTCATAGAAATTAGCTGGTCAGCCAAGAAGAAGTAGGAAAGAAAGTAGCGCGCCTATGGGAAATGCCTTTTGATATAAAATGAAGAGAAAAATTAAATTAATCAAGTTCTCGTCAAAGTAAAATTATTTGCCAATTATATCATCAGCCTCTAAACAGTTTCTCTCAACAATCCCCCAAAAAGCTAAGTATTTACAACTATCTCTTTTAATCTACTTTTGAATGTATGTAAACTATATATCCCTTCAGTGAGCAACAGATTCTCTTACCTTCATCTTAAACATTTTTAATATTATTTTGTGTCAGATCATTTAATCTGTTGTATGAACATTTCCCCTTCATGACAATATGTTAAAACTATAGACTTTAAGAATTCTGATTTATTTTCCTGAAATGAGCTACTTTTTCAATCACATAAATTCATGAATAAATTCCTTATCTTGTTTTGTTAAAATTACCTGTGTGTTTTCTTGTCATTATCTCCCTACATTAATCTTCTTGGCATCGGTAAATCAACTGTTCATTTTAACCCTAAAGCCCCATTCCATTATAAAATAAAAGCAGTAGCAAACAAAACTTACACATGTAAATGACGGATCATCTTTGTTAATAGAGGTGAATGGAAATGGAATGAATTTTGACAAGGTGATATTTTCATGTGTTTTTATATAACCGAGTAGCAAAGGAGAGAAAGTATACTAGTATGCCTAAAAAAAAAGACATTACAGTTAAGAATTGTATGGTTGATACAAGATACATGTGTGTGTGTGTATGTGTGTGTCAGTGTGTGTGTGTGAAAAAGTTCAGTCACTAAGGGGAAAGGTATCCCCATGCCTGAAAAAAGGTCCTGTGTTTGTGTCACTTCTACCACATGCTAGAAGGAAAAGAGAGAAAAGAGAAAAGGAAGGGTCTTGTTTTTATAGCTGCTTAACAGCACCCTCTAACAGCAGCTTGGCAACGCCAAATGGATGTAACCCACAGCATGTAAAAGCTGACTATGTGTCACTCTCATGACAATTCCCAACCAATGGGTACACAACAAAAGATATTAAATTTTGGCTTTTGTTTTGAGTCTATCTCCTGCCTATATAAGAATGGACCAAAAGCCACTTTTGGAGTACCCATAACAAGCACACATGTCACCTTCATATACTCTTACCATGATCAAGAAAGCCTTTCTCAATTGGGCACTTGCACTATACAGAGAGAGATTAATTCAAGCAAGATAAAAAACCTACCATGACAGTATCTCCTGTTAAAAAAATCCTCTGCAACCACAGTAATATCTTCACAACAACCTATCACATAAACATATATATGAGATATCCAATGCCGGTGAAATAGTTGTAAATCTACCATGTTTTAATTTTGGGCCATTTAGAAAATAACAATAATAGCTCTTTTCACCACTCCTACAAATTTGAGAAAAATATTTTGACAAGCAAGTGTGAAATTATTTTCTAACTAATGAAAACTTTGTTTTCAAAAAGTTCATACCCCTGTGAAATTAGATTTTGAATCTTGCTTACAGATATAATAATAGAAGTATACTTCTTCTCAAGGTTCAAACCAATTTGAGAGGCCACTTTGATCTACATGCACATACAAACACACTCACTCACACAGCCACTGACTATATTTCTGAAAAGAATATATAAATCTTATTTCAACTGACATTCCTCCAGAAAATAACCATTATTTATGGTTCATTTAAAAGATGTATTGTTGTTGTTGTTGTTAAATGTTTGGAATTCCAACACTCAGATAACAACTAAAACCAGTGTTGATGGATCCCAACAAGAAATATAATGTTTTCATGTGTTTGTATGAGAAAGAAGAGGCAAGGGAGAAAGTCAGGAGGAAAGTGTAAGTGTCACATAGCTTGGTGAAGAAGACAGCTGAATGAATAAGGAAATTTCTTTTAAGCTGAGAGATGTGATGTATTGCTGTCTGTTGTCATCTGTCTCTCCTTACTGGCTTGTCTGCTGAGAAACTTTGCTTAAATACCCTTCAAAGAGATCATGAAGCATGTTTTTTTTATTGTCAGTGTGAATGTGACCTGTTGCCTGTTGGTTGAAAAATGTTAAATATTTATTTTCAAAGAATTTATTAACCGGTAGAATGTGCAATCCTCCAACCATTTTTTGTTATTTGGTGTTTGATTGTGTTGGTGCTTATTTCCGTCTTCGTTCCACAATAAGAACAGAAGGGATTTATTTATTCTCAGAATTAATTTTTAGATTTTTTTTTATAGACACTGGGGGTGAACATACGTAACGAAGAGGTTCCCAAATTCTATTAGCCCAGGTGCCCCAGATATATCCACCCTGCACAAGGAAATATGCAGCCTGCACAAGTAAATATCCCTTTTTCAACAAACTGGCCATCACTGCTACAAACTGGTACCCTATGTTCGAGTTAGCTCCTCCTCAGCTCCTTAACTTTTCACCAGGGGTCTCTCTTCCCTGGCTACAAATACTGACTGACTCTTCATCTCGATCTCTTTTTTCCTCAGGCCTTTGGCCTTATACCACCTTACAGATGTGAGCTCTCACAGATACAGCGTTTCCCAAATTCTGGGAACACGCTAAGAACAATACACGTACATATGAACACTCACCACAACACACACACATAATAATATTCACCACACACACTCAATGTAACTGTCCATGTGCTTGTAACTTGTACTTATTGTTAATACATATATTTGTTTACATATATTTATTGGTCTTGTTTGTTTTTCTTTGGACTTAATTAAGTCCAATATTCTAATGATGAAGCTTACTTCATTTTATTATCATGTTTTTGTTTTGCTTGTATTATTATTTTGAGAAACTATATTAACATAAACTATTTAAATTCTTAAGTTTTGTAAATAAATGATGACTTAATCTACTTTGAGATTGTTGATTTTCTTTTCTACCAAATTTTGTTAGAGGACTTATGCTGAATTCAAATGGGGACTAGTTCTGGGTATGACGATAAACTACATCTGACAGTAATGCCTCTGAATGGGAGATTGGAAAATTTGTGGAGCAGGCACCACCTTTTAATTGCTGTTGTTCCCAGGTCCACCTGACCTGGGGTGGTAGTACCTGTTAGGGTCCCAGCTATGGGCAAATAGTGAACACCCAAACAAAAACAAAATACTAGAAAAAAAATACCAGCAATATATATTTACATACTAAAATTACCAACAATACATAAAAAGACCAATACATCTTGTAGTTGAAGGCATACAATTACGTTCCAAATAGATTTAGTTGAAACCATAAAATTGTGTTCAATATATTTTGATTTCAGCATTACGTAGAGGTTGATATGCAGCTAAACAAAAACACCCAAACCAAACGGGGACTTCTACTCTTATTTGGCCTTGTACCATATTATGCTTATTCTCGAAGTCGAAAAAACTTGCAATTTAGAAAATTAGAAAAAACATTTTTTAAATAAAAAATATTATATATAAATAAAGAAAATTAAATTTGAAAGAAAACCAATTTTTTAAGTGTTGATATATGAAATAATTAACAAATTGGATTAAAAAAATAAGAGGAAGTTATCCCGCAGTAAAGGGAACCTAAAAAATTACCCAGAATCCCTTGCTGCGGCCACTTAGAGACGGTGCAGGTAAAAGGTAAGTTACTCCTATTTTGCCGGTTTGTTCCAAAGAATAATTTAAATCAAATATTAGTCTATTTTTATTCTATAAATGATTACAAATCGTCAAGCTGTACTACCATTTCGTAAAGAAACTCATTACATTTGCTTATTTACGTTATTACTGAATTTAGGGCCCTACATTATTCCTTGTTGTCAACGTTCAGTGCTTACGTGGCATTCGTAAAGTTGGGATGTTTATGTGTTTGTTTTTTACAGATGTGGATCTTTTGGTCTATTTTTTTATCTCTATTACGAGAATTAAACATTACTACAATATGTTTTAGATTTTTGTTCTTTGTCGCTAGAAATCGATTTTTACGTTTAATTTATACTCTAGACATGTAAGTCAATCACATGTAAATCACCCACACGCCTTTTATTTGTAACGTTGCCATATGAAGATATTTAATTTATTCTTTTTAAAATTGTTATTTACTCATTTTTTTTTTTGTCAACAACCCTTTTTCGAGTGAGTGTCTGTTGTTAAAATAATTTAATTTAGTTACGAATTCAAACAACAAAAACATTTTCCAGGTTTGATGCTAACTATTGTTTGTATTGATTAGAAAAGAATGAGAATTTTTTCATTACTGTGAAAACTTGAAATTGATGTTTCATTGTGTTGGAACGGATTATTTAAAAAAAAATTGTACTTTTCATGGGGAATCCGAACTTTCCTGTAGGTTTGATGATCATTAAATCATTATGTTGTGTAGAAACATTCTCTGAGATTAAAATAAAATAAAAATTGCTATCGATTTCGGATTTACACAGTGTTTTGTTAATTAAAAAAAAAATTAACTTGAATCTTTCGGTGTACAGAACCGTAATTAAAAAAAACCCCCAAAAAACATCTAGTTTCAAAAAGAAAAGTGTAAATCAAATTTTTTTTTAGAAGACATAGCAAACATTACATTTCCTTCCTCTGATTTAATCCATGGTAAGTTGCGACGAAAGTACAGTTTTATTATCAACGTGATTCATACTGGGTTATATTCCCTACAGCAGCCTTTGACGAACTAAAATTAAGCGACTTATGAACGATCCGGATGTAGCTGTTCGACATTTATGGAGATGGTTTTCAAATTTTATGTTATTGGTGCCTGGTCGTAATAGCGCGGCACTTTTGAGAATTAAAAAAATGACTACAGCTCTACGCACTATTTTTTTTTTTTTATTTATCATTTCACCCCGAGCAAGGCAATAAAGCTACTAAGAGGCAAGGGTGTCACCGAGTGTAGCGAATATGAGAAAAATGTATTAACGAGAGAGAGAGAGAGAGAGAGAGCAATAAAAGAACAGGAATTAAAACAAAAGAGCGATTGGCGTTGTTTTTGAAAATGAAAGTTGACTTGGAGGCAAGAAGTCGGAAGAGAGTTCCACAAGCGAGAAGTGTGATGGAAGAATTATATCTAGCGATTTCAAGTGTAAAATGATGAGACCTTGTCATCACTCTAGTACTGCACTCAAGTTCATAAATTCTAGATACAATAGAGGAAAGTGATATTCATTTCTATTTAAAATGTGGTACAAGGCCAGAAGTGGGAATGGGGAAGGCTGGTTTTGATCTGTCTTATATCTAGCCACAAGCACTGACCCAAACATACCCTAATAAACTTTACACAGTCACCCTGATACTTCAAAGTTTCAATGAAGTCCTAACTGGTCTCCAGATGTACAATTTTGTCTGTGGGGCATAACAAATAACAAATTTTAATTGCATAACATTATGTGTATTTACAATGTACAAAATTTTTATATGCAAGAAACAAAACAAAATAGTGTTAATAATAATAAAAAAAAAACATAGAGGAAAGTTCATCTTTTCTCACCCGCCCCCTACCCCCACTGGCTATGTGTTAAATAGCAGGGTAGCCAGTGCTCTCTAACCATGGTTGGCAACCAGCCTAGGAGAAAGATAGCTACACATTATATAGCCAACAAAGAGATCATGGAGTTCATGATAACTTTATGATCTTGACCGAGGTCGATGAGATAGAATAAACTGGAGGGGCAAAAACATTAGAGACAGTTACCAAATAATCAGTTCACCTTGAAATATCCTCAAATGAACATTATGCTTAGATTCAGTAACCATAATGTTTTTCAGTTGCATTCCAATTGACTTGGTATAATTAGCAGTCACTAAAGGTTGCAGTTTCTCATTTTTGGAAACAATATCTCTTTACCATTGATATCAATGTTTCTTTGCCAAGCAGATGTAAGATGTGATCTGAAACAACAATCTGTCATGTGCACCACCATCTTTTAACACCCGCTTGCATTCCAAAGGTTTTTTTTATTTATTTTTATTGGGGTTTACTTCTCTAATGCTACCGAAACAGTTCCTTAAAAGTGTTTAGTTCTTGACTTTGCTGCTAAACAGTGTGACACAGGTGCTAAAGTTGTTGCATTGGTATATATATCCAGGTATGTTGCAAAGTTGTCCATAAATTGAGTTGTTTGTTAGGTGTGGCTGAAGGAATTTAGATCTTCAGCATGTCTCATACATGCTTAATGGAGGTTAGTCCTGATGGGTGGAGGAGACAGCTGAGAACCAGGAAGTTTTTGTGAAACTAATTTCATGTCAGGAAGCATGATAGGCATAAAGAATGGTCATAATGGTCACAAAGAAGATTTGTCACACCTGTCAAGATACGCTTCCTTTTTCAATAGAGGTCTCTGTGTACACACACACACCTCCCACCTTTACAGAGCTACCACCACCACCACCACTTTGCACAACACTCCTGCTGACAGTCTGCATCCATAGCCTCATACTGTCTCCTTCACATATGAACTCATACTGTCTCCTTCACATATGAACTCATACTGTCTCCTTCACATATGAACTCATACTGTCTCCTTCACATATGAACTCATACTGTCTCCTTCACATATGAACTCATACTGTCTCCTTCACATATGAACTCATACTGTCTCCTTCACATATGAACTCTCCTTCACATATGAACTCATACTGTCTCCTTCACATATGAACTCATACTGTCTCCTTCACATATGAACTCATACTGTCTCCTTCACATATGAACTCATACTGTCTCCTTCACATATGAACTCATACTGTCTCCTTCAAATATGAACTCATACTGTCTCCTTCACATATGAACTCATACTGTCTCCTTCACATATGAACACAGCCATCTGGCCAAAAAGTTTGAAATATGAGTCATTTAGCTACAATCTAATGGTAGTGGTTTTTGGCACAGGTAAGGCACAGTAACCAATGCTGTGATTTTAGTAGTGATTCCTTTGTTAGACAATTGCTACAAAACTATGTGGAATGCAATGTACATGGTAGAGTTGAGTAGCACCAAAATTGGATTGAGATACAAATTGATGCACTACTTTTCATTTGTGAATTGTTGAGTGATTACAATCTTTACTTACTGATCGGCCTGTTTTTTGTATAATCTCTGGGTGCCTGCAGTTTTTGTGTGCTGCTGGTATCTGTCCGGATTTCATGTATTCCTTGTATATTCTTGAAAAAGAAAAGAAGACTAGAATACTTGCCACCTTCAAGATATTATCTTTCTGGTCTTAACAGTCGTTCCATGATCAATGTTAAATCCTGTCTGTGTCCCAAAATTATCATATATATTATATTACACTTTTACCTATTATATCACACCTACATTATCTGACAGGCCATTTTTATATGTAACAAGGCTGCAAACATGAAGTGTACTGTTGTCTCTAATTTTTTGGCACTTCAATTTCTATGAAAATATGAGTTTGTCCAAAATCTACTGGAAACTTTTATATACTCATTTTTTTTTTTTTTTTCCAGACAATGAATTGTTTATTAGTGTCAGTTTTAATTGGGCTCTTCTGCTTCCACTCGGGTTGGGTGTCTGCAGCGGGTGAGGAGACAGAGAAGACTGCTCGCTTGCTATCTACCAAAAATGTCATGAACCAATATTTGGTGGAAGGCAAGGATATCATCATTGAATACAAAATCTACAATGTAGGAGAAAGGTAAGTAAGCAGATAAAAAAGCCTTCTCTTCCTTGTTTGCTTGAAAAAGATTTTTTATGTAACTTACTTGGAAGTTAGACCTTTTGGCAATCTTTAACTTTTGTGCTTGCAATAAAATTGTATGTTAAAAGGATATTTTTTCCTTGACACCACTATTATTTAAACTATTTTCACTCCCTTGGTAATGTTTGTTTTAAAAAGTGATGATTAGAATTTTAATTTATACCAATATTAGAATGTTGTAAATATAAAATTTATTTACAACATTCTAAAAATGCAAACCAACTAATACAATGCTATGTTTATCATTTATCAATTTACAAAGAAGTAAATAGGAAAATATTTTTGTTTTTATTCAGAAGTTTATAAAATTCCTTTTGTGCAGTAATTCATTGATATTTTTTATAAGATTATGAATAAAATAACTGTTTTCATTGTTATCTATAAAATAGTAAATAATAAATATTGCATTGTAGATGGTTTACCTATTTTGATAATTTTAAAAAGATTTTTAAATAAAGATTTATTTTCACATTTATTTCTTTATTAAATGATAAATACCATTTTTATAAAATGTAAATAATATCACATTGTTCACATTTATTTAATCTTGTAAATAAACTTTCTCGAGGGAGTGAAGGTAGTACAAAATAATAGTAATGTCAATGGAAAAATTGTCTTTTTGACACTTTTTGGGGTGAGGCACAAAAGTTCAAGTTTGCTGGCATTTTTTTTTTTGTCTGAAATCTTTGGATGGTCCAGTAGAATTACTGCAAAACATCTCCCTTCCCTTCTGGTCTGCTCTCTCTCCTTATTTCAGCTTCTCACTGTTGATCTCCTCCTTTGTCTTGTGTAATGTCATTCAGTTTCCATGTATCATCTTCATTTAGTTCGGTGTCATGAAATAAAATGATGTTACTTCAATCAATTCATAGAACTTTGATTGGCTAAGACACTGAATATGCTATACAGTGTAACCCGGATATAAGAGAGTTGTCGGGACTGGAGAAGAAGTCTCTTATATTCGGGTTTGTTCTATTTTATATACATTAACACAGGCTCTAATTTGGGACCAGAGAAAATCTCTCTTGTATCCGGGTTACACTGTACTTGAAAAGAAAACACTGCTTTTAAATGAACAATTTTCATATAAAATATTTTGTGCATGTATATAATATAGTAAACATTCCATTAATTGGTTAAGGCCTGTGTTGACTCGGCCACACTTTTCCGAAGAACTGATAAGAGAAATGATGCACAGTGTGCCATAAATTCTCCAAACAGAACTTGTCAGGGTTGAATTAACCTTTATCACTCTGTATATTACTTCATTTGTTGTAAAAAAAACAAAAAAAAAAAAATGTTTATCCTGTCACTGAAGGTGATTCTGATCCCTGAACAATAGTGTGTTTGAATTTCATAGTTGTGTTGTCATATCCTGCTATGGCAACAGAAAACAACTTTGAAGTTAACAATAAGGATACTTCAATTGAGAGGCTTTGAAAAAATGCAGTAAAAAAGAATTGATAATAATACACTGTGCTAATGGTTGTTTTCCTTCTATACTGGTTGCTAAAAAAGCCAGAGAACCCAGTCTACTCTGCTATTAAATATGAAAAACTGGTATTTTACTAAGATTTCATAAGAAGTGGGTATTTACATGAAAGAAAAAGTTGCCTTGATGCAATAAAGTAAAGATTGTTTGAATTCCAATAATTAGTTAAATTTACATAAATTTTAAAAATACACTTTTATCAGATATTCAAACTTTAGTCCCCTTGTTTTTTTTTTTTTTTTTTTTTTTTATATAGAAACTGTAAATCATTTTTCGAACCCAAATATCTCCAATTCTATAAAATGGGTGAAAATTTTTATACTAAAATATTAACAATTTTTTATTTTAATGGTAGAAAATTATAAAAGATAAATTTAGTTATATATTTCATTAAATGGATTTTTGCTCACAGATGTTAATCCTGCAAAGGTTTGTTGAGGATACTTAATTAATTTCTTTCTTTCACACACACATGCATATATATGAATAACTTGAATTTAACATTGTCTAAGGTCATAAAATCTTATTTTCTTGTATATTTCTTGACTTCATATGAAAAGTAGTATAATGATTTCTGTGACTAGAAAAATAAAACTTAATTTGTATAAAGTATTTAATGCCAATAATTTGATTAGTTTTTGTGTTATTATGTACTGTCATTTTAGAGCAGGAAAGATCATATTAATGGTGTGAAGTAAATGAAAAGTTAGTAATGCATTGAGCTCAAAAGCAAAATTGTGTTTAGAAATAACACCAGGCCAATTTCAAAACATGCATTTGACAGGTAGAAAAACAGTTAATAAATGATCAATGTTTGGAATCCTTTTTATTAATTTATTTTTACTGGTGTTAATTTATTTTAGCTGTAAATCTTTACACATCTGATGCTTAAGGCAGAAAGAACACAACCTTTTAGTGTGTTTGTTTTTTTTTTCTCTTAAAATTTGAATGTATTTTCATTACAAATCAATTAGTTAGCCTCAAGCCCTGTAAAGATTTAAGTCTTTTAAACAATTAAATACCTTTTCCCCAATTTTACCTCTATCATGATTTTTTCTTTTAATGAATTCTTATATGGATGGGATTTTCAAGGAATATGCCTTTCTTAAGAGCATTAATAACATTAATATTTTAGAAGAAGTGTAGTCAACCATTCTTGTTAAAAACTTGCCATGTTCATTAAATTTGTATATTCATTATTTATGAATTTTATTTCTTGTAAGTTGTAGTCTTTTAACATTGTTAGTGATATGTAAATGACTGCCTAATTAGCATAGATAAGGTATAGACTATATAAATACTCAAGCAATAAGGGTAGAGTGGTTCTCTGTATGCAGGATAAAATGACTACTGCTGGACTGATGAAGGAAATCACTTCATAAGTCATGTTTGTAAAACTCATGATATCAAATTTTCTGTTCAGAATTTCCAAACCATTCTAAATGAAGATTTATACTAAATGGAAACCTTGTAATCCTCACTGTACCAATAGAATCCTTTTTAATTCTTTGTGTTTTGTTTATACTGATTTATATTCCTGTAAACAGTTATAATCATTCAAATCTTTTTTTGTATTTCAGTGCTGCAACTGATGTTAAATTGAAGGAAGAGGGCTTCCCTGAAACTGACTTCACAGTTGTGCAAGGTTTCTTGGATGTTCAGTGGGACAGAATTGCACCGTATCCTTTGTGTTTGTTCTACCTTTTTATTTCTTTCTTTTTTTTTTTTTTTTTTCAATTTCTCAAAAATGGCCTTTATAGTTTCACCAGTATCAAATCTCCTTTCATATGATAGATAAATTGTTATCAGCTTATTTTGAATCTGTTCTCTTCTCTAGGTCATGCTAGAATTTTGCTATTTTATTTTAAGGCTGACTTTGCTTTTATGGCAAGAGGAAAGCAAGATTAATATTTTAAGATGCCTGGTTGATTTGACTTGTAAACACGGTAAAGTCTGAAATAAGTAAGAATAAAATCAACAAAAAGTCTTTTCGTCTCTAAATGCATTCAAATCAGAAATAGTTGCCTCCCTTGTTATTAACTTGCTAGACTTAAGGTAAAAAGATTCAAATTTGTTAGTTGTGAAGCATTATCAATTACTACAGTGTAACCCTGATATAAGAGAGACCCGGATATAAGAGAGATTTTCTCTGGTCCCAAATTAGAGCCTGTGTTAATGTATATAAAATAGAACCAAACCCAGATATAAGAGACTTCTTCTCCGGTCCCGACAACTCTCTTATATCCGGGTTACACTGTATTAATTTTTGACTGGTATTTCTGTCATCTTATTTTTTTTTTTAGTTTTTATTGCAGGCTTATTCTTTATTTCTCATCTACTTAAATATCATTAATTACTAGCAGTATTACAAGGATTTAAATTTCTTAGATGAAGCATTGTCAATTATTATTCCAACCTGCTATATAGTAATATAGCTTCCCTATGCTTTTTCTATAAATACTTTCATGGTAATTGCTCAGATGAACTCTCTGCTATGGTACCTAGGCTTTATGAATTTAAACAAAATACTAGATTGGCTGCTAGGTCTTGTCATTTTACAGTTGAAATAGTTCAATGTAACCATAAACTCTATGCTAGCAGTTTCTTTTCTCATACTTCTTGCTTGTGGAACTTTCTTCCAGACCCTTGATTTCTAGTCAACTTTGATCTTCAAAAATTTAAATGCAATGTCAATTGTTATCTATTGTCATCTTAATTCCTGATATTTTTATTGTTTTCTCTCCCTAATAATGTTTTTTTTTTTTTCATATTTTTTTGCACTTAGTAACCAACTGTGTCTTTATTGCCTTGCTTGAGGTGAAATGGTAAAAAAAAAACCCCAAACCAAACCTGCCAATTGTCATTCTGCAATAATCAGTCAGTATGGATGACAAATAAAGACTAAGTTTGTTTTTTTTTTCTTTATTATTATTTCCAATCCCTGCTGATTACTAATGGTCATGGAATGGTAATGTGGTATTTTGGATAAGAAGTGAGATGAAAGAAATATGAACAAAAAAATTAATAAAGTTTAGTTTATACTCTCAAATATTAGGGATTAGGAGGATTGTATCTGTTAACTAGTCATTTAATTGAGGAGCATTTACTTTGAAAGTCAGCATTCAAAATTGTAACTTTTTTAATTGTACTATTTAGCACTGGTGACAAAAACATGGCTACCTAAATTGCCAGGGATGGCTAGAATTTTTATCCTTCTCTTTTTGCTTTTCGTAGTGTTTTCTTCGTTTTTAAGAAGCAATAAATTTTGTTGGAAAGTCCCCTCCTTTCATTTGTAAATTGTTTGTATCCTTAATTGTGTTTTTCTCAGAAAGACTAATGTGTCACATGCCATTGTGATGAAGCCACTCAGATATGGCTTTGTAAACTTCACTGCTGCGGAACTGACTTATCTGCCAAGAGAAGATGCCCCAGAAAGATTGGTAAGTGAAGATTTGCATCTAATTTGAATCAAATAAGATATATTGGTTTAGACAGGCCTGCATTTGCATGTGACTGTTTTGGCAGTTTATATTTGCTTTGCAAAACATTTTTTTAATCAAATGAATAAATCAAAGACTGCTAAATTGTTTTTTCAAGTGGCATAATGTACCATATTACTGTGTCATTTTCCTTTCTGTCACAACAAATTATCACAGTTTGGACCTATCATATAATTCTGATTATCCCTCCTCCCCACTCTTAGCACGGCCATTACTCTCTGCCAATATCTCATAATTAATGGACTATTCCATTTTGATTGTGTGCAAAGACTGAAAATGGTTTCAGAAAATGGAAGATAGAAGTATTTAACATCTGTTTCAGTGAAATGGAAAAAGTTGTCAGTTTCAAATCTTTTTATTTGTATCCCCTTACTTCTTAAAATAATGACCAGCATTCCTATTTATAATTGTTCTTGCAAAATTTTGTTAAGCACAAATATTTAATGATGGAATAGGGGAATTTCTATGAATATTTCATCATTGTAGAACTCACCATAAGCTTATTCATTCATTAAGATTCATCAGAAATTTAAAATAGGAAAACTGAAATTTTCATGGGTATTTCTAGTTATTAAATATTTGTGGTTATTATTTATTAGATTTTCAATAATTTAGCACAATGTTATACCTATTCACATCAGAAACAATTCCACAAGGCGTCTCAACACACAGTGTGTTTATATCCAACTCAGATGATTTCTGGGCTGCATTCAAGAACACAAATGGTGTGTTGCTTTTGCATTGTCACTACCATGCTATGACTATGAATGTATTATTGACCATCTATTTTGTATTATAGTAATTAACATTACCTAATTTAGTAAAACTGTTGTGTCGGAAACCTACCACCCCTCTTGAAGATGAACTTGTCTGCGAGCAAAGACGTTAAATAGTGGCATGTCAAAAGACAGTCAGAGACAGAAAAGTTCTTAGCTGAGCTAGTAATTGACTACTCAGGCGATTTCTGTACCTATTTACCAACCTCTTAAAACCTTTTTTATTGTTACGTGTTATTTGGCGTTTGTCTCTACTAACCCCAAATCAACATCATAACAAAAACAGAATACAATAAATGTACAGAGACAGTGTCAGCTGTTTTTATTTTTGGTAGTTGGAACAAATTAGTATACCTTTTATCTCTTTGCCTGCAGGTGACATTGGTAAATCATTATTACCATAAACATGGTGGATAGTAGGTACTTGGAATTGACTGTACATTTGGAATCAATGGTAGGCTTGTTGAGCTAACTGGTTTGTTTCAATAGCATACAGAATAAGGCTGGTGTTATTCGTGTACATATGAAACCTAACTGTCAGTCTGCATTATGTGGATGCGTTGGGGTTTATGAAAATACCATACAGTATACCTAGATGAATGAAAGACTGTGACAGTACCAGTAGGAAGCTACCTTCTAATTATCATCATTACTCAAATAAACAATGTTTATGGTATGATACTAATGGTATATATAGTATTTATTACATATGAATGATAACTGCAAGCTTATATTATGTGTCTGGGGTTCGTTAGGGTTGGTAAACTCTTCTCTACGGCTTGACCTTTCAGTGCTAAGAGACAGGGTGATTTTTGAGGGCAATTTTCAGAAATAAAATGTGCCTTAGTATACATGAAATACATTACTTTTGGAATACCTTAATAATGAAAGACTCAGAATATGCATAATTCATTGAGTGATATACCAAGATTTCTCTACAGGTCCCTATACTGAATAATGCCATATCTAGTGTGATGCTCTGGCTATATATCTCGAGATAATCAACAAGATTTAAAGAAGGGTCAGTAATGTTATTGATCCTTACCTGGCATTTTTAATTCTGCATTTCATTTCTTCTATTTGAAGTGGGTAGGACTTTAAGTTTGTGATTTTCAGCTCTTTATCAGATATCCATAGAATAGTTGAAGATCTTTACTTCAGTTCTCCTTCGCTATAAAATTGAATGTTTTCATCATGACTACAGAGGATTGTGGGAAGAATAATTTTCATTAGTGTATTTTGATATACAACTGAAAGATGTGCAGCTTCACTATCCTAAAACTTTTACTTATTTATTGTTACAGGTTGGCTACACTAGTGCTCCAGGAAAAAGTGGTATTATTAACCAGAAAGATTTTGAGCGGAGATTCTCCCCACATGTGGTAAGTTCAATGGATGACTATTTTCTGCTTTAACATTTTGAATATTAAAAAATATATTTTTTCCTATCTATTTTATCTTTGTATTAAGTTTCTTTGAAAATACACTTCATTTTTGTCTGTGTGTGGGGGGGTGAGAATAAATAATATAAAATTTTTTTGTGTAGCACAAAATTACAAACATAGGGCATCCAGTAAAAATTTAACTTACTATAGTAGTAATGACCTGCAAGTTGAACTATTAAGGTACACTGAAGAGAGGGGTTTCCTGAATTGTTTTGAGGTGCCAACCTGGACATGTGCTCAATACAATTGGATATGTCTGTCCAGGGTGGGTCTGCTCAGTCACCAGAGGTTACACCAACAGTCTATTGTATATCACTATTACGTGATGGCATGCTTTGAATGCCTGACCAGCACTAGGGTGTGCAAGTGTAAGTCGGGCCTGACAAGGCATATGAAAAGGCACATTGGAAGTGATGATGATCAAAGTCTCTTATCACCTAGAGATGATTTGATATGCCATATATGTGACAGGAAATGCAGATTGATGACTGGCTTTATGAGACATTGTCATTCACACAACTGATGAATGCAGTGTTGGGGGGTAGTAAAGCGCTGGACATGTTGGTAAAGGTCATACTCAGTTTACAAGTTGTGTTTGGCAGAGGAGGGGCAAATTCAACATTTTATGGCAATACATGAAGGTTTTAGGCAGTTTTGATCAACATTTCTTTTCATGGTTATCTGTAAGGAATTGTAAATGTAGGATTACCTTATACTTAAGTAAAATAATAATAATATTTATAAAGAATTTATTACAGAAAATATCAAGTTTTATGGGAACATTGCTGACAATTATGCCTTTAGTTACATAACAAATAAAAATATAAATTTTGATGCTATATTCTGTTTGTTGCTAGGTATTTTTTATTTTCTCCTTAGTTAGCGTTTTAGAAAACTTTAACTGCAATGCTAAGTTTCTTAAGTCAAATAAACTGGAGCTATTTCATTTCTGCTTTGTTACTCTCTTTTTCATTGTTGTTTTTAGATTGTTTTCTTCCAGTCATTTTGATGGACAATAGTAAAATTCTGAAATTTAGAATGATCTTATTCCATTTCAAAAATAAAATGCTTTTGACAAAAAAACCTTAATGATTTCACTGATTATGTAACAATAATGTAATGATATTCTACAAACAAATCTACAGTTAATGTTACCTCATCTCATTGCATGGTTACGAACTATAAACTTAAATTGAGCTTGAGAATTTTTATTTAGTTTTTATTTTTTTTTTTTTTTTTTTGTAAAATACTTGGATATGATATAAAAAAATCAAATTGTTTTTTTATTTTATTTATTTTTTTGTTGAATATGCCTCTCCTCTGACAAATGTGTCATATATATATATATATATATATATATATATATATATACACACACACACACACACACACTTCTGGCATAGTGTAATGAATAAAGGACCAGAATAAGAAATTGAAGAGCTGAGTTTGAATTACAGTCTATTTTGCTATTTTCACTTATGTGCAGATACCCTTGGGAAATCCATCTTTTTTTTAATGCTTTTTTTTGGCTCTATAATCATACTGTTTTCATGTAGATGTTTTTTTTTCTTTTTGTTTGTTTCCATCACATTCATTATTAAATATTCCACATTGTGATAACAGAAGATCTGCCAAAAGAGATGAAACGTAAGAACCATGATGCAAATTTACAGTGGATGATCTCGTGATTAAAGCCATTTCTAAACATTTTTGCCTTAGTAAATTGTTTTCTCTTTTAATAAGAATAGCATTTTTGTAATTGAAATTGTGGTCAGTCTTGTTATGGTGAGCAACTAATTTAATGTGTTCTTTTGTAAATGATAGCTTTTGTATTTGTATAATCTTTTATACTTAAATAAAATTCCTAGATATATAAAAAAAATAAAAATTTATATAACTCTTCTCCCACCACCCACCTATGGGTTATTAGTAAGACTTGTATCACTAAATCATTATTATTCTAAAAAAATAATTATACAATCTAAAGATACTTTCTCGCTTTAAATAACCTGCAAAGGGTTGACAAGCCATAGAAAATGATTCAATCAATAAAAGAGTAGAAAATCAAACTAGTTTGGGAAGATCTCATTAACCATGCCTTCAGTCATTTTGAGAAGGGTTGTTTCTTTTAAGGGTTGTGTGGAGTACTGAACTAATTATTGTTGATTTGGCTGATCCATATTAAGGCCTTTTTCATGCCTGCAATTCATGAAGAAAGATACATCTCTTGAAAATGGCTGCAAAAAAGAAATAGTGTTCCATATGGGTAGTTGCAGGGGATTTCTTATATTTTATACAGGCGGAATTTTCTATATATGATGTTCCATACCAGATTTTCTTTTTCATTTTTTAATATGGACCTCATTTTTTTTTTTGTCATGCAGTTTCTTTAATTCATTGATTTGCTCCTTTATTTTCAGCTTGACTGGTTGGTGTTTGCCATCATGACTCTGCCATCTTTGGGAATTCCTTACATGCTTTGGTACAGCAGTAAAAGAAAATATGACACTGTAAAACCAAAACGAAATTAACGTTTTATTTAGTTATATTCAATAAACTCATTTTTTTACTATTTGTCTAGTTTGGACTTTTTCATTTTATGGATTTTTTATTTTTTAAAATTGGTCTTTAACTCTTATCATATTTGATGGCATATAAGACCCCCTGCTTCCCTCTCTAAAAATCATAGTCCTTATAAGGGCAGTTGAAATATTTGGTGGGCTAATTTCTATCCAAATATTATAGACTACTAGTACCTACCAAGCCCAACTGCATAATAATCTATATTAGAAAAGGAAGAGCTGTTCTCTGTCCGTCACACACCGTCTATATGTAACTTAGCTTACTCATATGTAATGTGTATGTGCAGTGCATGAGTGACATACATGTGCTTCTGCCATTTAATGTGTACGCAAACACACAATATTTGAATGAGTTTGAAATAATGACTTCTCCTGTTCAGTCTGGACAACTGCTACCCAGGACTGAGCAATAAAAGTTGAAGACAAAATATTTTAAACTTTAAAATTATCAGATAATGAAGTTTTTAAAACTTAACCTCTAATAAATAGAATTTTTTTTTTTTATAGATTTAGTATTTTTAGGTCTGTTCTTGAATTAAAATATACATGTGCACATACAAATATACATACATACACAATTTGAAATTGAAATGGTCATCTGTTTTGTGAGGGTAAATTTCCCTTTGTGTCTGACAACAACCCCTGGATAACAGAAAAGTTTAATCGAGCCATTTTGGAATCATTTTTATATACTTCCTCAGTGTTTAAATTGAATATATTTTCTATTAAATGGAAAAACATTTTAGATTTGGATTTTGATTATCTAGCTTGCATCTCAAAAACTCATTTGTCGGTACGCCTGTATCTCAAGGCATTACTGTATGTAAGAATGTCAATAATACAGGAATTATTTCTTCTGTCTGTTCTAGTCAGTTTCTATTTATGCATCTATCTATTTTAGGCTGCTTAAAATCCTAGCGTGGTTTCCTTTTGTATGGCCTTGTGTCAGACCACCAGACAAGTGTAGTTGATAATCTTTTAGGATATCAACAGTTCTTGGCAAGGTTAGCAATGGTAGAGAATGGACAAACATGAATGGTGTATGAAAGGCATAACAAATATAAGTTTATTTAATAACAAACGGACAGGATGAAGGAAGAATGCAGTGTCGAGTTCCTGGTTTCTGGATAGTAGGTCTGATGAATCTGAAGCGTGTTGTGGTAGAATGTTATTGCATGCCAAATTGTAATGGCTGGTGCCAAATGTTCCTGAAGAGGCATGGAGCCGGAGAATAGAAGAATCAATGGAGACTTAGAAACAGATAACATGGTAGGTTATGAAACTCCGACATGAGTTCGACCAGGATAGGATCACGGAGTTTATAAGTTGCAAGAGAAATATTCGTCAACATAGAATGTAGTATAGACCAAAGGAAAAATACAGAAAATATATGTATGACGTGTAGGGACTCGTGGATTCTTAACTAACTTGTTTCTTTGGATGAGAGGTAAGGTTCGCTTGATACTGTGGCATCAGCTGTTTAAAAGATGCTAGGTTGTCTGTCATCAATGAGTTAATGGTAAGAGAATGATTAAGTGTTGATAGAAAAATTAATTCTTTTAAGTGTGACGATCCTTTGACAAAGATGGATGTAAGTATGTAGAACTTGGACTTTCGCTGTTGCTGTAGTTGACAAGTGGAGATTCTGGAAGAGTTTGTGACAAAAGTTTGCTTTTTTTTTTGCAAGAGAATCTTGTATTATGTGGGAAAGTCTGAAGGTTGGGTTAGGATTGAGTCAAGGATGGTGAAGGTAGCTTCAGGCAAAGAAGTTGGCTATAAAAGGTCTATTACCAAAGTCTAGGTTTTCGAGCTGTATGGTGAAGAGAGAGATGGGTAACGCATCTTCTCGATTCGGTGCCTGCAGATTGTCTGCACATGGATACGATAAGTCACATGACCTTTGGTGGCAAATGCCAACTGCCAAACAACTTTCAATGGGTGTACATTCAAAACTGTAGCATGCCTTAACGTTGAAAGTGTTGTGTTGTTGCTGAAAGGGTAGCAATGACGATGAAGAAAAGAGAAAGAGAAAAGTTTTGAGGCAACTTTTGTTGGAAGGAGAGATGTGCCGATAGTATCTATTTTTGGCTTTTCTAGCTATCTAAATATTTTAATCTGTTTCAATCTATCTATATTTTTGTTTGCTTTAATATATCTATATATTTATCTTAGTCACTAGCTATCGTCGTCTGTTAATATCTTAATCTGTTTCTCTCTATCTGTATATCTTAATGTGTTTCTATCTATCTATATATTTTAGTCTGTTTCTATCTATCTATATTTCTATATATCTATCTATCTATCTATCTATCTATCTATTTAGTTTGTTTCTATCTATCAACTTATTTGATAGTATATAAACCCTTCAATTAAAAATGGCTCAAAATATCTACAGGGGGTTTATATATGAAATTGATGTCTATGGCGAGGGCTATATTTACTCAGACTTGGGCACCTTGAGGTGGTGTAATGGTTAGCAAGCTTGTCTCACTAGAACAATTATGACTGAGTAGTGAGTTCAATCCTCACTGGGTGCTCCTTTCGGCCTTGTGCCACATCCAAGCTACACTTGGAAAATCACTATATTTACTCAGACTCTGTAGACTATAAGTATTTACCCATATCCATAATGCTGTAATATTAAATGTAAATGGGTGGTGTCTTATATATAAAAAACAATGCCTACTAATTAGGGGATAATAATGATCCTTTTTCTCCTTAAAATCTTATGTGACAGGTGGTAATGGGTTACATGATGCCAAAAACAGGATGCCTATTCCGAGTTTGTTCTATTTTTAAAGGTGGGTCCATATACCTTTTCTAGGGCATTAGTGCAAACTGAACGCAGATTATCTTAGAAATCTCAACACATTTCACTGATTTAAAAAAAAATGCTATGTTTCTTTAGGACGTAAGCGGTTGTAGTTCTCCACAGCTTCCTTTTCTTCAATGTGTGTGAATTTCCATGACTTGTTTAGAAAGAGAGTGGAATGGTTTCCCGTTTCTACTTGTTTGAATTCAAGAGCCAGTGCTGGTAGAGGAAGGAAAGGTGGGTTCATGCCTTTCTCAAAAGGAAAAATGGATGTATTTGTTAGTCTGGAATTAGAAGAACTCGGCTGGCTGATTTTTATTTATGTACCTGTAGTTACTCACACATGAAAATTCAGTGATTATGAAACTTAAAAAGACCAAGGGAGACAAATGTGTAGTAATTATTTTAAGTTACTTCCCTTGTAAGGCAATGCAGTTAACTAACGCCACCAAAAGCCCTGTTCGATTAAATGTGATTACATCAAGAAAAAAAAAAAAAAAGAAACCAGACTTCAAATTTCATCTGAGAACTTTATTCAATGTTATATAATTGATGCAGCCGTAAATTCAATTATGTGAGTTTGATTCTTATTATGGGACATTGCTAAGCATGAAGTCATTATCGACAGACTGATAAAGTCACTAAAGTAATAAAGTCAGTCCTACAAAGTATGGCGTTATTAATTTAACTGCAAATTGTTATTATTAAAAAAAAAAATACCAATTTGAAATTTACATATAATTTGAAATGCGTTTTTTCACGAGTAAACATTTTAATTTTTACCCTTTTAAAAACGCAAATGTACAGAAAACAGGACTTTTTGACAAATTACAAATACACTTTCCCGATATTAACAAGGATATTTACGCTTCATTCGAATCATTCAATTTGAAACTTCGAAAAAAATTTCCAAATTATGGAACCAGATAAAATAACACTTTCTCTGGCCTAGTCGTGTATATACGTTGTTATCGAAAGTGTCTTTTTCAGACGCAGACGAATAAACACGTTCAAAAACTAGCTAGAGACGTGTTTATACGTCGAACTTGATTCTTTTTATGCGCTTCTGATCTTGAAACGGGTCTAATTGTCAACTCATACGTCTGGTAGAGGTGTTAGCCACCGTTCGGGTACTTCAAGGCGCCTCAGACAAGTGAAAAAAATTCGTCTGAAAACGTTTCATTTTCCCCCCAAAATAACTGGCCGGGAAGCGGTTAAAGACAAAGTGATTTTTAATCCGATTTTAAACGGTCTATTATTAAAAATTATAATGGGAACAGTTGTCTTCCTATACTTTACATACACACATTTTATGCAGCTTATGTGTAACCAACTAATTTGTAAGACGGAATAGAAATGTCTCAGCACGAAGGTATCTTTTGATAGATTTTAAATGGTTGATGTCACGGGGACTTTTTATATTTTTCTTTTATAGAAATATTCAGTTTAAGGTCTCAGTTCCTTTAAAAATTCTTCGATGGAAGCAGCCCAAATGGATTTTCCTTTCGGATCTTCTCGTGTATCTGCATTCCGGTTGAAATTTTAGGATCCTATCGTCTTGGTAGTTCCTTCTCTGTATAATGATTTATGACTTGTACTTTGACAAGGTCCTTCTGCCTTGAAATCGGATTGCTTTCTGACTTGATATCTAAGTGCTTTCTGATTGTGTCTGCTGACTCGACTGTTTTTTTTTCTAAAAAAACAAGAGTCTGGCAATTTGATTAATTAATTTCAAAATTTATAAGGGCACGAGACCACGTCTCTGATTGGCCAAGTAAATACAATAATATATATTCTTTCAAATTCAAAAACTGAATCGGAGACAATTAACACAGAAGAAATAATTCTGGCGTTTCTTTAAGCACTAATTCTAAAAATAGAAATTTTAACAGACACATGTAACAAGTTTTTTACAATACACTTCTCTCAAAAGTACGTGTAAAAACAAACCTAGACGATTATAACATTTATTATTTACACCTTTTAATTAATTATTAATTTTAATTATTTTACACTATTAAAATATAATTTTTTTATAAATTGCACATCCAAGCTAATAGCACCTGGTATTCCCATGCGGTCACTCATATAGATACTGACCTGGTTGACATTGCTTAACTTCGGTGATCGGACGAGAACCAGTATTCAACGTGATATGGCCAGCAGTCAGTGACAGACTCTATTACGCATTACATGTTGTACATATTACACATGTATTATACATACTATATAGGCCAATGGCCATATCACGTTGAAACACCGTTTATTGTATGATCGCCGAAGTTAAGCAACGCCAATCTTGGTCAGTACATAGATGAGTGGTCGCTTTGGAATGCCAGGAGCTGTAAGATTGGATGATGTAATAAAAGCCTACTATACACTATTAATAATGAGCTATTCCGTTGTTATAGCAACACGACGCGCATTGGCTTATCGAGAAATGCCCACTAGTTATCATAACAACGGAATATTTCATTGCTAAGTAAGGGAGATCAAGCTGCATAACCGATAAATGTATAAATTAATGTCTTGCGGTTATAGAATAGATAGGTTTGAAAAATTAAACCCATCAAAGACAACATGGAGAAACATTTAGAAATACTTGGCAAAGTTCGTTGTTTACCTATACATCATGGAAAACATAAAAGTTATAAAAAAAAGTTGGGTTGGGTACATACTATAGTTTCATTTTCTGGAACTTGTGACTATATTCTATATACGTAGTTTGGTTACTTACTATTCGTTTTCATCTTAATTCTTCAGTGATAACAGAACTCATTGAAATAATATTAGTTTGCGAGACGAGCCCGAGAACCACCGTGTGTCCTCCGTCAGTCTTGGGAGAACATCGATCGGGATTTGAAAGTTTTTATTTTTAATTCAGCTGGTGGTGGTAGAGAAGGGTCTATTTTACTAATGTTCACCCAATACAAGGCCCAAGAGCCAATCAAGGTAGAGGCTTACCGTGTGGAGTTATATTAGCATAGAAAAGGACAAGCGTCAGGAGTATGAAGCTGAAGTAGGCTTTAGGAGACGGGAACGCAATCCTAAACGGGAAACAAGGGATAAACCTCTACTCCTTTTCAAAAGATAGGGGAGAAGTGTGAACCAGATGATAAGCGGACCTATCTAATTCTGTTGGTGGAGATGAGAAAAACAAGAAATAAATGGTTAGTGAATAAACTTTCAGAGTTCAGGCTTAAACGTTAGGAGTAAAGTGCCGAAGCAAACTTTAGAAGGAAGCCCAGTCCTAAACAAGAAACAAGGGATAAAAGAGGGTGGAGGAGTGTGAACCGGACGATAGGCAAAACTATCTATTCCTATTGGTGGGGGAGAGAAAAAATAGCAAATGAACTTTCAGAGTTCAGACGCAGACGCTAGTTGTAAAGTGCTGAAGCGAACTTTACAAGGAACTGGAAACCCAGTCCTCAATCGGAAACAAGGGATAACTCTCTACTCCTGTTCAAAACAAGGGAGGGTGTGAACCAGACAACAGGCGACAGGGAAAAAAAAAAATGAAATAAATGGTGAATAAAATTTCAGAGTTCAGGCACGGCGATTAGCTTGGGTACAGCTAGATATGGAACTGACAGTATGATATTATCTATTAAGTTTTAACTCTGTATAAGTTCAAATATCCTCTATCAAATAAAACCGAGCAGGTAATTGCCGTATTTGATGGTGTATAAGACGCACCCCAATTTCAGCAGGTCAACTCAAGAAAATAGTAAAATTAGTAAAATTATTAGTAAATGGTACAGCCTAGGCTATATTTATGAGGTATTATTTTGATTAAACAAGACATGATTACAATTAAACAAAAATAATAGGGAAAAAGAACACGAGCCTATAAGAACTTTATTATATCCAAAGGTAAGAAAAAAAAAATCAAGCAATTATTAGAATGGAGCAAAACAGTACAATACCATTAAAATTCAGTCAAAAATTTTTCTTTATATGGTCTGTACAACCTGCGTCTTGTAAATGTCTTAGTGAAATAATTATGATATAAAAATTCTGATTGTATTTATACCAATGCAACCAGGAGTTATCGCAAGAAAAATATTAATGAAACAAATGTATTTTACAAATATATAATTTGAATTAATTGCACATAATTTTAGTGAAACGCAGTACTAATATTAAATGTGATGAAATTAATATAATGCATATTATTAATGATAACACTTTTAATCTGTATAATAGCCTTTTAAATAATGACAATTGGTAGGTAGCTAATTTTGGCCGACTATCGCAAATTTTAAAATTACATATGGTATATAAGACGCAGGGGGGATTTTAAAAGATATTTTTAATAAAAAAAAAAGGGGCGTCTTATATGCTGTCAAATACGGTAACGTTATTTGAACTTTTTATTGTGAAAGAAGACAATGACCAAGAAATATGGTGAGATATACGCACTAAGAAGTCCAAAATTTGGTCAGGTTGTCTAGACTACCAAAAGATGATTACAAGCCAAAATATATGACTAAGTCCTTCATGAAGAGAAAGTCTCTCAGGCTTCAAGTGAGCTTTTCTTTTTTTTTAATCATTTCACCCCAAGCAAGGCAATAAATCCACAAAGACACAAGGGGTTACTGAGTATGAAAGTATAATAGAAAAAGAAAAACCGTATTAAGGAGAGAGTAAATAAAAGAGCAAGAATTAAGAAGACAGGCTATAACGATTGACATTGCATTTAAATTATTGAAGATCAAAGTTGACTGGAATGCAAGAAGCCAGAAGAGAATCCCACATGTGAGAAGTGCGAGAGAAGAAATTGTTAGCATAGAACTTACGGTTACATCTACCCATTTCAACTGTAAAATGATGAAATCGAGCCGCCAATCTGATACTGCAATTAAATTCGTAAAGATGACTTAGCAAAGAGGAAAGTTCATCTGAACAATTACCAGAACTAGTAAATTGCTTTTGAACAAGGCACGCAAACTTCAATTTTTAGGCGAATCTCCGAAATCCAGAAGGTGACCCCAAATTTTCGGCCTATTAGTATCTATTAATTTAATTGCACTATCATCACATAATCAGAATTGGTCAGGGCTCCAGGGATTTATCACAAGGACTGATAGGGTTAAATAGAAGAGCCACATCGAATAAACTTCAGATGTTAGAAAGTTGCAAAAGAAACATAAATATCCGTTTGTTTCTTTTACCAATTTGGAATTTCTTTAATTCCTTTACTATTCGTCCCTTTAGCACTGAAGAATAAAGCCTCTCCCAAACCTGACATTAAAATTAAGATTTAAATTCTTACATATATTTTTTTACAAATAATTATAAGATTGACTATCATCACAATGATATGCGCTTTTTGCAGAATTGAACACTTCAAACTATGAATGATTTATCACATTGGACTGTGATGAAAAGGTTTTGCATATCAAATTGAAGGCAGTGACCTCCCAAAATTTTGAATACCAAAACCATAATTGCTGATGTTATCACAGAATTGCAAAAGAAATCCACAAATCATCATTGCAAAACGATTTTGTTTCAACCTTGGGCTATTTAATGCCAATAAAATTTTGAAATAGATTCATAGCGATAGTTTGGTAAAAAACAGGTGTGAATGTATACATTTCAACCTAAATTTATTTAATGCCGACAACATTTTTCCTGGTACTATTTTGTTTTGTCAAAAATCTATTTCTGGTAATATTTTTTTCCTGAAAATGTATATCTGATAAATATTATTTTCATAAACGTATTGCTGGTAATATTTTATTTTTTCAAAAACATATTGCTGGTAATATTTTATATTTTATTTTTCATATTGCTGGTAAATTTTTATTTTTTCAAAACGTTTGTTTCTTTTTTTATTTTTTCAAAAACGTATTGCAATTTTGTTTTCAAAACGTATTTGGTAACAGTTTCTTTCTTCAAAAAATTATTTCCTTTATTCGTCCCAAATAATGCTTTTAACTCAGTTTTGGGGTTAGCTATTTGAAGACCCTATCAGGTGCTAAAGCCTGGGAACACCAGCAATTAAGAGGTCCCCTCAAAACCTCATGATCAGAGGCCTTGCTGTTGGACATTATCGTCTTGCCCTGGATGTGGATGTTTATTATCGTCATATGATGGATTGCAAAAAGGAAACAGCCTTGGAATCAACAAGAGATTAACCTTTTCTTTCTCTAATATTGAAATACCATAACATATTTACTTGTGTTTAATGATAAACATTGTTATAGAAAAAAAAAAACAAAACAAAACAAAACTAAAGCATGTACATCATCCAGAAGTGTTTCGACATAAAGGCACACTACTTAAAACAGTGTAATTTATCATCTTCAGACATTTCTAAACACGCCCACATGCTCAGACCCATTTCTGATTCGTTAACAACTACAGAGGCAACCCGTTTTATACCCATTTTTGGGACAGACGGAGTTTAGCTCCCCTTAATTCCCAAATTCTTCACCAGAACATATATAAAATACACGTACCTTTTCTATCCTCTTTTTCTTCATTTCAGCGAACACCGCTACTACAAAAGACAGCGTTTCCCATTTTTTTGAACATTCATGAACAAAGAAAAACATACACGTACGTACGAACATTCACCAAAATACGAACATTCACCAAAGAACAGACACAAATGTTCACACACACACACACACACAGACACACACACAGACACACAGACACACACACACACACGCGTTATCTGTCTATGTGCTTTTTAATTTGTTAATACATATATTTGTTGACACACACACACACACACACACACACACACACACACATATATATATATATATATTCTGTCTTGTGTGTTTGTATTCTTTATCTTCAGTTAGACTTAACTTGAGTCTGGCAATTTTCTTGTAGTGGGACCTTTTAATATTCTACCAGGAGTTACACACGTGTTTCTAATACAACAACAAACAAACACACACGGTCCTCTACAAGTTATGTGCCAGGCGATCATGTATCTTTCGATACATGAGGTAGATTTTTCCCCGCAGTAGGTCAGTTGCCATCCAAGGCTATAGATCCTATTTACCCATAGCTTTAAGAAGTGGATTCATACCTTTCCCAAGGGTATTAGCACGTGGATGTAATGGATTCGACTAGAATTCGATCTCGGCTCTCCGATTCTTCAATCCGCTATCCATTACTCCACCGTGCTTCCTATGGA